TCCAGGGGCACGACCCGATGGGATATCATCCGGCGCATGCTGGGCGGTCTGGTCCCGGTCTTCTCAGCCACCGCCTAGCAGATATTCAGCAGCAACGGAAGGGTGGAGGAATGGGTCATCCTATGCCTCCCCCGCTTTCTGTTCAAGACGGGCCGCATTCCCCCTAACGGACCCTTGGCTGGTGATCCGTCCAATCTCAGTAATTCGCATAAATCGATGCAGAGCCCAACATCGGCTACCTCAACGAAATTCAATGTCAAAGCACATGAATTTAAGCCTAATCCTGCTGCAAATACATTTACTCCTGCAGGCGCGTCCGCTATACCGTCAAGTCCAGCACCTAATGCTAGACCACGATCAATTTCACGTGCTGCCAGCCCGTCCGTGTTTTTCGGTGCAAAGAAACCACTACCAGCATCAGAGCGGCCTTCAATTAACAACTTCTTCAACCCGGTTAAGCGTATGAAAAAGGAAGCAACCACGCAGAGCAGTAAAGACTACGCATTTAATGGCGGAATTCCTCCAGCGTATCGAACTCCACCTACTTGGGAGGTTGCTCCGATCAATGCCGAGAAGACTTACGCTGATATGTTTAAAACTCCTACACCTGCACCCTCGGCTTCCCCGCAACGGGCTGCATCTAATCCTCAAATGCCACATCAACATCAGCTGCCGTTCCACCTTCAGCACGGCGGCCCTCCAACCACGGGCCCTCCTCAAGGCCATCCTCATCCCCACCCACAATCACACCACCCCTCAGCGCCCCCACACTTTGATGATCACCATCGTATGCACATTTCTGCTTCTACCTCACAAGTATACCCATCCCCCCGACTGCAGCAAACCCACGTGGCATACCATTCTCCTATGGGACATCATGCACAGCTCGCATATGGGCAACCTGTTCCGCAGTTGTACACCGGCCAGGGTCCCCAACCTGCTCACATGCGACATTATCCCGGTGGCCCACAGTTTGTTCACCCGCAAAACGGCATGGGGGCACCAATGATGGCCCAGCAACCTTCAAATGGCCCTTATGCCGGTATGCCACAAGGTATGGGTGTCCCATACAATCCCCAGATGCCGATGTACTCTCCAAATGCCGGCCATGCCTACCCTCAGCATGTACCACCACCGCCTCAACCACACAGTGGCTACCCCAGCCCAAGCCGAGGGGCACCTATGATGATGCATCAGGGCTCTCAACAGGGCCACCCGCCTCAACCTATCATGTTTATGAATTCCGGCCAACATGGACAACCCGTCTACGGCCCGCAACAACCAGGCCACAGTGAGTGAAACCAGCATTTTCTCGTTATTTCCATAGCTTCCAATATTCGCCATGCTAACCATCGACAAAAGTGCCTCCAGTACGTTCTGGCTATCCTCAACATCAGCAGTCTCATTTCAATTCAAGCCCCCATCAAACACATCATTACCCACATAACCAACACAGAGCCCAAAATCATAACCACTACAATCAAATGCCACACATGCATCATCCTCACATGCAACCACAAGGCCCACCACAAAATGCACCTTCAGGACCCCATCCTCCAGAGACTGTTGATGAGGTGAAATGAAGTTTCAGTGGCTAAACTTACGGCTCGCTTTTCCTCCCTGGAACTACCGATTGTGGTATGAAGACCACAGAATATACTCACTTGCCATTTTCCTTCTCCGGAATGTTGCATGCAGTGGTAGGACTAGTAGCTTGTGCTACATTGCTTTTTGCTATATTTTTTCTAGCCCCGGTCGTATTTGGAGGTGTTGATTGATATTTTCCGCTTTATTTTACTGGTCTTTTGTGGTTGCAACATTCAGAAAATGGCTGAATGAACATTACATGATCGGAGAAGGAAGATTTCTCCTGGTAAGCTTTATTGATACCTGCCCTCGTTCGTCTCTAAAGGCTGTCATTCTAATCGCAGTCACAGACGCCTGGAGCTAAGATTGGCCATATACGACCATTTGCCGCTATTTTCAAGGTGGCCGGCCAGATTCAAGGTTTATCGGACCAAATCAATCAAACGCTTCGGGCCCAACGAAGGCGACCATATCAATCATAAGGTTTTGAATTGGTTCCTCGTTGGATTGTGCCGCGATCCAGGGGTTCTGCACAAGCAAAAGCCAGCCACGTTTGAATACACTGTGACTCGTGGGTCTGAAGATATTGGAAGGAGGCGTTCAATTCGGGTATTCACAGCTAGCGATTGCAGGAGAAGAATTGGCAGCCAATGCAAAGTTTTAAGGTCGATATTATGACCAGAGATGGGTTGCCGGTGGGGATCGGTTGACGATATATATATATATATATATATTGTATTGTGATGTCCAAGAATGAGCTTGAGGTGATAGAAGTGCGAGAGTGAAGGCAGAATTGGTGGGATGTGTCTGGCTAGTGATGCAGGTGGGATTAGAGATTGGCTTTTCGGAGGGTGAGATCTGGTAGCGAGTAGAGTAGGTGGTTAGCAGGTTATTTTTCCTTGTTTTGTTTGGTTTGTCTATTTCAAAATGAAAAAGATGGGAACGACAAGCCGAAATAAAGTGGTTTGCTGATTGACTATCATTACAGCTACTATTTTTAGTTAAAACGCTCTTCTCATTCCCCCAAAAGAAGGTATTCTTCTGTCCTTTGGAGCCACATGTCACATAACTACCTCCTACATTGTTGTGACAATCAAGCAGGAAACTCATCCCCCCGAACAGAAAAATGAAGGGGATAAGATGGGGATAAGTTAGTTATGTTGGAATCCCTTTCGCTTGCTAGAAAGCCACGTGACCACGCCTATTTAAGCAGCACGGGGTTTCTAAATTTCAATATATCTTATTTCATTAACTATTTCCTTAACACTAACGACAGGTCTTTACTGATAAGACACTTATGCGGGAGAAACCGCATTTCCACATTAAAATTATCCGTTTAACCAAATTGTGCTGAGGATCGGGTGAGAGACATTCGGTTTGGGTTTTCATCTACTTATATCAGAGGCGGATAGCCATGAAAGTTGGGACGTCGCTCTTAACCAGCCAACGGGACCAACGGGACCGTATATATTGGGCCATAAGTATTGCAGCCCCCGCTACTTTTCTGCACAACACGGCACCATGATTGTGTTGGGGATTGCCAATAGTATGACCTCGCATTGTATTTCATATTTGATCCCTTCGGAAACCATGAACGAGAAATTCCCAGAACTTTTTTTCTACTATTTCGGACTCTTAGGGGCGGTTGAGTATTTACTCGAATCTAGTGAACAAACTGAATCTCAATGACAAAGATTTGAAAAAACGGCAGATCGGCTTTATCTTGGGCAGCAGAAAACGGCTTTGATATGACTGTTGAACTGCTGGTAGGGAGCAGCAACAGTCTCCTGAAGAACTTCCGGCTATGGTTTAAGAAAGGAGCTGAAACTAATTCAAGAGATAGGTATCAACACACACACACACACACACACACACACACACACACACCACTGATGTATACGGTAAGTGGAGGGCATGCCGCCGTCGTCAAGGTGCTATTGGAAGCGGGTGCCAGCAGTGACTCGGCTGATGAAGTTGGGGGAGCACCGTTATTATATGCTCTTTACTGCATGGGCGAGGACATGTTAAAGCTACTTTTCAAGGGAATGAATGGCCACGACTGGTGTAGAGGAAGATATAAGTACAGTGCTTCTTTCCTCCGCTTCTGCAAATGGCAGCGATGTGCTGTAGCCAAGCTGCCTCCGGAAAAAGACGCCAATGTTTACACAGAGGACAATGATGGTTAGACACCCGCTACACTAGGTCTCCAAGAATAAATATATGATATATGGCAATTATAAGCCTGCTGCAGAAGAAGCGTGCCAGTATTAACACAAAATATAAAAATGGCTAGACAGCATCGCATTGGTCTGTTGATGATGGAGAAGATGCAGTTGTGAAACTGCTGCTGGACAAGGGTGGGACTCCGCTCGATCTGTCTGTCATTCGCAGGAATGAGGTGATTGTAAGACTGCTGCTGGAGAAGGGCGTCAATACTAATTCAAAAAACAACCATGGTTGGACTCCACTTGATCTTGCTGCTTAAACAGGCATGGGGCGATTGTGAGACTACTGCTGGAAAATGGTGCCGGGGAGGTGATGGGTCGATGTCACTGGACGTGCGTACACGGACAGCAGTAAATTATTTCTGTAGCAAAAGAAGGGCTTGAAAGAGCTCTAAGTTTTTATTCATGCCCATCTATCAGATTCTGCAATTTCATCATTACTGGTTCAGAAATTCAAAATTGAGGATTGTCATTGTGAGAACAGATATTCTGGTTATATTGTTCGCTTAACAGTGCTCTATCTCAATAATGTTGATGTATATACTCGCATTTATCTCTCTCACTCCAATTAAATTATATATTGATTGAGTGCTACTTTTATATAACTAGGTATGCGATGATCGCACGTATTGATGCTTTTATTGAAACTACGATACGTGCAAGTATATTGTGCTACGTTGCATGCCATAACATATGAAAGGAGATGTGTGCAACGTGTACTTTGTATGGGTTACCATAGAGAATGTATGTGTGTGAGTGTTTTTTATGAGAGGGAAGGGGAAGAGGAGCTGGAGGGCGAGCCACCTAGATGTCTTGTCTGACCGAATGACCGGGCGGACTAACTGCCAACGAGGCTGCAACAGAATTGTATTCTCATTCTATTAGGTTAGATATGTAAGTAAGTAGAATAATATATTGATAGCCGTGAGTTGCCCCTTCCACTATTCGTGCGTCCATGAGTCCTCTCTTTTTTTTCGCCTTTCTTCTTTGCCTTCGGTTGTTTTTGAGGTTTGAAGGGTGGGTGCGGGCAGGAAAGAGGGGGAAACGAGGGTTCTGTTGAGATTATGAGGATTATTAGCGGATGGGGTAGGCTGGATACTTCAATATTCAATGGCTTCATGCATTTTTTATGTAATGTGCGCACTGTCCGTGGATGCGTGGCGTGCTGTGTGGGAAAATGCTGTAAGACTTTTGTGGGTTGGCGTATGCGTTGTATATGCGATGGTGATCGTGTCGTGTATTACATTGCAATGAAATGCGTAAGTTGATTTATTCTATTTTTTTCTGGTTCGTATTCGTTCCACCCCCTTTAAAATGGGTGGTATGGAGACAAGACGTTTTGTTTCCTTATCATTTTTATTATTATTATTTTCAGTGTTGCTGTCGCTCTCGTTTTTTAGGGAACCGTTTATATATCGATTATGTTGGGTATGTATCTAGGAGGCGCGGGAATGAACATTGTCAGCAGATGCAGAAAGGAGGATTGAAAGAGACTTAGCAGAGTTTCTGAACCATGCCCTTGTCCTGTCTCGGTTTGTCTCGCTGCTCGGGACTAAGGATTGGGATTTTTTAACATTTTAGTCACCAAATCCAGGGGGACAAGAGATTTGATAGTGATGTGAGGTGGTGTGATGTGATATGATTGCTGTCATCTCCTTCGAACTTCTTCTTTCTTTTCAAATTTCTCCTCAGGTCTTTTCAGTTTTCATTTTGGTCATCATTCATACGCGCAAGCGAAGAGTTACAATGCAGCAGAAAAAGTGGTTCTCAGCAGGAGAGCCCACTACGAGGCAAGGCAAAATGGACGCACAACAAGCAACTCCGTTTGCGGGAGAAATGACTCTCGATCCATAACTGGGGGGGCCAAAACAGATATAAAGATTTTTTTTCCCACTAAGAAGTCAAAAACTCCACAATGCCCTACTTAGGAGGAGAGACGAACTTCGGTAAATTCCCCTTTCCCCCTCACTCCCAAGCCAATCCCTCTCCTGTCTCCTCTCTATTTCTGGTTCGCGCACAGGAATGTTAAAAATTTTTGCATTGTCCGCAACTGCCATTAGCTCCTCGCGTCCTCATGAAGCAAAGCAGACAGGAACTCCAGTTAAGTGGCGGCAAGTGGTTGTTGAACACACTGGTATCTTGCTTTTCTCCAAGAGATCTTCCATGATAAGTTCATGACTGTCCCAGTACTTTAGGGGCCAGAAATCAGATCCCTCTTGCCGACAGTGTGCCTGCGACAATCTCTCCCCAAAGTGAGGAGATAGCGAAGGGAAATAGAGAGGAGTAGAGGAAAGAAAATGGTTGAGAGGTAGGAGGGCCGTGAGAGGACCAGGATATTCGCTGCCAGTTGGGCGATGGGCATTCAATAACTTCGTACTTTTTTTGTAAAAACAAAAAAAATGCAAAAAAAAATCATGATATATCTGACTTATCAGTCACAGAAGAGAGACAGAGAGGATCAAGGCGAAGAAGAAAAAGGATTCCACCTCGCAAACATTGAAGTAGTCTGTCGTGTCGATATGTCCATTTTGTCTTGTCTCATGGGTGCGAGTACCGCATCTCTCTGTGCATGTGCCAAAGCTCTTTGCCTGGAGTTCTTTTGGGAGTCTGACCTTTTACCAGTCTCGCATCATAGGAGATTATGAGGGATGAAAGTGGGAAAATAGGTGTGTGGATTCTTCTCAACTTGGGGTTGGGGGAGAGGGAAACACAGCCATCGAGATGGGTCGGGAACTGACCTGTTTCTAGAAGCTGAGATGCCCAGTTTATAAGTTTAAAGGAGGTGATGGAGAAACATTATAAAAGCCATCTAATTCAAACGAGCAGGATTCATCCTGCCAATATTGGTTCTCGAGCAGGAGAATAGTGATTGTCAAAGCTTCAGTATCTGGGAGGAAACTGCGTCAAAATGACAACGGAGGAGGCGCCAATAATAACGCTAAGCTCAATTGGGACATAATGCAAGGTGTGGGGGGCGGATAACCCTCATGAAGATATTATTTTACTTCCAACCAGTACAGATACCTAATACCCTTTTTCTTTTCTTTTTTCAGAGTTCATCGACTTTGTAATAATGATATACGACACATGCAAATGTTTATGTGACCACCAAGTTCGTATTTTTCGCGCAAAAGGGGAAAAGAAAAACAATCCCGGTGGCCTCCTTTAGCTACTTGCGGCAGAATTTATCACCTCTTCTTTATTTTCCTGGACATGGATTTTCTAAAGTCAGCTGTTGCTTCAGCTATTGCCAAGGGTAGCTCGTTTCCGTACAGTTTCGGCGACCGAGTTGATGATAACGAGTCCATCTGGACACTTCACAACGGGACAAAACGGGTATGGGGTTCGGAACTTCCACGCCAACCTGACTTTCTGGAGCTAATCTTATCATCTTTTTGATAATTTAGGAAGATAGCTCTTCGTGCAGTATATTTACCTTTGATATTGCAGCAAACAAATCCCGCCTGCCCCTCGCGAAAAATGCAATTCGCAAACACCGTACCCTCAGGCACCCCGGCGTGATTAAAGTGTTGGAAACGATAGAGGTGGGGATACTCTTGCTTGTTTCGCGTGATATTGCTGTGTCGTTCTTCCATTTTCACCACAGAAACAAGAAAAGTTAACGGGAAGCCGTAGACAGACGCGAATATTTATATCGTGACCGAAAGGATCAATCCCCTTTCCTGGCCGGTAAAAAGGAGGAGTCTGAGCGAGGAGACCGCAAAATGGGGTTTATTTGCAATTGCTGTGAGGCTCATACGTAATGAAGTTACTCATTTACTCAAAGCTTTTTTTAGTTAATTCTGGGACGTTTTGCAGTCAACGCTTAAGTTCATCAATGAAGATGCTTCGTCGGTTCATGGAGCGGTCCGAGTCTCCTCTATATACACAAGTGAAAGTGGGGAATGGAAACTTGGTGGATTTGATATACTTAGCTCTATGAAGGAGGACGATGCTGTAATATACGTTCGTTTCCCTCTCTCCGCCTAACTCGTGAAAATTGGTGGTTAACATTGCAGCAGACATATGGTAGTCTTTTACCAGATTCCTCACGTTACGCACCACCGGAGATCGCAAAAGGCGGCTGGGAAATTATCAAACGCAACCCATTACCTGCGACGGACTCTTACAATTTCGGGAGCCTTATTTTCGAAGTTTTTAACGGCAGCTATAGAGGAAACGAGCAGGCAGGCCAGACTTCGAATGTCCCGCCGAGCATGCATCAAAGTTACAAGAGACTTATGAATCCCAATCCAAAATTAAGGCTGAGTGTGTCCAATTTCCTGGAACAAGGAAAGCGCAGTGGTGGCTTCTTTGAAACCCCGCTGATAAGGCTCACACAGGATATTGAAAGTCTAGGATTGAAAAGCGAAGAGGAGAGGGATCAATTTATTAAGTACTTCTATATCTATTTTTAAGAGCCTCTGTGACCATTCGTCTAATCCCGCTATTTTAGTGAACTCGATGAGCTATCAGATGATTTTCCCGAAGATTTCTTTAAGATGAAAGTTTTGCCCGAGCTGCTGAACTCAGTCGTGTTTGGTGGTGGGGGTCCGAAAGTTTTAGCTTCCATATTGAAGATCGGCACGAAGCTCTCAGAGGAAGAGTATTCGAGTAAACTTACACCGGTTATTGTACGATTATTCGGCAACCCTGACCGTGCTATACGTGTCTGCTTGCTCGATAATCTCCCTCTGATGATCGACCGTCTCCCACAGAAGATTGTTAACGACAAGATATTTCCCCAAATGGTATGTTTTATACCATGGGAACGATTTGATAGTCTTTGCTTTTTATATATTAACAGATGCTTTCAGGTGACTGGTTTTACCGATGTCGCTCCGGTTGTAAGAGAGGAGACTGTAAAAGCAGTGCTCACTGTCATCGGGAAACTCTCTGACCGCACCATTAACGGCGAACTGTTGCGATACCTCGCCAAAACTGCCAACGATGAGCAACCTGGAATCCGAACAAACACGACCATATGTCTCGGTAGAATTGCAAGGAACCTGGGACAAAGTGTCAGTTCCTTCTTTTATTTTGGTTGACTACAATTTGATTGCTAATACCGAAACTGCTTATAAAGTCAAGAGCCAAAGTCCTCACAGCCGCATTTAGTCGGTCCCTGAGGGATCCATTCGTCCATGCCCGAAACGCAGGCTTGCTTGCTCTAGGTGCAACTCTAGACCTATTTACTGAGGAGGACTGTGCAACGAAATTGCTGCCAGCAATATGCCCTTCTTTATTAGACAAGGAAAAGTTAGTATTGCCATTCCAAGCACTAGGGTAGAAACTAATTTTCACTAACTAATGAAAAGGCTCGTTCGTGATCAGGCGAACAAAACGCTTGATTTATATCTGCAACGAATTCGCAAATTCAGCGCATCGCTACCTGATACAGCGTTGCCAGCCCAGAATCACTCTGATGCCCCTGCCGCAGGTGCTGCCCGAATGGGGACGCAAAATGACACATCCTGGGCAGGATGGGCAATTTCATCATTTACAAATAAAATAACTAGTGCGAAAGGTGAAATTGAACCAACATCCAATGGCAATCAGCCCATTGCTGTACCTACACTCCGATCTTCCTCAGTGCCGCGTCCAGCGATCTCGTCACCATCTGTCCAACTCGACAAATCAAAAGAAATCTTGCGACCCGGTGCACAACATATTCCCCGAGCCCCATCAGCACCTCCACCCCTAGGAGGTAAACTGGAACCTGAACCCAAAGAAGACGACGAAGAAGAAGACGCGTTTGACGCATGGGGAGCTATGGATGATGAGGCCAATGAAGATGATGGAGCGGACGATCCTTTTGATGCTAAAAGATCACATTCCCCTAGTGGTCTAGCAACTTCTCCGCACACTGCATTTGATGACGGTGGAGAACCCGATTTTGCCGGTTGGTTAGCCGCCCAATCCAAAGCAAAATCTAAAAACCCCTTACCTAAAGGACTTTCGAAGTCGACCGCGACAAAGGCTGCCAGTGCCACGCGGCTAACAAGCACATCGAAACCAAACACCTCGAGCAGCAAGAACTTGTCCGTCAAGGGCGGAACATCCCAACCAGCTAAAACGATCGATACAAAACCGAAAGACGATGCGAGTGGGGATGATTGGGGAGATGCTTGGGATTGATCTTTTCCATGTGCTCTCTTTTCTTTTTCAGTTGGAAGGTGTACTTCCGTGCTCAAAACGGCGTCTGCCTACAGATTTTCTCCAGCTATGTAGTTCACTCTCGCCCATAGTTATTATAGATAAGACTATTCCAACCGTTAGCATTAGCGTCTCTGTTGACTGGGCGTAAATCGCGTTGGAGCGGACAGCCTGTGTGAAATAGCGAATTGTTGAAGATGTTTACAAACGCAAGGGATATGTAACCATCCCTTTACCACGCAAATAGATTGCAACTCCAGGATGCTTGTCATCTGTAGATTCAGACAGATGGAGTGCTCGAACTGCTGAACCTGTACTATGAAATGGTTTGAGCAGGCACAATCAGGATATACCATGGATGCAAGGTTCCATCCCTTGAACTATCGAGTTTTCCGATGGCAAACTGCCACAGTTGACTATTTTATTCTCTGGGTTTTATATGCCCTGACCTTCAAAGAAGCCAAAATAGAAAAAGCAAAAGAAAAAAAAAAAAAGGTGGAAGGCACCTAATAAGGTGGTTAATTGCATCATCCGTGAATCGAACACGGGCCTCATCGAACTTCTAACTTTAACTCTAAAGTCATGGCAACGATGAATTCTACCACTAGACCAATGATGCTAGCTTGTTAGGGAGAACACGCCATTCCCCAACTGACAAAGGACCCTAGCGAACCTCTGCCACAATGCAGGGTCAGTGCCAAGAGAACTCCTCCATGCTTATATAAAAGAAACTAGTCCAGATTTGACCATAACTTAATTCTACAACCCAAAACTTTAAACATATACTTCCGCCTCGTCAACCCACATCTACGAGTCACTATCCGTTGATGAACCATTTATCCAAGGCAGGATGGCCGAGGGGTCCAAGGCGCTAGATTGGGGTTCTGGTCTTGAGAAATCCCCCTCATGTCACCATATTTTTTGATGGACAGCGAAATATATGCACGAGGAACAAACATATTTGACATGCTTTTTACCCCGCAAGGCAACAACTGTCTCTTTTGGGCTGGCATCGCCTCATTACTCACCTCGCTATGTGAGGGACAACCCCAGTCGCATACTGTCAGATGAAACAGATATTTCATACGAAAATTATCGTTCTTAATCTCGCATATATTAACCTTTTTAGCTTATACTACATTCTTTTCCTTAGTTATAAATACTTGACATGTACGATTCAACATCTTCATTTTTCTATACAGGCCGTGGCCCCTTACCTACCACTCGACCGATCGAGAAGAATTGCAAACCTCTCAAGTGTTAGTGCACGCTTAGACTTTGAAGGCCAGAGTATCTACGGAGGAACCATGGCAGCGATTGAAGCCATGACGAGAACGTGGACGCATGAACTTGGCGATTGTGCCTCTCAGAGGTCCATGCCATCAGCCCGGGTGCGGTCATCCGGGGTATGTACTAGGAGGCAGGAGATGACTTTTGGATGACCATGCGAAGTTGGCAGGACAATACGCCCGACATCAAGCTTGCGGTGTACGATTGATTTACGGGGACGGGTGTGGAGAAGCTGAGTAAGGAGATTCAGACGCTCGTCTGGGAGAAGATGGGTGGGAGAAGGACGGCTTTTACGGATGACATTGCTGGCATCGTGGGCATGTTGTGTACGAAGTATGGTCAGCGGTGTGTTGTTGGGAGTGTAGTATGCGCTAATGGAGGTTTGAGGATGAGTATATGACGCTCTTGAAAAAAGATATCTTTGCAGTAATGGTTTACAGTCTGAGTCGAAATAGAGCTGGTGCGTATGGTTTTACTCCTAGTTCTGGAATAAGTATAAATCTCGAATAGCCTCAGTTGTGCTCCCTTCCTCGATACCTTATTTACTTGGTAGGGGAGTGAAATTGGAAAGGAAGGTACAAGTATTTATATATTAATTATTCCATTTGGGTCGGCTTGAGGGTTTTGCCACCCTTTGAGCCAGAAGCCGGAATGCTCGACGGGTTATCACCCAGTTTATAGGTAGATTGACATACTATGTATCCCGTTGATTGCATTCAATATATTGATCTTGCAACTTACAACTTCCTCGATTTTCGATGTTTTACGGTTGCTGAGCGCCTCGAGGTGAAGTCGCTAGAACAGCAATGAGTTCCGCAGCCCAGAACGTGGATTTGATATAGCTCGAAGGCACTCTCGAAGGCAGCAAGATAACCTCTGGCAAGACAACAGCAATAATGATGAGGCGGAGTAATCCACAACCATTGGAAGAGTGTAGCTTTCTACAAAGGGGGGCCCGAGTACAAAAGACCCATGTTCATTTTCCACGCAACTCTTTCATACTTCCATCGCGCTGAGGACGGAGTGACAATTCAGCAACTGCAAAACCAGCCTTGGAAAAGCTTGACTTCTTGGCTCCTCTCGCCGTCTGGGCACCAAGGCTTCATCACCATTGGGCCAAGATCGACGGTCGATGCGGTGCATCCGGGAGAAATGTCGCTGCCTAGTTTTCAACGAAGGCTGTGGCGGACGGCGCTAATGCGGCAACCGGGGCCGGCTCGAGATATATAGTGGAAACGCCTGTCGCTGGGACTCTCCTGTTCCTTTGACCCTTCCTCATCGCATCTCACCGCACAGTGGACTCCTCTCCTACTATAGTCAAGTCACATATAAGTTCGTCAAATTCCGTCTGCGTGCGGCTTGAAGGAAGGCATTTTATAGAACATGACCTTGATTCCCAGCACCCCGGATGATGCCCCGCCGCCATACACCCCCATTGACCCACTCACCCCAGCTTCAAGCAACGAGTCTCCCATCACTGTGGGCGCTGGTGCAGAGCAGCCGCCTGTTGACAATGATGCTCGAATACCGCCTTACAACAACCTTGCTTCTATTCCCAACTTCATCTCTGGCGCCCCGTACTTTAGAGTGCGACCGGTTTCTCACGCAGAACCCCAGGAGTTTCTCCAGCACACCTTAACTATCTACCCCCGAAGCCAGCCGAAAGACTATCATCGTTTCCCCAAATGTCTGCGGCCACGTGGTGTCGAAATTATGCAGCATGACTGGGACACATTTCTAAATTACTTATTCCCACCGCATTTGGCCCCAGCGGCTAGCCAGTCCCATCTACCTCGTAAGCTCCGTGCTGAAATTCAGCGTGACCGCAAGGACTGTGCCCAGGAAGGCGACGACGAGCGCCAAGTCAGAATAGAAGCAGTCCTTGCTGAGTGGAACAACTATTTCTTTTTACCCAGGTCAACCGAAATCCTTTATACCTATGTGTCGCCCTCAGGACCCCAGCCTTCAACACATCTCTGTCCAAAATGCTATCCTTCCACCGTGAGATCATTACCTGTACGGAGTGGGCCACAACTCGTCCGTTCTGCAACAACCCCTTCATGTTCTAGAGCGCGCTCAGTTCCCCGCAGGCCAGTGGGGAATAACCCAAGCTGTAATTCAGCACTTGCGCCAGAAGTCAGCACTGTGAATGCTCAGGGATCAACCACAATCCCGCCACCGATAGAGAATCCCAATTCAGCAAGGGTAGGCGGCCGTGAATATGACCACAAATTTGCGCCGGCATATGGAATAGGGAACACCGCCAATGCCATTGTGAATTGGGCGACGCAGCTTGGCGAACGCGCCGAACAATATGGCCAATGGATAAGCGACCAAGCTGTTGCACATGGGAAACTGGTCGAGGAACGAAGCCAGCAGTACGGCCGGATGATCGAAGAGCAGGCCAAAACTAGAGGCAAAGATTTTGAGCAGAAAGCGAAGCATTTGTCAAGTATGGGATGGGGACGCGGACGAGGAAGAGGACCATGGGGAAGAGGAGGGCCTGGAGCACACTGGGCATATTATAAGGGTCCATTTGGGCACATGCACCCTCATGGGCATCGCTTCGGCTGGGGGAACCCATGGGGTGGCAATAACCAAGGAAATCCATTTACTCACACTCCCGCTAACCCATGGAGCGGATGGGAAGGCAACAGAAGAAACAGGAGAGCGGAACATCGTCAACGGAGTGCATCCGTTTCATCAACTTCTTCATCTTCATCTTCATCATCCTCATCCTCGTCTTCGTCATCCTCGTCGTCAGATTCAGAGGCCTCCTTTCTCTCCTCTCTCTCCTCATACTCTCAGAGGCACACCGCAGGCCTTGAAGCCCTTAAGGAGAGGATCCAAATCATTCAGCAAGAACATGAACGGAATCGAGCCCGTGGGCTCATGGGTGGGGAGCGCTCGGATATCGACCACCTCCAGCAGGAACTCTACACACTAAGAACGGCACTTAAGCAGTTCCGCTGCACTAAAAAAGCAAGACACGGCGCTACTGCACGCAACTCCGACAATAATCCAACAGACGGTAACGATACCACTAAGAATATAAATTCCAAGGAGGCGCAACGTGCTCTCAAACAAGACATACAGAGTACGAAGAAAGAATTCCGCAGATTGGTGGCGCATATTAAAGATGAGAAGAGAGAGTTGCGGCGTAATAGGCGGCAGAGAAAAAAGGAGGTCAAGCGCGAGAGGAGGCAGAGGAAGAGGGAGGAGAAGAGGAGGAAAAAGGAGGAGAAGAGGATGAATAAAAACGCACGCAAAGGCGTGGCTTCCGACTAATAGTGAGGTGGAACGGCTTTTCAACCTTTTTTTTAGCTGTTCATGACCTGCTTGTTATCCACTGTAGTCTATATTCTTTTGATATTATTTTTTATTTTTTATTTTTATTATTTTTCTTTTTGGAATCCGAATTTTCTGGTTGCTATTGAACTGATTGTTAACTCCCCAAGGTTCTCCCCTCTCCAACGGGAAATTTGTTTTAAATACGCCAAACTCTCTCTTCTATCTTCTATTACTACCGTTCGGTCTTGTTACGTGCGCATCTTACGAGATGTAAAGGAAACGTCAATTGAGTTGTATGAGATGGGAATGAGGGGAATTGGATTGTTGTGATTGGCCAAAACGGAGACGGAGCCTTCTATTCAGTTTCATTTTCTTCTTTACAAATTGCCACAGTATAATTTCATATCTTCCTAATGAAACTCACAATTGCCTAGATTGGATCTTAACAAGAGATTATGAACTATTGTAGGCATGGCCAGACGCGTAAGGCGAAGTACTTGTGCTTATCCGAGCGCAAGGAGCAGTTTTTTCGGACTCAACTGCAGATTATGTTCAAATAACCTCCGTATATATATAGAGGGAGAGAGAGATACCGAACAAATATTTCGGCGCTTTCCTCCTTATGCTCTGTAGATAATCAATGCCAGTCCTAGTATGCAATCCCATGAGATGACCAGCGCAACCCACCCAGCCCTGCCTCATCAATTAAATAATAGTAGGTCGTCCATCCGCGAAATCAAACCCCTCATCGCACGCTCTCATTCCGCTCCACAAGATCACCCACCCCGAGCGACCTCCCAACCTTAACCCGGAAAACCTTCTCTTTCTCCTTCTCTTCCTTCTCTCCAGGCTGTTTTCCCATCTCGCCAACCGCCTCGCCTTCATCAGCATGTTCATCGCCATGATTACTCTCCACGGCAGCAAATCCAGCCATGGCGCTTTGTTTTTGACCCTCGCTAGTACCGCCGCCACGTTCCTCTTTGATCCATAGCGAGCGCAGATTCATCCTCATGGCATACGCATCTTCGCCGTCAGCGTAGTATTTTGCCTCGATCTTCTCGACCTCGAAGCCTAGTGTGTCGCGGTAGAGGTGGAGGGCGGCGTTGTTCGAGACACGGACGTGCAGGGAAACATATTCAGCGCGGTGTGATTCGGCCATTGCGCGTTCTGCATATCGTTGTAAGTGAAGGTTATGTTAGTTGAATTGAAGCCTTTTGTAGATCTCTCTCTTTTTTTTTTTTTTTAATTGGCATTTTGGTAAAATTGGGTTCCGGAAAACTACTATTAAACGGTGGTACGGGATTGAAAAGCTGAGAGAAAGAGAGAAAAACATACGGCTCATTTTCATCAATCGCTCTGCGATCCCTAATCGTCTGTGCGTTCTCATGACACTCAGACTGGTGATGTGGCCGTGGGCAATGCCATCCGTAGGCTCCTCCTCCATCTTCGCGAGCACGTATCCCACGACTTTCGGATACTCATTTTTCAGGCTGTTATGTTTGGGTCGCACGACAGCGACAAAGCTCAATTGCGGCCATGAGAGGGCATGGTATAGATAATATTTGAGGAAGTAGTTTTCTGGGAGGTTTGTAATGTTGCAGGTCTGGATCGAGGGGAGGAGGGAGACGTAGGAAGGATATGAGGAGAGGGGTACGATGTCAACCATTTTCCCTGTTTCTGAATTCCCCCTTTTCCCTCTCTAAGGCGGCGTTTGGGGCTGGCGGGAGCTGTTTGACCTGTTTTTGTCGAAATGTTGGTGATAATTCGAGGTTCTTCCATTGGAATGTCAGAGGTGCAAACCACGTGAAAAATTAAAATAGAAATTACACTCCTAGCCATAAGAACCCCAACTGGATATACGATATCACGAAAATTCATCCTGGAAAACAAGCGAGTATAATATTTACTATCCCATATTTGTGATATTGCTATTCTATAATAAAAATTTGAAGCCACAACGCCTGTGGTGGTGTATCAAGTTGCAATAGACTTGCTGCTAACAGACCACACTCTATTCGGAAGCTAGGAGAATAGCTTGCCGGGTGATACAGACGTCAATTAGCCACAACATATTCCACTGTAAGTCACATTATTGAGCATTGCTGCGGCTTAGAATACAGACCCGTTCACAGGGCCAATGTCGTAAGAATCCACAAGAGGAAATTTGGCGGCCGGCCCCGTTTATCTGCTCTCAAGTTTCTGAATTCACAATCGGAAGGAAATACAGATTCCATCCTTGCACAACCGATACCAACGTTATGAACACTTCCAAATCCCTCAACCACATTCGCTTCATTCAAGAGAACTGTCTTGGGGACTACAATAGATGGACCAGCAATTTTGACCTCCGTGTTCAAATTGTGACTTACCAAGAATTACCTATCCTTCGCAGCCTCCTCACTCAAACTCGGGGGTCTTTGAATAAAGCAGGGAAACGATCTGTCGGTGGGAGAATATCGTGTCTCCCACATTTGACTAAATTGGTTTAGAATATACGGCACCTCAGCTTGGTCGGCTTTGTAGTTAAGAAAGGCAACTATGCTTTTTCCAGTCAACATAAAATAAGACAAAGTTGGCCAGTCATCTAAAGCCATCGGCATTTCCTGTGGAGGATAGACATAGTCGAACAGACCGGACTTCCCAGCGGAGCAAGGAATTCGATCGGAGGGACGAAGTTACCATTTCCTATAGTTAACTGAAGGATTGTAATTACGTCATACGGGGTTTCTCTGAGCCATTCTGTCACCTCTGTCAAGCAATCGTCTAAAGGCCCAACATCCAGGAGGTCACAGGACGAGTGGCAGAGACGGAAAATGCCGTTAATGATGTGTGTTTGGAATTGGATTGCAGTGAGGAGAAAACTAAATGCTAGCAAAAGTAATCCTAATATTTCAAGATTAACGTACGTAAGTTACGCACCCGAATTCCGTAGTTGGGCAGAGTTGTAGTCTTTGAAGAATTTCTGATAAGGGCCGTTCCATTAGCCGCCAGGGCGCTGATGAACCCTGGCGGCTAACCTGAAGAGTGGAAGAATCCTACGTTCTGCTGGTGTTATTGACGACGAATAGCCTATGTCGAGCACCGTGGTTTCGGTGGGATGACCATTTCCTCGAGACGGAGAAGGGTCGTAGCTTCTTGTGCCTGCGTTAATTGCGACAAAGAACCCTAGCAAAACGGAGGCCCGCAAGCCCAATTCGACAGATCCTGGGTCAGATCCCTGGAAGCTTCTATTCAAGGAAAAGTAGCAAAAGTGTTTTCCTGCTGCATGTTGGGAACAGGTGATAATATACTAAATAAGCAAGCCTAAGGCGAAGCTTGAAGGAATATCTGTTGATACTGGCCTCCTAGGCAGGGGTGACGAACGAAATATGGAGAAACATAGAACAGGTGGCCAGAGAATCTGTTAGCAAGCAGTTGTTGTAGGATCATACAAAGAAAGCAGATGCAAGGATCGCATTCCTGCGGCGCGCAAATGCCAGTTTCTGACAAGTCCACCTGGCGTCTTATCGAAGCATTTTCGGCATGGATCCATCATCCATCATCAGGGGGGAAAAGTGGACTGGCCATGACGTCAAGCCGAGGCTTATTGCCTGATCAGGCAACAAAGCCCTAATTACTCCGTACACAAGGCTAATCCGTCGGATTTTATATAGTGGATAATGTTGGGATTTGGCCCGCTTTACAATCTCATCTCGCTCCTGGACACCCTAAGCCTGTTCAGCCAAGGGTTTCGGATAGATCTGCGATTTCCCATGACCTTTCCGTTGGTTTGATGTCCTCGGTTTGGTTATTCGGCCCTTATCAGTCAGCTGACGATGTTATCAAACGGTCTGAGGGTCTGCTTCAGGGGGAACTTGTATAAACTTAGCAAAAATTCATAGGGATTCCTTGAATTGGCGAGCCATAATATCTTTTGGAGATCCGTTGCCTTTTTCTTTTTAAAAAACCAAAAGTTCTTCCCCCCTCTTTTCACTGCTTTTGTTGTGCGAGTGCTGCCTAGGTTGGGTTGCAGGAAGCCATGTATCCCTGCTTTTCTGCGAGTTATTACTACCTATTAGTCAATGGAGAGCAATCAGATACCTATGCATAAAATAGAGTTTATCAGAGTCAGACTCCAAACGTTGAGAGCTTGCCTCTGCGATTTTCGAGTCCAGTAATTTCGAGAGGAAAGTTTGGACTAAGAGAGGATGTCTTGATGTTCAGTCCTAGCATAAACCACGACGGTTAAAACAAATGAATTTTGATTTACAACAAGAAAGGAAGCCGATTGCCTAGCAAAGGGTATGCGCGCGGTCCTCTGGGAATAAAAGTTTAAGTGACCATACACTAATGCTGACAGGGAAGGGAACGGTTTCACGGTATATCATTACTGAAGAAGTCAGGTCTCTTGATAGGATGGTATCTCCCTAACTGGATTAAGCTAGTATTTCTACTCTTCCAAATCTCCCCAATCCAGACTTTGGTGAAGTCAGAAATCATCACACTGAGAAAATGACTTTGCAAGTGCAGTCTGTCCAGCCATCAGTCCACAATCAACTGGGAGACATACCCCAGTAATCGCGGCTGCTAACTCCTTGTTGCTAAGAAACGAAACTGCATTCGCAACATCCACAGGGTCAACGGTCCTCTTCAACGGGTACCATTGCATAACCTCCTCGAAAACATGGGGGTTGGCGGCGACTCGATCCTGCCACACATTCGTCCTCACTGTTCCTGGAGCGATGGCATTTGCCCTGACACCGAACTTCGCGTACTCAACTGCAATTGAACGGGTGAAGTGAATAAGCCCTGCCTTGGCGGCGCTGTACGCTGGGTTCCCAAAGACAGCAAGGCCGTTGACGGAGGCGATGTTGACGACGCTGCCACTGGTGCGTTTCAGTGAGTCTGCGAAAGCGTGGAAGATGAGGAATGGGGCGTCGACGTTTAGGGCAGTTTCTCGCTTCCATATCTCCGGGGTTGTTCGTTGTAATGAAGGGGAATAGGTTGCACCGGCGTTGTTGACGACGGTGAGCACATCGCCATCCAGGCTGAAGACTTTGCGGGCTAAATCGGCCACCTGGGTAGGGTCCGTGATATCACACACTACACATGTGAACCGCTCATTCTCCTGGTTTTGCTCTCTTGTTTCCATGCTCTTATTCAGTGTGGCAGTGACTTCGTTGGCCTTCGCTTCGTCAATGTCTACCAGAACCACATGATCGTGCGATTCCGCAAGTCTCATGGCAATGGCCCGGCCAATGTCACCAGCTCCGCCCGTTATGACTGCGATTGAAAAAGCCATCTGCTCTTCTAAAACTTGGCTGGATTAGACCAGGATCTGGGATGTTTCAATAAACGATTTGTCTAGAAAGAGACTTATCTTGTCTCCTCGGCTAAGGCTAGATGCTCTTTATGCTTTATCAAGTTAAATACCTGAATGGGCCGATATCGTAGGCGCAATCCTTAATTGAATTCTAACACGAGGAGGGGAACTCCGCTTGCTTACTAAGGAAACAAGTGGGGGAAAATAGGGTTTAGGTGCGCGCGAATTCGGGTAATAACGATCATGACTTCAAAAAACATGTTGGGCTCCAGTCAAGCATATATTGGGATCCTGGGAGGGATTGATTTTAAGTTACAGGAAGTAAAGGATCTGGGGTATCTTATGCATAATAAAAGAATAGAAATACAAAAGAAAATCAAAGGTCCAACAACTCATTATGAATATTGAGCTGATGGAAAAGAAGAGAAACATTCGGCTTTTAATTTTCATTTAGCATGGAATTGATGTGCCTCGCTCTAGTTCTTCTTCTAAAGCTCGAGCCAATTCATCAATATTATCATTAGAGTCGTGTGGCCGTCCCTCCATCATAGCTTCTGAGCTTGTAGCGGAGGCTGATGTGGCAGAGTCGCCTTGTGTAGTGACGGATGGAGCTCCGCTGGTGGAGTATGTCGATTTTTGTGGTAATTCTCCTTGTAGAGACGGAATTGCTGGCAGCAAACGTCTTTGTGGCCGGTTATTTTTACCGAGCCATTGATATTCTTTGCGACACATGGCAGTTCGAAGCTCTTCTGCGGCATGTTTGCTAGAATGTTCCTCCGCAAGGAATGAAACGGAGGATAAGTCCTTGGTATTGTGGTTCGTGGGCTCGTCGTCAGTCAAATCAATAGTAATGGGATGCGAGTGAGGTGTATTCCGGGCTGCTCTCGGCGGATCGGTTGGTAAGTTAATGGACGAGTCTACAGTAACAAGTTCCGGCTGTGGTGATGGTACTGGTGTTGGATGCCCAGGAGGAAGATGTGCCGGGTGACGAAGGATCTGGGCGGATTGGACCATGTGCAAATGCTGGACAAGTCCATTGTATGCGATGGCAAGGTTGTTGTATTGGCCACGCCAATCCTCAGCTTGCTTCCTAAACTCTTCGGCTTTCCTTTCTTGGGCCAATAGGGCACGCTTTAGGCGGAATGGCTCTTCTTTCAACATCTGCTCCTTACTCTTCCCAGTTGTAGGGTCGACGGTTTTCCATTCAGCCCACACAGTTCTGTATCTGCTTCGTTCGGATCTAACTTTTTGGAGATTTCGACGGTATTCCTCCAATCGTACTGCCACATCATCGGGCGCAACCTCAATACACCTAGCATGTGTTGCCGGTGCAGAAGGAAAATATCCTAATGGCCCACGGTACTTGGGGTAGGGAGATATATACACCTCGGGCTTTGGGACATGACGAAAAACTTCGCGATGTTGGGTGGCAAGTATATCCTCCTTCCTGAGACGGAAATTTTTGGTGATATAGTTTTCAACAAATTGGATAGACTCTGATACATCCTGTGCTTGGTATGATTCCTCTGGGCGTTGAGGAGTAGTGGTTTCCGAGATATGCTCAATTATTGCAGCAGCGATAGGAGAAGTGCCATCGATCAGAGAATCAGCAGACAACTCTTTTTCAGAACAGGGATTGTCCAAACTATTTAAAGAAGGATGTCTTCTATCAGTATTGTGAGTATCGTGCGAATCCCGGGAGAAAGACGTCAAAGAGGAGCAGATTGATGAGCGGGAAGCGTTAATCGTAGTTTCTAGAGGGTGCCCAACACGCTGCGAATTTTCAGAATCACAACCTGACGTACATGCGTCAGGATCCTCCCCAGGCCCGGCTTCGGCTATTTGATTATTTGATGGTATGGAAGAATATGGCATACAAGAAAGTGAAAAGTCACCTGAATCATGAGTGGCTCCATCGTTGGTGGGTCTAATGGTCGTTAAGGAATCGAAGTTGAATTCATCGGGGAATTGCAAGGAAGACCAGAGATCGGGGATCTCAGGAAGGTCTGGTGGCTGGAAACCGGGAGGCAAAACGGAATCGTTTGCGGGTTGGTTGTGATGATCAGACGTACTTGATAGGCTAAGTTGCGGGGAGGTTTGCCCAACATGCTGTTTCTTCGAAGGATGTGTATAGTTTTCGAAGGCAGAATGAACCGACCTTATGTCATCATCATAAAAATGCCTTTTCCGACAATCCGACTCATGATGAAACCCTGCTGGACTATCAGGTACGGGATTTATATCTCCCACAGACCCTGAAGCAGTTTGAGCTTCATGTCTTTCGGCTCCTTGGTTCGATCCAGATTCCAGAGTGTTGATCACCGCGCCTGGTGTATTCTGCTCATTACTATAGGAGGCAAGAAGTTCTTCCGGTGGTAGGATATCCATAAGATGGCTTTCCCATGACAACTCGAATGTTTCATCGTCATCAAACAAACTGTCGCGACTTTGTTGTCGACATTGGGTTCGTAGGGGGCTCGATGGTGAACCGGTAGGCGGGTGGACTGCCTGAGGTATTGATGTTTCCTCAGAGCAAATTTGGCGGTTCTGCTGTTGCTGCGATCCGGGGAGATGTGTAAGCCCCAGAGCTTGATTCATAACAGGCTGACAAGAACGAGGGTCTTGACTATTCTTTGGAGTAGAATGAGATGAGCTGTGTAAAGAAGCATAAATACCTTCTAGGGCCCAACTATTACTATCCATCGTCATGTTAAATGACGAGCAAGTCAACGTTTCATAAGCAGAAGTAGCTTCAAAAGATCAACCGCGATCAGAGCTCCCGATCTGAAATTCTTTACACTGCCCAAGAGCCTGGGGCAGCCGAAGATATCTTTATTTCAGCAATGATTGCGGATTGTTACCCACCACTGCAGCAAAGATGTAAACTTGGAGGCACGTATTATAACATGCATGGATGCCCTTGACAGCCATAGGACTGGCACCGCGAAGTTGGAGTTGGTGATGAAGTTCATCTTGGATACATGGAGACAATAAATTTTAGGATCTAACTGTATTAGGAAAGGTGTTCATCGCAAAAACACCTCTCACGTGGCTTAAGTAGTCTGCGCGGCCACGGCGTCCGCCGATTCGAAGCTACCTAGTTGAACCTCATCGGATGAGCCAAATGCGAATTCCCCCAAAAGCGGTTGCAATTCGATTTGATTAATTAGGCATTATTTCCAATATTGGAAATATTCTCTGCAATCTCAATATGAGCGTTATTCTCTGTACTGGTAAGTCACCGCTTCTCAGTTTTCCAGAGCTACGACTAACCCCCTTTTCTCAGCCGGTTATGACCATACAATTAGGTAAATTTCAATCTTCCCCCCTTCGCCCCCCGCAACAGATTAGACCCACAGAGATTAATTTATGTTTGTCACAGGTTCTGGGAAGCCCTTTCTGGCATTTGCTCGCGAACAATCCAGCACTCAGATTCCCAGGTAAACCGCTTATGTATCACTCCAGACAAGCGATATGTCGCGGCAGCAGGGCGCGACAACGTGAAGCTATACGATATCAAATCCACAAATCCAAACCCAGTAATGACATTCGATGGACACACCAACAATGTCACCGGTGTTGCCTTTCATTGTGAGGGCAAGTGGATGGTCACAAGCTCGGAAGATGGCACGGTTAAAGTATGGGACACGCGAATTGGAACTCTGCAGCGGAACTATGTACATCAGGCACCTGTTAACGATGTTGTGATTCATCCGAACCAAGGAGAGCTGATAACATGCGATCGCGCTGGATTCGTCAGAGTCTGGGACTTGGGAGAAAGTAAATGTACGCACCAACTTCAGCCTGAAGAGGATATCGCTATGGCCAGCGTGAGCGTTGCGAGTGATGGATCTCTGCTATGTGCAGGTAATAATAAAGTATGATCCTTGCCAAAATACCTTACGTTTGGAAATCCTTTTTCATATCCATTCTATACTAATCACGGATTGAACATTAGGGAAATGTTTATCTCTGGCGTATGATTCAGGATCGCGATCTAACCAAAATCGTGCCATTTATCACTTTCCAGGCGCATAAGGACTACCTAACTCGAGTGCTACTTTCTCCTGATGTCAAGCATCTCGCCACGTGCTCAGCAGATCATACTGCTAAAGTGTGGTCGCTGTATCCAACGCATGGTCCGTCCAGGGATACGGAGGAAACGAAACAGGGAGCCGACGACGAAACGGCCAACGAGAAAACGCAACCTAAGAGCGCCTCAGCGATAGCAACAGATCCGACACCCACCACAAACGGACACAATGGCGTATTGAACAGTGATGGTACGCTCCGCTCACACATACACTTGATTCCCGTTGATAGTTATATACATACTTATACTGAAATAAACCACCCGCTCATTTACTTTATAGATATATTTCTAGATCCCTCAAAGGCTAGCAAGCCCCTTACAGACACCAACGGGTCCACAAATATATTCCCAACTCCGTCCGATGCGCCCATAGACCCTAACACCAACGCTCCGTACCTTGAGGCTACGTTAGCCAGTCACCAACGTTGGGTGTGGGATTGCGCTTTCTCGGCAGATTCGGCGTATCTCGTCACAGTTTCCAGCGATCACTATGCGCGCCTTTGGGAGCTGTCGTCGGGCCAGATCATTCGTCAGTATAGTGGACACCACCGCGGTGCGGTCTGTGTTGCGTTGAACGATTATTCGGAGCCTCGATAGTAATACATATGGGAACTTCGGTTGGTCATGTCATGTTGAACGAATAGCCCTCTTTGAGAGAAGAAGTGGATTTATATTTGATTTCGGAGCGGTTACGCAAGCTAACACCCTGTTTCTTTTCTTTTCTTTTCTTTTCTTTTCTTTTTCTTTTTCTTTTTTTGTTTGATTGTATTGATATTGTACCCATTTGTTATCTTCTCATCTATGAAAATTATGCATAGGTATTTCATATGTCAGCGAGGAGTTTGGGTGATTGTTTAACTGCAGTTTGCATTTGCATTCAATTGTCTTTTCTATTTCATTTGCATTCTGGCGGCGAAGTACGGAAGCAAGTCTAAGAGCTAGGAGGATGGCTTTACACAACGCTGTTTCTCTCTGGTTCAGATATATGTATATATCTCACGTTTAGGTGGCCAATCTGACGATATGCGTTCCGCAGTATGGATCTTTAACCGTTTCTCGTCCGTATTCATATCCATTCAGTGCCAATATAAGGGAGCCTAGCACAAATGAAATCTGAATATTTGAGCACGTAACCCCTGATTCAAGATATATATTTACTGGAATTGTGTCCTTGTCATCATCCATCCGGCTGACATGTAACAAAAATCAGCATTCCATCAGTGACACGAGAAGCAGCATCAATAGAAAGGATGAATCTAAAAATAATAGTAAGATACTTGGGTAAGAAAACCTCGCAAAAGATACGTAGAATATAAATAGCAGGGAAGAATGACGGTATAACAATACTATATCTCTCAGGGCCGATGGCCTATAGGTTACAGAAGGTAAAAAATATGGTAGAAGGGATGGGAGAAAAACGAGGTCTGATACAGGACAGAGATACATCATACAATCCAGTCAGTTCGCGCCAAACCACACGATATTCAAGACCAAGTCTAGTCCCTTATCCTCCGCGTTTGGGTATTTGAACGTCCACATTCCATCACGGCTAACGTCCCAGTATGCCCCGGAGGCGGAATGCATTCCTCGTTTACCAACTTTCTCGCGCGACTCTGGGGTATCTGGCGCTGTTACTCCTTGTTGTATGATTGTGCAGTTTACGTTGAAGCGGTATGGCGGGGGTTGGGGGTTGTCGGTTTCGGCATCATCGTCTGGCTGATCAGGTGTTGTGGCTTCAATGAGTGATTGGAGAACTGTGTTCTGTAGCGATTTGTGGACTTAAGTTAACGATTGGAACGTTGTGGGATACGGTATCATGAGTGTTTTGAGGTAGCGGGAGGTTGGGTCTGAAAAGGTGGTCCCCGCGATTTGCTCACGGTTGCCATTGATGGTTTTTGAGGTGTGAGAGGGCATTGGGGGTTGTTAATCTATTCAACCGTGTTAACAATAGAGAGATGAACGCACAATTATATGAGAGCTCCATTGGCCGACTTGTTCATGGTCGTAGCTCTGAACATCCTCCAACGCCGCGTCACATGCCTAAACGAACGTGAATGGATTGTTAGCGAGAGATACTTATAAAGCCAGTCATTCGAATGGGCACATACATCAGTCGCAATTTCTGTTAGGTCCGCAATTGGGATAGGCTATGTGTGTTAAGAAAGGACGTCAGTCAGTAACCACGGCGAATTGGTGTGGTTATTGAAGTGGAGTGTGCAGCGTCTAGGAACGTACAAGGTTGGCCCCACCTGCTTCACCACCCATGATCAGTCGAGAATATGAGTATGATTATTAAAAAGGTTAGTTGAATGTAAATGAGGAATACGGCGCAGGTTACAGAATATAAGCCGGGCGGAGGTTTTTTATAATATGTCGAGAGGTGCTGATTCTACATGGATGCTGACCAATCTCAGGCGCGCATAAGCTGCGGAGTCAAAAGTTTCCTAATCAGGGGAAGAAGCGCGTATGCGGTATCCGGCTTAGGAACACGATTGGCTGGGATTAGCGCGGAGGGAAAACCACTATCAGCCTTGGGCGCTTGAGGCTGCCATGTCCTCTCAGCAACGATAACCAGAGAGTTCAAGTGAGCTAAATGCGTCGGGACATAGTTGACATAGTTCACACCATGTAAAGTAGCTGCGTAAGAATGGCCAGTGCACTGGTTTACAATGTAAAAGCAATGACGGAGTGCTAAGGTCCTCTAGCTATGATGCAATGTGTCAAGCCAAGCAGCGATCCACCAACCACACCAAACTTCGCCGCCACGTGATGGTCACTTCGGCTTGTAGCAACTGCGATAGTTATCTCACAAGACGGCGCGGGAGTCATTTGGGGTCCGCAGTTTGAAAGGCATTCTTCGGAGCGTATTATCCTTTCCATTTTCCTTTTTGGTGAACCTTCCTATCTCCTGTGATTGCTATACACTATCCAATTTATCCCACAGTTCGACTCTCAATTCCGCTGCTGGCAGAGAACTTGAGAACAAAACTCTGGACCTCCTTTCGCCGTAGCAACAGTTCTCAAATACCCATTTATTTTCCGTATATACTTTCTCTTGGAAAATGTCAAGTCAGCCCCTTCTCCAATCTGGCCCAGGTACGTTCCGCCCAGACTCCCTTTCCAATTGCGTTTGCAGGGTATTGTTTTTTCCTTTATGTGGGCGGAGACTTGCACAGCCATACATAATACATATATATAACGCACAGCATGTGCAATTATTATCACTCCCAAGTCTCCGACTTCTAACTCGGCTCTCTCCCCATTAGGCAAGCGCATCGCCCTCCCCACCCGTGTCGAACCGAAAGTCTTCTTCGCGAACGAGCGAACATTCCTCTCATGGCTCAACTTCACCGTCATCCTTGGCGGCCTCGCTCTGGGTCTTCTCAACTTCGGTGATCGCGTAGGCCAAATAAGCGCCGCCTTGTTTACCTTCGTGGCCATGGCTGCCATGATATATGCGCTGGTGACGTTCCATTGGCGGGCAAAGAGTATACGGCAGAGAGGTCAAGGCGGGTTCGATGATAGGTTTGGACCTAGCATCTTAGCTGTCGCGCTGCTTGCGGCTGTTATTGTCAATTTTGTGCTGAGGATCCATGAGGGAACGAAGGGGAAGGCTTGAGCGGGTTAAGTGTCGGGTTAGTTATTTGGTCGTGGCTTGGTTCCTGGGGATGAGGTACAGCGCATTTAGGTTCTTTTTGGACCCCATTGCTGCTGGGTTGTCTGACACCCAGACGAGTTTGCTATCCAATGTATAGAAAGCAGGCCGTCTCATTTTGTTGCCCTTGTATGTTTGATGTTTGGGGCCCTTGTTGGTGATTTGCATTTCATGTTGTTAATTTTGCCATTGTATAAAACGGGAAACAATGGATTTTGGATACATATTCCCCTGCATAGAGGATGACATATTCGCCTTCCCCCTCCTCCTCTATACAATATGCATAACAAATCTGCAGTCGCTTCTATTTACCTACCGACACACTATGTAAAGTCACGATCTAACATATCCTCTTTAAGCTTGATTGCATTGTGCTTTGGTGCAGGATAGTGCTAGGGATCGATTACTAAAACTCACGCTACGGTATCATCATCATCATCATCATCATCATCATCATCATCATCATCATCATCATCATCATCATTTAGATTTGAACGGCTGAGAAATTGGGTTTTCTCATTACCAAGGATGAGATCCGACTTCTGTCCAGAAAAGGTATTTTCCTTGCGCTAGGTTCTTTTCCATATTTTAAGCCCCTCCATCCGTCAGAGGTCAAATATGAGCTCTTCCGCAGTCGGCCTTTCCTCAAGCAACTAGTGTAGAATCCTCTGAAGAAACTCCAGAAATCCTTTTTTTGTTTTCTCCCTCAAGATCTTCTACAAGCCATTCAGGGGAGATGTCAGAGATGAGCGCATCTCTCCAATTACCTTGAATGTTTTGTCAACATTAGCAGAAAATATGAGATCTGCCACTCCGTGGATTTGAACATGTATCCACATACTGTTTTCGTCCCATCATATAGATGTAAGCGGCGGGTCGAGGATCTCGCTGCTTATCTAGGGGAGGTCCTTAGGACTCTACGAGGATAAAGCTATGTATACTAGTGGCAGCCTGCCCCTATCACCCCCCTTCTGAGGATGGGTAAATGAATCTCTAAATCCCAGGGATGAAGGCATCTTTAATTCCTTCAAAGAGTTGGAAAGTTCATGCACAACACTCTTTAGCTGGAGCTTCATGGAACATACAGCTGGGATAGAATGGAGCAATAAGCTCAGAAAAGCTATGCTCTTAGATATTATATATATCATCAAGGAATATAATTGCTAGATATATTATCACTAGATGTCATCAATATATATCATCATCGATAGGTAGGTAGGGAGGTAGATAGGTAGCTAGTTATATCAGCAATCAATCGGATATCAAGCAGGTTGGTAGATAGATAGATAGACAAACAATTCAGGGGTAAGAATAGGTATCTAAGCCAATTATGAACTAGTGTCAAAATCAAGTCTCCACTGCATAAATAAAAATGGAGAATATCCAGCATTTAAACCAATCAGATCTATAATAGGTATTACTTTTAATGTACTATGTATACAGGCATGTGGTTGTTGAGATATTGAATATTTAATATTCCCTAACATTTGGAGCGAAGGTATACTTTGGTGGGGGTTGGCAATACTTATGGCACAGATGCCCCTGCGGAAAAGTTTTGTCTCACGATAGGAATTTACACTGAAATATTCTTACCAGTATACTGAATCTTATGCCCAGACTGCCTGGGATTTTGGCAGTACTCGGGGCATTGACCTCTATTTCCCCCCCTAAGAGTCCCTATTCTCTTAATTAATTAAGAGATGGAACGGCAATACTTAATGCCGATATCAATATTATTTCAGTTTGAATTCTTAGTGTGAGTCAAAACGTTTCGCTGGAAACATCTGTGTTTCTCACTTGGCATGTTTGTTCTTGTTTGTCGTACAAAAGTCACTACAGAGTAGTTAGGGTAATTCAACTTCTTCTACACCCGTACTCTCACTCCTAAATCCATATTCACCACCCTGTGTTGGGAGTGTTGAGGTTTAGGGATTAGGATTAGGGGCTTAGGGGTTAGTATTAGGTTAGGATTATGGTTAGTTCGGCGGTTAGGCTTGTTAATAATGCCTCATGATGTCCCACTGGGGCAAAAGAGCTCAATCACCACCAACGCCATGGGGTATATAGAGGGGACGAATCACCTAGTTAATCCAATATTATTTTAACTGGGTGTTAGGCTGAAAGCTTTTCGAGCCAAGATTCAAAACCACGTTCAAATGGAGAAAGCGCCGTGAGTCAGCAAGGCTTGAGAGTAATAGCCTTGCCTGGACTCTCGCCGCCACGCACGATTCGGCGTTACATTCCCAGCACGACATCGCAAATGGAGAGAAGATTCACTGTGGCGTGGCATCTGATACCAGTATCGGCCGTACATCGTAAGGTGTTGCGAGGCCGGATATAATACGATACGACCCACTGCTTGGCCCTACGGGCTGCGGAGCCCTGGAGGACGCCATGACTAATACGGGCTAGTGGAATACGAAACCGGTAACATTCTGGGGCAGCCTGGCCCGTATCGCCGGCAACATCACCAAACGCTCGTCCCTGGCCTGAGAGACGTCACCTTTCCTCCTGCACCTCTTCCATCCAGACCTGCGCTGCCAGATAAAATCAACAGCACTTCACCGCTCGACTTACCACCACTGCTACCTCCACTACCACCACCGTCTAGTTTTCTCTTCGCAGCGTCGGTTTCCTACTTAGGGAAGCCATCTGGTTATCCTGACTTGCGCCGCAATCTCCCCAGCAGGTGTTTCAAGTGGCCGCTCCCGTCGCTGCTTGTGCGACTGAGAAATCCTGACCCCGACCCTCTGCGCTCCCAGCTCTACTCTGACCTAACTGCCTGGTGCTGGTAGTCGTTCGCTAAATTCTATTTCCCCTTTGAACGCTATCTTCTCTCTCTTGCCCACCTCCAGCAGCCAGCACGTTCACTTCCTTTCGTCCTGACCCTGGCAACCTTGCGCAACATCCATCCCCTTTAAATTCACTCGAAACAACCCCTGGCTATACACTACAACTACCGTCGCTGTCGCGTAACCGATGCGCCTCGTCTATATCGTTTACTCGTGCGTCACTATTGCAGTAGCATAAGTCGTTTTCTTCCCCGGACCCCGTGAGAGACGAAAAGAGGTTTTGTAATCAATCGTGGCGATCGGTACATTTTCGTATGGCATGTTTCGATTGCTTCCATGGTCTTCTGCCGTTGGGGCCAATAAAGTGACAGCGGAGGAGTTGAAGATGCTAGGCGCGCCCCAGCGGAGATCTCCCATCGTGGAAAATCATGCCATTCACATGTTGAAGAGGAAGCGTGCGGACTCTAGTGAAAGGGTCACTCCTGCGCCAGAACGCTTCCAACACTCCAAGATATATACCCGTCCCTTCGATGCGAATGGCAATGATAGGACAACAATATCTCCACACTCACCCTCGTCAATGGGGAAACTAGAATCCCCAAAGCCATCGCCACAACGTGACCCCCCAACCCACAACTCGCTACAAGCTATGAGACAAACTACGGAGTCTGGAGACAAGCCCCCGTCCACAAACCCAGTGGAGTCGGAATCAACAGCAACTGCAGGAACAGCCCTGAAAATGGATACAGAAACTTTACGCCGCACGCTCGAATCACAGTTGAGCCTGGAAATACTCCTGAAACATGATGAGCTACGATTGATCGACCAGGAAATGGCGAAATGTCAAGTCGCACTGGACCAACTTCGTCGGTGTTCCGAAATTCCGTATCCTGGATCAAATATTTCGGGGCTCTCCCACGATGTCAGCAACGGCACTGGAAACGCAATAATGCCTGCGGCCGTGCATGGTCCACCACCAATATCACCATCGCCGTGGGGTATCACTGATGGGCCCTACAGCAGGCACTATGCTAAGTGGCTACTTCCTGACCCCCGGTTCGATGGAGGTGAGGTTGAGACTCCGATTCCCCTTTCCGCAATTGCAGCAGGCACGCCCACAGACGGACGGATAACACGCGGTTCGTGGTCAGAACAAGGGGTTACTGGGACTTTGCGTTCACAACGCGGCTCTGCTGGCTCCAAATTGCAAGCACTATCTAGCGGGTATCCGCAACCGAAGGATAAAGCCGGACCTATGATAATAAAGCGCAAGAGCGATGGCCAACTTGTCAAATTAGTTTGTCTTGATTGCAGGAGGGAGAATTTCTCCAGCACCCAAGGCTTTATCAACCACTGCCGGATTGCACATAACAGGAATTTCGCAAGCCATGACGCTGCTGCTGCTGCATCCGGAGAGCCGGTAGAGGTCGACGAGAAGGGCATGGTTATTGGGAATAATAACGATGTACCTGCGGGAACCGCGGTTGGATATGTGCATCCTCTGATACGGTCAGCTCTCCTTGTTGGTTCTACTCCGCAACCTGGTGCGCGTCGTGCGGGCCCCCAGAATCAAACAGCAAAGCGGCCCAGTGTCAGCGGAACACCTCGTACTTGCAGCAATCAGCCTGGAAACGGATCTTCGCCGTCGCAAACCGAAAAGACCTCTATTTCAAGCCATCCGCGACCGCAAAAAATTGTCGTTGAATCTCCCAGTTCCTCTTTTCAAGCTTCTCCAAAGACTCCAAATCTATCTTCCCTAATGAAAAGGAGGGGTATGACAGTGGATCTGCTTGACATCGTGAATGACGCCTTGACGAAAACAGAACTAGACATGTTTTCAGAGGATGAGTTAAGCGATGGGGCAGAAACTGAGAATGAACACCCAAACCATGATCGATCTAAACTTAGTGTCCGAGGAAGCAGATTACCCGCGCGAACGATAGTTTCACCATCCAATGTATCGTGGCCCGAGAGCCGAAAACGAGCTGAAAAACCAAGCTGCAAGCCTCAGCCCGCTCCTCTTCCCCTTCCCCCCTCGCCTCGAACCCCTTACGTATCTCCATATGCCCCAGCTTCAGGGTCCTCTCATGCTCACGATGTCGACAACCAAAGAAGTCAAGAAAACAACGTCGATATAATAATGGCTGATTCGATTTCTTCTGATCTCAGTCCTCACACTGCGGAGTCGAACCAGGCACCAAGCCTTGTCAGTGATGACGAGGATTATGAAGCACCGTCAGAATCAGTAACGCCTAGCCCCAGCCCTTCCGTGGCAAGCGATGTGGGTCCTGACAACATCGAGGTTAGGGATGGTGATGAGGGCAGCGGAGGAGGCACGAACGTAGCCACCACAGCAGCGTCAGATACGAAACCAGGACCCGAAATTACCAGCCCTTCCAAACATCACCCTCCCCCAGTTCCTCGAGAAGTTTACAAGCGGGAAGTACCCAGGAAGAAGAAGAGAAGCTCTCAGAATACCGGAAAAGCACCTACCGTTACCGCTCCTACTCCCGCGACCCCGTCCCGTGCCAATGAGAAAGAGCAGAGGCATGTTAGCTTTGTGAGTCCGATTACCACTCCACGAAGAACATCGAAGGATGGCGGTGGAAAGAGAAATCGTCGTGGATAGATTTGATCGTTCGACCGTAATAATTTCTAAATCTCTATGAATGATGTACTATGTGTTTTCCCTTTTTGTTCACTCGTCCACTTTTACTATTAGAGACTATTGTTTTTCTCTCTACTGCAGAGATTTTTTCCGTGCCCGAGACTTAAGACGTTGCTATATACGTTGCTATATATTTTGTACATTTTCACCTACCGACCAACCGAAACTGTGAGTCCTGGCAGGTTTTTGTTTCCTTATGAACGAATTCCCTTCTGCTTCTCCTCTCTCCATTTTCCTTTACTCCTTTTTCTCTTAAACCGTTTTGTAGGCCTGCTTAGCCTTTCGCCCTCACCCTCATGGTTCCTCTCTCCTCTTCTTCTTCCAGCAATTTATTTATTATTATATTTATTACTGTACGGGCGGGAAAGGGAATGGCTGGGCGGGCTTGTTGTCTGGGTCTGGGATATGGTTGTACTCTTCTTGCTTCCTCCTGGGTTCTCCTTTGCTACCTTTTTTATTTCCCACGCTGGTCGGTTTTGGTTGGTCCAGGGTCTTGGGTCTGGGTTCGGCGGGACTGGGTTGATATCAGGGGCCATAAAGGGATTATTGTATTTTGAAACTTATCGACCGTGTGTGATTATCCAATCTGTTTATCTTTTTTCTTGTTCTCCTGTTTTTGATTTTTATTTCTTTTATTCTGTTCACATCTCTCATGTCTTTGACTTTTCTTTCTTTGTTCATATTTCTCTCTCTCTCTCTCTCTCTCTCTCTCTCTCTCTCTCTCTCTTCTTTTAGCCTCCCCGCCCGCAAAATAGGTATTCATTATTTTCTCACTTCCACCACCACACAGTTCAGTGCTTTGGTTTTCCTTAGATCGACCTTACTTCCTCTGGAGGGGGCCTTTACCCATGCCACCTCAACTTCAAAACTTCCACAATGCACATAAACAAGATGTATTTTGTATGTCCATAAAGCTGCAATCCACGGCCCCTTCCAGTTTCCATAACACATCATGCCATATGATGATGATACACAAATCCAAACACTCTCCTCATGCCGCTCCTCGAGTCCTCCGGCGCAGATGGCGCTTGATTTCTATCTATCTAGCCTTAAGAGTTGAAGAGTTGAATGCTTTAGTCCCCTCCCTCCCCCTCCCCCTTTTGCTTGCTTATCTTCTTTCTCTTTTGGGGTTATTTCACATGTAGTTTGATCCAAGTGTTTTCTCCTGCTTTTCCTACTTTCACGCAAATATGTATAATATATACATGGTAGTTATCTCACGATATTAATTGTTTTCATATGGTCTTAGTGAGTTTAACTATAGCTTCTTTTATTCACCCATATATAATTAGATCGAAAATTGTATCTACTTTGGACTGCAAAGATTTGCACCGTCCATACGGAGTGCATTGTTTATTTAGATTCTCTCCGTCGAAAACGATGGCGTGTTTGATTCTAGCCTCTATCTTTCGCTGCTTGGCGCGGCGATTGAGTTCTGTCGTCATGCGAAGCATCTCTGAGCCTGACCTGACATGTTTAAAAGCCAACTAACTATATCCGCGTTCTCCGATGTATTTCTTTGTGATTTGTAGCATCTATTTCTCCTGAGTTTCAAATAGTATATACACCATATATCCTGCTACTTTTTGAATAAATCCTGATGGGATTTCATCGGACAAGCGGCCTTCCCCAGGTCTTCTAGGAACCCGAGGATTGATTGTCTGGGGTGGAGGGAAATCGCTACACCACTGTCATTTGCTTGCTGCCTTCAAGGTTATCAAAGGAGGCTTCCCTTATCTCGGGGCGGTGGAATTTATTATACGGATTTTTCTTTTCTTTTACTATCGTCACCTCATCTAACATCTGAACGTAGGCTGGAATCTGCTGTACCTAGCCCCCCTTCTCCGTCATATAGGAACGGCCGGAGAGGGACAGCTCGCTTCTTTATTCTGCGAGGATTATATCGCCAGTAACGAAACAAGACAGGACATGGCTTCAAAAAGCCCCCTCGCGCCAGCCAAAATCTCCCGTGCCACCATCTCATTTCTCCTATCTCTCTATCCCCACACCATCAGAGAATTCTACAGGGCTAAACTGATAGCCAAGTCTACACCGAAAGCGGGCGCGAAAAATTCTTCGAAACGGTCTACGACGAAAAGAAAGACCGAAGAAACTATAGAAATGGAAGTCGAAGCCTTTTTGGAATTAGGTAAATTGCGCTATGAGATTATACCTGCTGCTCTGAAAAATAGAGCTGGAATTGGCTCTGCTACAGACACCAGTAAAAAGAACGAAGGAAAGGGGGAAGAAGAAGATGTGAAAAGACCAAGGAAAAAGATAAAGGTATCAAAGGATGATGATGGCTCACCCGCTCCGGGTCCCTTTCTAGAGAAGGATGAGATAGTCAATCTTATGGACTGGAAACTGTATGTGCCAATCCCAACCTAACTCAACCAGTCTGCTCTGTGATCGTTCCATCTGTCACACGCAATGTGCTCATGACATTTTCGCAGCAAGCATGGCTCCCACCGACCAGCCCTGATGGGTATGATACGATCAAATCCAGAATCCCTCGTGAGGTCCACTACCAGGATGGCCTTCTCGCAACTGCGGAGTGTCCTATCCAATACAGGCGGCGAAAATTTCCCCGCCGCGCCACTCGAGACGCTAACAGGTCCCCTCAGGGGCGTGGGGCCGGCAACTGCATCCCTTTTCTTGTCTAGTGCACCCTGTCAAACGTCTTCAGATGATCCATCTAGCATGGATATAAATGCGCCCCCGTTTTTCAGTGACGAGCTTTTCAATTGGCTTTGCCTGGATAAATATGCGCATGACTTCCCCAACAGCAGCAACAGTGGGAGAGATGGTGGTGGTCCGAGACCCAAGGGGAAGTCACCAGCGATGACGGAGGCTAAAATCAAATATAACATGAAAGAATATCGAGAGTTGTGGGAAGCTGTGAGGAAGCTTAGGGAGAGGGTCAATCAGATTCATAACGAAAAGGGGGGCGTAGGAGACGGCCGTGGTAAATTGGGGAGCAAGAACGAAAACATCTCCGTGCTGGATATTGAGAGAGTGGCGTTCGTTATTGGCCATCTTGACGTGTCGGGGTATGAGGAAGCGATGAAGGAAGCATCTATAATGGCAACCTAGGGGATGGGAATGCCGATGATTTTCAGTGCAGTACCCGTGCTTGCAACTGGTAGTGTGAAAGCTATAAATGCAGGAAAGGGGCAAAAAGAGGAGAGGATGTGAGCTTTCATAGAAAGCTCAAGGAGAGTGATTACGTTAAGTATAGTGTACATGTCTGATTTCTCCTTGCCTTACTATGTAACTTTCATTCGGAACAATGAATACTTGGAGCAAAAAATTGAAGTCAAGCCAACTAGCGAATTTAGTTATATGCCATAAACCCGAAGACAGCCTATTGAATACACAAATTAACTATTCTTACAAGCCCCTAGAGTTTCCCCATCCTCGTTTCATCAAACACAGCGCACATCCATTCCTTGTGTCCTAAAACAGCGATCAATTCACACCTGGTAGCTTCAATTCCTCTGCTCGATGAATTTTCAGCAATCCACCCACGGGCTCAACTGAGAGAATGAGAAAAATTGAACTTGTAACGAAACGAGCGTCAGCTCCACCAAGGGAACGCAAAGGAATACCAACTTCTCCAACTGAATTAATTAGTGACCATCCCCCTTAATTTACTTGCAAACATTCTACAGGATCCCCCCTAACGCCCAAAGCTACAACAAACCTTTGACTACCAAACACCCCCCCCCCATACACACGACTTTCACATCAAATACCCAATCCCCGCAAGCAACATCCAAACGAGTCCTCCCATTCCCATCTCACCACCAACAACCACCATCCCTGCCGCCGCATTCCCTGTGGCTGAAGCTGAACTGCGCGCTCCCGTGCCGGTAGCAGTGCTCTCCCCCGAAGTTTGGGAGGCGGCACCCGTATTTTTCGTCGCAGTAGGTTTTAGGGTCGATACAGGAGTGGTTGTTCGGAGAGTATCCGCAGCGTTGCAGTTCGCGACTTTTGCGGAGTCTACGCCGAACCGGCCTGGGTCCTGGGGACAATTGTTGTAGCAGCTACATTCGTGTTTCAGACGAGTTAGTAATTGAGCGTTGATCATTTTTTTTTTCAAAACTTTCTCTGTGATTGCTATTCTTTGGAAGGAATTGTGATAGAAAGGGGGACTTGACGGGGCTCGGGCTTGCGATGAGTAGTGGATATATCGTACGTCAGGATAGCGGTATATTTGTCACAGAGGCAGATCCAATCTTGCACGGCGCAGGTTGAAAGAAGGAGATTGGTGGATTTCAGGCAAGCATCGAGAATACTGTGTGTTCAGGATTTTGGTTAGTAACGGAATTCTGTAAATATTTCAAGCTTCACAATTGATCTCCGTCTCTAGTTTTTGTGGTTTTTTCATCATCGTCTCGATCTTTCTCTGGCCACGCGCAAGTCTTATCAACAAAAAGAAATCACGTACTTCTGCGCCTGGCATTTTGAGGAGCTGCCGCTGTCGGCGGCAGCGACATTTATATTCGCCACGCCAATGCAAAGGAAAGTAAGAAAGGCCGATAGAGAAATAAATGAACGCATATTTGGCAATGAAAGTGGACGATATATATGAACGGATGGAATGGAAAAATTAACGAATGTAGGTGTTTCTCTCCTTTTTTGATTTCAATTTCTAGCTCAATGCTTTTTGTTGCGGTTCACACAAGAGAAGTTGTGTGAAAGCCTTGGCATATGAAAGCGAATTATTTGATTTGAAAACACCTGAAAGCTGGTGAATATATGAATGAATGAAATGGGCGGATGATGATGGGGAAGAATGAGCGTGGGAGCACTGAGGAGATGAGAAACACCAGGTTCAGGAGAAGATGGAGCGTTGTTTCGCCCGCGTCATAGACATCGAACGCCGGACAGAAAAGGGGTAATCCAGGTTGTGAAACATTTTCCTTGAGAAACACAGGCAATTAACGATAGCTCCTGCATGTGGAGCCAAATGTGTTACAGACTATTTGAAGCCGAGACCGTATCTGGTTTGTGGCAACTGGTAGGCGTTGCGCTTTGGCTCGGTTCGTATGGCACTACGCAGCGAGCCAGTAACAACAGCACATATTGGCGACGTTGGTGGGAAGGGGAATGGAAAGCCGAACAGCATTATTTATTTAGACTGGGCTTCTCTGGGAAATTCCTGGGGAAGTTGCAAGATTTCTGAAGAAGTGTGATTAGCTGGTTTTTGTCACCCACGAGAAAGGGTTGCAAAAGAAAAGGGTCGAAAGAAAAGGACATCTCTTGATCAGTGCTAGAAGGGTCTGGAGCACATTTATCAATGAATATGATGCTTTGAAACCATGGTTGCCAGTTTGAAGCCTGTTTCGGCGCCTCCAAAAGCCAAGATGTATGCAATACGCGAGGTTTAGCGGCCATGCAGGCAGGTGATACCGTGCTACTTCAACACACTCTTATTGCACAGCTTTCGCAGAAGATGAGATATTGAGTCAACTCGATGTGAGAGGAGCGACAGAAATACACAGAAAATCCTGGTGGAAGTCTGCTTGTGGCCAAAATCAACTTCGGGTTCCAGTTCATTTTGTGATTTATAGCCGGTGTCCTAACCCAACTACCAGTTAGTTGACTGACCAATCACCAGGTTGAAGGAAGTTGGAACATGCCAACTTGTATCACAGCCCCATACTCGCTCGACGTATCCGCACAAGTATTACATAGTATCCAATCTAAGATATCTTCGACCTATTCATGATATAGCTGCTCCTCTCGTACTTCATGTTTTTGCTCGATATTCCTTTCCGTGCTTTCTGTTCTTTCTTTCCCCACCTGTCTCCATGCATTGTCCAGTACATGCATGCATATATCAAACCTGGTTTATTTAATGATTGGCAATGTCATTTGGTGCGGGATACTGACAGGAGGTTGTATCATCATAAAAGAGGAGGAAAGGTGGGGAAGTGAGGGGGTAAATTATTACGTACCTACGGAAAAAGAGAGAGAGAGAGAGAGTGAGAGGAAGAAGAGAAAAAGGAAAAAGAAAACAATAAATTTGCTGGGCGTCATTAAGGGGAGGATGAGGAACAAGCAGAGGAAAACACTGGTAAAGCAAAGAAGAGGACAATGAAATGCAAGGAAAGAAGAAATAAAACCGGCGAAGAAGGTAGCAAGGTCATAAAAAATTTTTTTAAATGAGGGAAACAAAATAAGTTACTCATGTCATGTTCATAAATAGGAGATATTGATACCCCCCTTTCAATTTCCCCTCTCCACACACCTCCCTTAGTCTCTACATTATACAGAAGAGAGAGAAGAAGGAAATGAAGGAACCAAGTTATACACAAATATATGGCGGTAGGAAATATGCTTATATAAAACCACTTCGGACAAGGACAAAAAAGAGAAGGTCTGCCTCTGTGATAAAAATTGGAATAGTAAATAGCATTTGTATGGCTGGGTTTCCATTTACTCCTGGCCGAAACCTAAGGTCTCCTCGACGGCGATGGATAACTTATGCTGCAGTTGTTCGTATGTCTTATATGGCGGTAGATCCAAACGATTAAAGCTGTAATTTTTCGAACCAGTTAGTATCAAAGGAAACATGAAAGGGTAAAGAAAAGAAACGCCAATTGAGATATAAAAAGAACCTACCATGTATGCGATTTGGGTAATGCGGTGATCTCTCCAGATTTTTCAATGGTGAATCGCCTGGGTCCATCGCTACCTTGCAGGTCTTTAAAACCGTTAACAGGAATGCGCGAGGTACCCGTTGCAAACTGTAGGAGACGAGATTTTTGCTCCGCATCCCAGCTCCGTATGACCTTCCAGAAGTTCTGGATCACTTCGTCCTGCTCCTGGTAGCCGCGGTAGTCGGTGTGTTTCTTCCAATCGTCCACATCGATATCGGCAATACCACCAATTAGGAGCTCCAATTCACGCTCATCGAAGACGTTGACAAGGTCAGCGGGGATGAGTTCGTTGAATCCGGTGATGAAAGCGTTGAACTGTTCTTCTACTCTTTTTTGGATTTTCCATTCTGTGATCAATCTAATTTGAAGTGGTCAGTTAGTTATAATTCTGGTGCTTATTCCTATGGACACTATTAACATGCAAATGGGTATGTACATACTCAACATATTGCTTTTTGTTCTCATTGGTAACAGGAATGTTGCTGCCGTTTGGTATTAAGTCAACGGTTTTCCTCTCGCCGAATTGGTCATCGTCAATGGAGAATGTAAGCTCGTCGAAGACACCGGTAATATCATGTTCCCTAATTGGTAGGTCAGCAGACTTGGTATACTCGTAACTCTGAAAAGAAAAATAAAATCATACAATGTCCATGTTAGATTTCGGTGGAAATCTTCATCCACACCCTCCATATCCTGCAGCGTAACCTTCTTCCTTAACATCATCTTATAAAATGCGCCGATGAAAAATGAATCAAGGAAGCGTCGGTGGAAGATAGCAAGACCGACAACACGCCCTATGAATTTGAAATAATTCAAATGCTCAGGGTTGATACCGGAATGTGGGTTGATTTGGAGGGTGTAATTGTCATGTGCGGAATACTCGAATAAGCAGTAGAAAGGGTTGAACATTTCGTGGGAAAGCAAGAAGAAGAATTCTCTGTTTTTTTTTTTTGTTAGTACACAGGGGAGTTTTATATTTGACGACGACAATAAACGTAAAAACAGACGAACCTGGAAAGGCCACCATAATCGAGACCATCTTCTCCATCGAATTTGATCATTAACCTCTTCTTCAAATCCGAAGCACTCTGTCGCATGATCTCTGCATACGAGTCCTCGAAAATAGCACCTCGTCGGACTTTGACATGGCATTGTCCCGACATGATCCGCAACGCCGGCTGGGATCTGAAGTAAATAAGCTTGCGCCGGAAATCACGCTTGTATTGCGGAACGCCTTGATCCAGAGACGATGGCAGTCGTGGGTCATCCCAGGTGGTAGTTTTTGTATTGTGATCAACGAAGTACACCCGAGCGGTGTTGGTGAGCCTCATTTCCCAGCCGCTTGGTAGCGGCCCGAGTTGACTCACAGGCTGTTGTTGAATAGTGGTGTTATTTCCATTAGCATTTTGGCCATACATGCGGATATACTGCTGACGACGCGGATCGACCCAGGTAGTCGTTCTCGTGTTATGGTCCACAAAATACGGCCGGCCTTCCGGCGTATAACGTTGCTCCCACCCTGCTGGAAGCTCGCCACTGCCCGCTGTCGTAGCTCCCGTGGCCATCATAGAAGCAGCATTCGCATTGGAAACCCCAGGAGGAGTTCCTGCCTGCTGGGAGTCCGGTGGGTTTGGCGAACTGGCGCCTGTGCGGTCCTCGGGAAGCATCCGGCTTTGATGAGCCCTGCGTTCCATCTGCATGTTGGCTTCCAGCTGGGTGCGTTGGGCTTGCTCGTTGTATTGTTGTGAAGGGCGTGTCCATGTTGTGGTTCTGGTATTATGATCCACATAATATGTCCGGCCCAGATTATCTTCTCGTCTTTCCCAACCCGCTGGCAACCTGCCTTGGCTATCTTCGAATGAGCTCAGGTTGGCCCTAGAAGGAGTCGATCCATTTGCTGTCTGACTAGGTCCACTAATTTGTGGACCGGCAGTGGCGGGAGTTGCAGCAGAGGGAGCGCGAACGGGAAACATGGAAGAAGGATTAGCAGCAGCTGGCTGATCGTTGGTTATTTGATTAGCGGCGGCAGGAGCAGCCGACGCAGAGGACTGGGGTCGTAGTTGTTGCTGATATGCAAGGTTTGAAGATGGAGGTGCGTTTTGAGGAGGCCGTAAGGAACCGTTTTGTGGCGGAACAGGAGTTGACAAGTTCGTGGATAAGTTAACGATCAGTTTCCCGTGAACAACAAGATTATCGTTCGACTTCTTCAGGTCTCTTGTAAGCATCTCTGTGAGGAGGAGTAGTTAATAACCGTCTTTGATATCAAATAGGAGTATAGCTTTGGGAGTAAGATAATTCACCATCGTCGCCAACGTCTAAGTCTATCACATCCCCAATGCGAACGTTGATAACACCTAAGAAACCCTGGTCCTTCTTCTTGAACTTCTTTTGATCGAAAATCTGAATAGCAAGAATGGAATCTTCGGTGACTCTCCTGGTTATTGACAAAACTTGGTTAGATCCAGCGCCACAATACAAGGTGAATCAAACAGGGCTTTATGGGGTGACGTACAGGTCAAAGACTTCATTCCAGTATGGGTTGAGGGTTTTTTTGATCACTGACGTAGTGTGTGTTTGTTCACCACCAACCGTGGCTACTGCAAAGGGATCGGGGAATCCTGGATAAGAAACAGTGCAGTGCCTGCTGTCAATATGGAGTACTTCTCTTCACAAATGTCTCTATCTTCCTATCGCCCTTGGGAACCTGCTTTTCGGGACGGAAGGAGGGTCCAACTTACGGAAAACATCGCGTTTGTACAGCCCATCAGCAGCGATGACTTTAGTTCTTGGTCAATATAGGGGATATCACTGTGAACGGGACGAAGGATGGATGGATCCTTACTTGTGACTCTGAGATTTGGTTGACTGGCGGGGCAAAACGGATTAGCGCATCATTTCATCAGACAAATGGTGGCAACGTAGAGATGTAGATATTTATAGCAAAGGGAGACAGGGACATACGCAGGCAAGTTGGAACCCATTATGACGGCAATCCTAGCTCAGCAGGCCGTCTCCGTCTTCAGGACGGTGGAGATATATGCTGAGGGGTGGCTGGTGGAGGCTCACATCCAGCGGGGGAGGGAGCAGCAACAACAGCAGCGAACCCCAGAGCAGCTAGATAGACGCAATCTTGAGGAGTCGACAGTGGAGATGTATATTGAGGCCTGGATGCAACGAACAAACCACCGAGATAATTGGCGTGGTTGCAGGTGCTGATGCAGTAGCAGTAGATGTCGTTGTTGGTGGGCGGGAGGCTCAAAGATGTCAGATGTACTTGTCTCCAAGCCCGGCGTGGGAGCCGCCAACTGAGGCTGAGCAGTGGAACGGGCCAATCGCCGGCCGCAGCACTTGGGGCATCGGTGGCGCGCCGAGCAGGGCCAACCTCGCACAGGCCTCGTTATCAGTTACGGGGTATGGAGTACGAGGGTCGAGGAATTGGCTTGGGCTGGGACTTGAAGGTGTTGCAATGCCACAAAATGATTGATGCTTGCAGAGAACATCCTGACAACTGCCGCCAACCGAGCCCTCACCTCGAGTTGCACTGTACACGCACATATGGAGATCAGCCATTCGCATACTACAATTAGTATCTACCTCATGAGATTTCGGTTTACAGGAGAGCAAAGTGTTAATTAAATATGCGCTTGATCTCCATTTCTCTATGCTTATTTGAGTTGCACAGCGAACCGTCAGAGAGTCTGCTGTATGATGACGAGATATCCCCGGTTTTCAAAACTGGAAACGGTTGTTGACACAATTATCAGCAGGGAGCAAGACAGTACCCCCACCATAATATATTCTTTCTTTTTCTTTCTCTCCTCTGCATGTCCCCGTTCCTAAATTCCTGGCTGCAGGACAGCGCTCATAAATTTATGAATAATTCTGTCTTCCCCTCAGACCTAAGCCAAAAGAAGAAAAGAAAAAGCAAAATAAAGAGATGGTGTCAACAAGGACAAAGAAAGAGGAAGTCGATCTGAGAATAACCGGACTAATAGAAAGGAGAAAAGTGGAAAACAAATCGAAATGATATAATGAAACATACGGTGGATAGATTCGAACCCTCATTATCCCGCTCATTTTCAGTTATTTTTTCGGTTAATTTTTTTTCTTTTTTATCGCCTTTGCTTCAGATTCAAGAAATTTTTTGAAAAAAAAAAAAAAAAAAAAAAAACAGAAATATATGAATTGAAAGAATTCAACATCATATTCCCCATATCATATCATATTCATACACACCACACCATACCACACCACACCGCACTCCCAACGCTGAGTGTTCGATGTTATTCGATCCGATTGGGTCCCATGCTTGGCGCAAAGGGAGATATGGATGGAGTCTTGGTGGAATACTGGGCCATATTTGTTCGTCCCCCACCCCCTGCAGTTCCTTTTCGTTCTCTCCAATAAGTACAAAGTGCTTCCCTCTGGCTCAATTGCGAAATGGATGTATATTGCCGCGGACAAAATGTAAATAAGAAATTTCTTGCCTTCTCTTTTATTTTAGACAGGTTTAATTTTCAGTATGGTGCATATCCCCTGCCCCGACCCCGATAGCCTCCGCGATAGGCGCCTCGAGGAGGGAATCCCCCACGTCCGAATCCGCCGCGACCGATGCCCCGGCCCCGGCCCCGGCCTCGGGTCATTCCTGGTAGATTGGTTCGTTTGGGTACGACCTGAAATAAGGAACAATACGTAGAGGTTGGCTTATGTTAGTAACGTAGTTCTATGGATATAGATAGTAAATTAAGCAAGTAAAAGAGATGGGGAAAGAGGTAGTTTTCTCGCCTTCAGGTTCCTCCCGCGAAAGACACTCTCGTTCAAAACAAGTGCTTGAGCCACAAGACTCGGCTCCGTGAATTCTACATACGCATACCTGTGTGTATTTATACCAATTAGCGTTCCATCTCTTGCCCAGGCAGCGCGGAGTGAATTTTAAGAGAGCAAACACAGAAACAGCAAGGAGGGGAAAAAAAGAAATTAAAGAAAAACCACCAGTTAAACCATAATAACACAAGGGCCGGCAGCATAACCAAAAGAAAGGAAAGGTGAGACAAACCCCTTGGGATGGCCAGTGAACTTATCGAGCAAGATAGTAACTCGATTTATCGACCCGCAACTCTGGAAGTGCGCCTGGATCTCCTCCGGTGAGGCGCCGTAGTCGACGTTTCCGACAAAAATGCTCCGCGCATCGATATCCTCTTTATCCTCGCGCAGACTCTCGGACTGCTGGTCCAGCGACGCTTGCATCTCTCGTAGCTTGGCAGCTTCGGATTCCATCTCGGCCACCCGCCGCTTCATGGCGGCGATTTCTTCCTGGAAATGGAAAAAATGGATTTCTTGTTAGTTGTATCATATTCTGGCAATTTTTATTTTTCCTTTTTTTTATTTTTTAAATTTTTTTTTCTTTTTTGTCGGAATCAAATGGCATATCGCGGGCGGGAGGAGAGAAATGCGATTTTCAGGGAGCTGTTCAATTTCTTTCGATGCCCACTTCGAATCTCTTTCCATTTTTCCAGAGTTTCTCATATATGAGCATGTACGGGACATGTAGAGGTTAACTTACTTCTTCATAGCCAGGCTTTTCATGTGTCTCCAATCGCTCATCGGCGACATCGCCCGCATCAGCCATGACTGTGATTGGTGTGCGTAGAAGTTGTCCCTTATGTGTGAATTCCCGGTATAGATAACAGGAGCTGATTGAATCCAACAAAACGGACGGTACTTCCTGAGATCCGGAGATATCGAGGGAGTCCGTTTGTTGCCCAAGGAGTAAAGTGTGCCGAGACACACAGAAATTGGGAGGCCGGTAATACGAAGGAGGTAGTGAGAAGGGCTTCAAAGAGAAGAAGAGGAAGAGGGGCCGCAGAGGCGGTTGCTTAGCTGTACGTCGTGTCTTGTCAACGGTTGCTGGATGATATCTCAGATTATCTTTGAGAAACAGCCGCCAGCCGCTTTTCTGGCGCGGGTGACGGATTAGGCATGGCGCGCTCTGGGCCTGTGGAAGGGTTCGAACATCCAATGACAACGTGAGTATTGATTATCAGATCGAATCATGCTTTTTATCTTGGAATCCATGAGCTTTCTCTTGTCTGATCATGCTTTCAATGGGGGTGGGTCATTGAGGATGTGGTGATAGATGAGATGACTGTTGAAGAAGGCAAATTGGCAAATCCGAAAACTCATGCTCTGCGCAATCAATGGCAATGGCCAATTCCCAACAGCCATCAATGCCTGCCTATCAACATCCGCCAGATGAGACCTGCACTATCTCTATAAAACCTCTTTCACATAAACCATTTTTTCCATCATCTCTTTCTTTCCTTCTTTAATTACTTTATGTTCATTGTATAGAAAGTGCTAGAGTTATATATAATCCTATAATAGACCGAGGTATCTATAAGTGACACCTAGGCATCCCCCGAGAGGTTTAACCACATATAGGGTACGGGCTCCAATGATAGCGGCGGTTGTTATTGCTTGTGCGTTTTTGGTCGAGTGGTTAAGTCTTGCTTGTCCGTGCCTGGTGCCAGACTCAATACTCCCCTGCAGGCTTGCTCACCTTTTGCACAACCTCACGCCCGCTTTGATGGGATTTCCGTTACTGCTCCGTTGCATCATAACGGGTTTTACCTGGCCAAATCACATCTCATATACAGTGACTACCCAAAAACCCGAACGACGCATCCTCGCGTACGCCGATTATGGGGCATTGTCCATCACTACCTCAGACTGTTCTCTCGATCTTATTTATTATAGCTGGGTTGGGGCTACCTACGGTAACCAGATTGCTCAGCTTCCATCTGGGCTGATTCTGAAGTGGTCTGATGGTGCTCCTTTAGAAGAAGTCTTAGCTATGCAGGTTGCCAGGAGGGCGGGTCTCCCAGTTCGGAGGGTGATCTGCTATGGAGAGCATCCGGGTCGTCCGCATGCTCCAGTGTCGATTCCGATGACTCGTATCCTCGGCGATGAACTTGGCCGAGTCTACAAAACGCTCACCGACGTTGAACGAGATTCAAGCCTATTACAATTAAATGGTTAATTGGGAGCGATAAGGAGATGGAAAAGTCCGTGGGGGGAGAACAGGATTTCCGACTACTTGACAAGTGTCCTTTGAGTCTTCATTCCCACTGTCAACCTTTATATTTAACGGATATAATGGCTTAAAGCTAATGTTTCCGTGTTTGTTTGACAAGGCTGTATTTTGACTTGCACGCTTACACATATACTCACCGCTTGCGGGAGAAGCTTTTAGCAGCACATACAAAATACGCATAGGCTCGTCAAGAATCATTAAGCAGGGACCAAACAATGTAACTGAAAAAGTTGTATCTGGGCTCGTATGCATGACAATTATCAGCAAAATGAGAGCGGGAATATTTTCTCATTTCCGGCACGGCTCGGATATGTACACCATGCAAAATTGAGATTAAAATCATAGAGATAAATATAAAAACCAATTCAGAGAGGTAACAGGTGAGAGTGAGGGGGAAAAATAGGAAAATAAATTAATAGTCGGTAAAAGCGATGAAAAGGCAATCGACAATGTTTTTCGGCGTTATCATGAAGCAGTAGGCGGTGTCTGTTGTTTACGAAACGAGACTTTCTCAACGGAGACAGTTTCCGCACCCTGTTCATCCTTACGCAGCTGATAGACGTATAGAACGAGCACATCACCTTGTACCTATATTAAGTATTAAATTATATAAAGTAGTCAGCCACCCATTCGCACTCCAAATAAAAATAATCATCGATGGGATGATTCAAGGGGGAAAAAAAGAAAGAAAAACAGAAAAACAGAAGGAAATATCTCACATCCATTAGACAGAAACTGGGAGTCTGCTCTTCCTCCAGCCCACCCAGCGTCGTGAAAGCTCCTGTGGCACTGCCTGGGTTGATAAAGAATCTTCCTTCCAGCTCATACGCTTCGAATTTATGCGTGCCACCCCATAACAGCACATCAACGTCCATCTGCCGTGCGGCTATGAGCAGGGAGTCAGCATCGCCAGGCGGTATGATGGTATGGCCATGGGTAAAGCCGATACGCAGGCTGCCATGGGTAACGACTTTGGAGAGAGGGAGATTGGGCGAGTCGACATCGAAGTCGCCCTTGACCAGTTGGAGGTCTGGGGCGATTTGGCGGAGGAATTCGAAGGTGTCGCGGTCCGTGAGGTTGCCGAGACAGAGGATTTGGCCGATTTTACCGGGAGTGAGGAGTTTTTTGAACTGTATTGATTTTAGTGTTTGTTTTCTATGGCGGGGCAAGGGAAGGGACACAAGGAGAAATCGCGGGGAAATTGTTTGGTGCAAACCTTTGCTGGAATATCCTATTATTGTTATCATTATTGCACAATGGATGTTAGTATAGCAATTGAGTTTTTTTCCTTTTTCTCCACCAAGCAGTCAAAGCAATGGAGTGGGTGAAGTGATGATAACTTGGAGATACTATATGTTAGGAGCGGAGATTCAGCGTACCGGAGTGCGGTCAGGGACGAAGAGGTCGCCGATGGCCAGGACCAGACGGGAGGTCATACTTGTGGCAGCTTCAACTACCCATCCCATGAAATCTAAATGTGAGATGGATAGGCTACTTCTTCTTCGTCCTCGTCGTCGTCCTCTCCCCGTGTTCTGTTCTGCCTGGTTTCGATGTTTGGCGCTGCTGCTGCCCTGCGGCTATGGCGGCTATTTCCAGAAACAGAAATGGATGGTTTAGCGCTTCAACCGCCTCAGCCCTAACTGGCGAAATTCTATTCTGACCCAGGGACATTTATACAGCCGTTTGTCTACCATACAGGCTCGTCAGTACTCGTAGCTACTGGGCACTGACGGCTTAAGAGACAGATGGAATTAGCCAATCCTGTGGGCGAATTGGTCATTCGTTTACTGAGGCAGCTTTGCCGTATAGTTAGGTGCTGATCTTCTCGACCGAGAACGCAGTGTCATGACACCTCTATACTACCTAGGCAGATACTAGGGCATCATGTTTATAATCGACAGCTGTCTGGCTGACTGCTTGACAGCCAATTCATTGCCTGTACTGCCACAAATCCCTAATAAAATGCCTAAGCATGCCTTTGCCGCACTGCCTTTCAATGGTTGCCTCTATATGCTAGTAGTTCGGGATTCTCCAACGTCAACGGCCAGCGATATGTCCTTTTGGCCGATATCTCAATTAATGGCAACCTGTTGGGATGGCTTTATCTGGGAATTACTAGTATTTTGAAGATACTGCATACAGTAGATAGTAGAAAATGGTAGTTGATGCCTGCACACGGAGTAAAACGTGAGGGTGGTATGGCAGGTATTTTATACCTTGCACATTAACATTTTTCTGATATAAACTGCCTTTTATCTTCAAATATCATGGATATGAACGACAAACAGTCCAACTGGTAAATATGTATGCTGCGGGCTGCACCATAAGAGTATATACGAGCCCTAACAGCAACTAACAGTTTTCTGGGTCGCTAACAGAAAATAAAGGCAAAGCAAAAAAAAAGACAAGGCCAGAAGTCTTCTGGACGGGATTATTTAACCGTATTCGGGTATATTAAATCGGCTCCCCTTCTCGGTCGACACAATTTCCATATCTCATTATCATCTACAACTACAATTGCTGCTAACCGTATTCCTCCCCACCATCCAGAAACACACAATCGTTGCAGCATCCACGTCATCGGCAGATTTGCTGCAAGAAAGCAAGGAAACACTCGAAAAGCATATGCTTAATAGCCTTTCCTTCTCGGCATTTCGAGCTGTGGCCCGGCTCAGGTTCGGAAGTAGAGAAATCGTCCTGGCTCCCTCACGGGCAAACCCGCGCCTGAGCCTGATCTCTCGACATCTTGATCAGAGACTCCCCCTACCGGCTTTAAACACCCCATTTTCGACCGAGAGGACTGTGTCTGTCGAGCCTGACGACATTGAATATAAACCCCTCCAGAGAACCCCGCCACTCAATCTCAAAAATACTGCTGCTCCCACAAGCAAGCACAACGAACCCCGGGAGAAAATGTCCACCCAAGAGCATCACTCTACGCTCCTAATCCCAGGCCCCATTGAATTCGACGATGCGGTTCTTCATTCTATGTCCCATTATGCGTAAGTGCCATTCCCACTGTACGCGTTCCCCATTGTCCGGTCCAGTTTCTTCTCTCAAACTAACCGAATAAACCACGTTTTACCCAAGCACAGTGAGAGCCACGTCGGCCCCGCCTTCGTAAAGACTTTCGGCGAATGCCTCACCCTCCTACGCAGCCTCTTCCAAACTACATCCCCAGCCTCCCAGCCTTTCCTCATCGCCGGCAGTGGCACATTGGGCTGGGACCTTGTATCCGCGAACCTGATCGAGCGCGAAGAAGAAGCCCTCGTCCTGCACACCGGCTACTTTGGCGATTCCTTTGCCGACTGCCTTGAAACCTACGGTGCTAAAGTCACCCAACTCAAGGCACCCGTTGGCGAACAACCCTCCCTCGACCAGATTGAGAAAGCCCTGGCTGCAAAATCCTACAAACTCCTTACCGTCACCCACGTCGACACCTCCACCGGCGTCCTCGCAGATATCAAGTCGATCGCTGCCCTGGCCCGCCGCGTCAGCCCAGATACGCTGGTCGTCGTCGATGGCGTCTGCAGCGTCGGCGCCGAGGAGCTTGCCTTTGATGCGTGGGACCTCGACGTCGTGCTTACCGCCAGCCAGAAGGCCATCGGCTGCCCACCGGGCCTCAGCATAGTCATGGTCTCCGGCCGTGCCATCCAGTGCTTTGAGAAGCGCAAGTCCCCACCCGCCAGCTACTTCGCTTCCATGGCGAACTGGCTGCCCATCATGCGGAACTACGAAGCTGGCAAAGCCTCCTATTTCGCTACGCCGGCTACCCAGCTCGTACGCGCCTTGCACACGACCTTGACACAGGTCACCAGCAAGCCTCTGGCGGAGCGCGTTGCGAGACACGAAACTGTGTCGCAGCGTGTTAAGAAGGCCGTTGCTGAGCTGGGACTGCGGCAGCTGGCGACCAAGCCGGAGGACCAAGCTCACACCATGACGGCCATCCGATTACCAGAGGGCATGACGCCGCCGGATATCCTGCCGGTGCTCGCCAAGAAGGGCGTTGTGTTTGCTGGGGGCTTGCATAAGGATATGGCAAGCAAATACATCCGCTTTGGGCATATGGGGGTTAGCGTGATGGATCCCGGACGAGATGATATTGACAAAGCTATTGTTGCGATGAAGGAGGCGTTTGCGGAGGTGAAGAAGTAATTATATGTGCCTCCGTGCTGCCAACATGTTTATCACAATGGCAATAAGCTCTCAAAAACATGCGTATAGTTCAATGCAGCATCAGATATAGATACTACATCTCATGTAAGAATTGACTACTTTTTGGATATTTCACGGGTTGGAGATGTAAAAAGCAATGAGAGAAAATGTAAAGGAAGTATAATTCCTTGGGTGCTTCATGCCTATCCTTTCATGATAACAAAAAGAAGGAATTTTCATGGCATAAAATAAAAGTAAGAATCAACGAATGTGCTAATACGGACGGGCATCACCATTACTTTTTTCAATTTTCAGCGTCTGGATCTAACTGCAATGTAAAACTCGCTACGTCTTTCTGCGCAAAAATTTTAATCGTCTGAAAAGGCGTAAAGGGGGAGACGTACAAATCGGGGATCCAGGATAATGTTATAATATAATTGAAGAGGAGCGAAGGCAAGGGGCGGAGTTTAGAAGAAAAATAAAAACTAAAAAGAAAAAAGGAAAACAATAAAAGAAACAAATGCGATGGCGGCAAGAAAAACCCAAAGTAGAGCAGAAAATAAATACGACGAAAAAGAAAATCATGCAACATAACTATCTATCGGAAATGTACGTATAAAATAATGCGCCAGCCACACTCACTCATCCAGGCATCTACCAATCGTCACCGTCCTGCGGCTTCATCGCACTCTGCCTCTGCCTCAACGCCTCCGCGAGCCCGCCCGCGAAGCTAGCACTATTCATACTATTTGGCGTGGCACGGCCACTCCCGCCCGACGAGTCGTGCGAGTTCATGCTTACCGCACTGTCTCGCGGGGCGGGGGATGGCGCCGGCTTGCGACTGGCGATTGGTCGTTTGGCCGGTGGAGCTGGTGGGGTAGGTTTGGCTTTCGCGGCAGCGCGAGAAGCGCCGTTGGTTACGACGGCGTTTACGGGGTTCACGTTGGAAAGCGTGACTGCTCTAGGCGCTGCAGGAGGTGGTGGAGGTGGCGGGGGAGCGGCCGCAGCGAGGATCGGGACTACAATCTCTTCTAGGTAGGCCTCGGGGGCCCAGCCTTGTGCGGAGGTTGTGGTGTTCATGCAAAGCCACCAGCCTGTTAGGTTGTAAGGGTGATTAGTACTGTTTCTGATATGTGTTTATTGGAAATGGAGATGGAAAAATATAGGGGGTCGAGGGTTTGGGTAGTTTTGTCAGGCATACCATTTCCTTCTTTTGCCATTATTTGGACAATTTCGCCTTTGCGGACAGAAAGCTCGTTAGAGCGCTCACTGTTGAAGTCATACAAAACCTTGGCGGTATCTTTTTTGGCTGCTGGCGGTGCGGCCGGAGGAGGTGGTGGAGGAGGTGCTCGAGCTTGTCCTGAGGTATTTCTGGTATGGCTGGAGGAGTTGGCACCAACGGGCATTGCAGCCTCCGGTGCGGGTCGAGAACTCATACCTGTGGCTTTGGGGGTAGCATTCGGTAGAGGTTGAGGTGTGGGTGTTGGCTTTGAAGCGGCTGGTCGCGACGCCAGTTTTGATGGCGCTCCTCCAGGTCCACCGGGTCGGAGCAATTTGCCTTTGGTTATGGGCTTGCCAGCAACTTGCTTCGGTCTTGGAGTTGGTTTTGATACAGAATTTGGTGGTTCTCCTTGACTGGTGTGGATTGTCCCACTTTTATACAGATCATCACGAGCAATTGCTGGATCTTTCATTGTCTTTATTACTGCCAACTTGCCTGGCTTCTTATTATATTCGATACTGGAGCTTGTTAGCTTGCAAGCAATAAATGTATTCACTTTAGGTGAGAAAGTGAAAAACTTACGTGTCGGCGACCTTGAGGTTGAGTTGGCCGCGCAGCGCATTGGAGAGGTATGCAAAAAATTCTGTCTTAAATACACAGCTAATAAGGGGATCGGGCTCCTGGGGAGAACCAACTCCAAGAGCAAACCAGTCATCTTTCAATTTCGACGCGCTGACGAACTTGATTGCACCGATGGATATTGTTCTTTCCGCGGAAATATTCAATTGATTATTTACGACGCTTTGGACGACAATGTAAACATTGTTTGATGTCTTGTAACAATGGCAGGTCAGCTGGGGTATCGAAGCTATGCTAAAGAGGAGGTGCACATACTAGAATTAAAATTCGTGGAGAAGGTTTACTTGAACGACCGAATTTGGTGACAAGGAGCTCACAGCGGCAGGAGAATAAAATAGTTTCGGATTCTGATGTTTTGGGCAGTTAGCATTTGTTCATTTATATATAAATGTGTATTAATGATAACAACACTTACTGCTAATGCGAATGGAATCCCTGATCATTTCTCCAGGGCCTCCATTGTTTCCAACTCCAAGATAATCACCAAGGAATCTTCGCGAGCCAACAAGACTGTATCTTCGTCTTTCCTTCATTCCACCAAGAATTCTGTGGCCCTGGTCTCGGAGTTTGATATATTCCAGCCCTCCCGTGACCCGTCTCCAGAACCTTTGGATTCGGATAGCACATTCAATTCGGTATCGGAGGTAATTTCGCCAAGCTCGCTGAATACGGATGGCCATGTTATGCCAGTATCTATCCCGCATGTGTTCAAGTGCGAACAGGGTCTCAGGGGTTTTTATGAAAGCTTTCGTAGTACCCATCTGATATTCGTCTGCGGGGATGCTAGTGTCTTTCAGGATCTGCCTCGCCCCCGATTCAGCGTCCCCAGTCCAGGTGTAATCTCCAGCATATGAAGTCTTCGGTGACAACAGGTAGAAGCGTTCGACAAACTTGTCAAAAGTTTGGCGGTAGGCGAACCCCGCTCTGCGAATTCGGACGTTCTCCTGTAGACCAAGGTATTTAATTTGATGCATCACATTGCCAACATTGTACTCGGATGGTGACTTGTTGTCGTTCGGTTTTATAGTTCTGATGTATGACGGTTGTGCCTTCATTAAAGTCGCAACGAGGTCGTTTGCAGATGCTTTAATCTTGTCGCCGGCAGTTGGCGGCCGACGCTTGTCGTCCTGATTAACCTGGTTGGGGAAGAGTGTATGCATGAAGCGGTTACTACTCGAGCCCACTAGATTAAGCAAGTCTTTCAATAGTTGATCCTTATTTTTGTCCGTCATTCCATCCACAGTGTAGCCAACGTCGCCAGCATAATGCTTTACAATAAATTGGCCCTGCCTGGACTCGAAGTTTGGATTTTGACTAAGGAAATTCAGCCTTCCTACAAACGTCTGATCAGCCGCGCCGGAGTCAGCATGTGCAGTTGCACAAGCGTCATTCAATGCGGCGAAAATCCCAGGTGGTCGTTTATCTTCAATCAAGGAACACACAACTTTGTTATCAAAGTATGTAATGGGAGTCCACTTGATTTGCTCGCGAGCGTATTCCTCTTGTTCCGTCTTTAAGGTAAGCTGGATGAAGATTTGCTGTAGCTTTTCGTTGACGTAGTTGATACAGAGTTGTTCGAAAGAGTTTTTCTCAAAAATCTCGAACCCATAAATATCCAGGATACCGATGGAGTTTTCCACAGAGCCCCTAGCTGCAAGTGAGGCATTAACTCGCTGAACAATCCAATCAAACATGTTAAAATAAAGGGCTTTTGCGAGTGCGTCTCGAACAGCAGTGGCTTGGACAACGTTCAAAGGAACCTCATACACGGAACCCCTGCGCCCGCCTCGGGCAGTTTCCATAATTCTCAACGTAAGGGCCTTGTTCACGGCAGCGGCATCAACTTCTAATAAGTAGGCGACGAAATCCACCACCGATTGATCCGTTATTGAAACGTTGGAACTGTCATCTTCGATAAATTGCATATTTCCGAGCCATAAAATAGCTGACAGAACGCGGAAGATATTATCTTGTTCGGCTTGGGATAAACCAATGATGTTCATGGCTTTTAATGTATCTTTGAAATCAGTAGTATCATCTATGCCTGGGACATCAAAACATTTGGAGCGGCTTGTATACACATAAGACTGCGGTTGTTGGATGCCGAAGTTATCTAGATTATTTGTCAGCTTGACGAGGAGTACTCCATTGAAGGATGCCATTTTAAATACCTCTATAGGTCTGCGGTGAAGCTTTAGTGAATTGATAAAATATATGGAAGTTTCGTTCATTCGTGATTTGCCCTACGACTCTAGATTTCTCCAGGAGATAATTTGTAATCGTGGCGCCGACAGGTTCACCAACAGAATTGAATTGTAATTCTAGATATTTTCCGAACCGCGACGAGTTATTATTCCGCAAGGTCTTCGCATTACCGAAGGACTCGAGAAGAGGGTTAGTCGCCAGAACCATGTCTTTGGTATGCTGGATGGAAGAATCGCTGCCACCTGACACATTCGCAATATACTGCATCAGGCGCTTTGCAGCTTCGGTTTTTCCAGCACCGGATTCGCCCGAGATAATGACACATTGATTTTCCTTGTATGCTTTCATGTTATAATATCCTGCTTCAGCGACAGCGAAAACATGTGGGGGAACTTCAAGTCGGTTTTTGCCGCGGTAGGAATCAAGGACCTTGTCGGTATAGATACCCACTGTGTGACGATCAGTATGTCACTCTGGCCTTTTTGTAAAAGTTAGATTTGACTTACGGTCTCTAAATGGGTTCACAGAGACAAGGACATGACCGATGTATGTCTGTATCCCAAAGGAAGTTGTCAGCTAGGGCGTAAGTGGGAACGGCGCGCGCTCCGGAAGGCAGCCATACGTAAATTTCGCCATGTTCAAATCTCTTTTTCAAGTTCTCATTTATGGCCTCATTCGATACTTTGCTGAGGAGCGTCAGATCTGACACTCCAACCTCCTTCTTTTTTGTGCTTTCGAATACGGCCTTTTTAACCTGAGGTTTTCCCCCTGCCCCGCCCTCACCATGCCTCGACCGTCCGAACCCGCGGCTCTTCTTCTCCGGGTCTCGAGGGCGTCGTGATTGTCCCTGAAGAAAATAGAGTTAGGGATCTAAATTGCACAACAAGAATCTGCGAGACTGGTACTGACCATATTCTTGGGTTGCGTCGGGCGCGTGTTTGGTTATTCGGGCCAGGTCGGACAGGCTCTATCGATACTAACGTCTCCTGAAAGAGTGGATGTATGGGCGCAAACAAAGCAGCAACAGCATAAATCCTCGACCTGCAGAAAGTCTCCGTGGCTGGCTCCAGAAAGAAATTCAGACTCAGAATACAGAAGAAGCAGAACAACAACAGAAGACTAAAGTCATGAAGGGCATGTGGGTAGACAGTTGCTTTTGACACTTGGATCGTCTTCCCGACGTCGATGATGATGATGCGGCGCTTACAGCGACTGCGCCACAGCCATGTGGTGGCTAGCCCTGGCTTATATAAGCGAGGTACGCGCAACCCTTTTCGGTCCAATACTAAATCGCTTTTGGACGTCAGTAAACTTTGGTGCCTGAGCTAGGCCATGTTCCTGTGAGAATTATGTGTTTCTTTTTTCTCTCTTTTTTTTATTTTACAAAAAATTCAAGTGTTGTTTATGATCAATTATAAGACGTAGATCCTTTCTTTCTTGGATCTCTCAAAAACGAAACAAAGAACCTAGAAGATGTTGGGTGAAGGGGCTTTGTTCGACAAACCCAATAGTGAAAGGGCTCAAAGTTCTCTTTTGGATCAACCGAGTTCTTTTCATTATACTAGTCATAAGCATAGAGGAAATAAGAATATTACTTTAGGGATGTCTCCAATGAGCTTCCCGTAGAGGTGGTTGTTTGGAATCACACATATACTGAATATCCCTTTTTTTTTTTTCAATACTGAAACCACTTCTTCAATCCCAATCAGCTCCTAGTGCTCCATTATGCTTGATCCTCTATCCCATGCAATAATAAAGTGTAGGCTTCTTCCCATGAGGCTACTATACATCAGCCCTTTTTGGTTCTGTTCTCAAAACCAGGCTGAGCACATAAATATATAATTAAAGCTGTCAATAAGCCAAACTGTAAAGACAAGAGAAATTTTTATTTTTTATCTCATCGAGTAGTTATGTAGCTAATAGGATAATAGTTCACGGCTACTGAGGGCTTCTAGCGGTATTTTCGGCATCTTGAATATCTTCTCATCCAGTACATTGACAGTCTGAAAGTACTATGTTTTCATGTATTTGAGTGGTAAGCGGCATGGCAAAGCCCAACGTACCAATATGGTATGGATGGAGCCTGGGAAAATAGAAGATTAGGGGAATCCAACTGGGGTTCTAAATGATACATCGGTTTGCCAATGAAGCGGCATATACATACTTTTTGTATGAAATGACGACGTATCGTTGCTTGGCAAAGCATCCAAGTTAGTCTCTATGGAAGGCTGGTGTTTGAGTAAATGATCATAATCGGCAGTGAAGCAACAAGGGGAGGTTTCTAGTCCAACCAGACAGTGCAGAAGACTACGGAGTAGAGTATGCCTTTCTTAAGTTTGGCCTGTGGTTAGAGACTTCACGTCACTTAAACGTGTAATTGTGGTTATCAAGGTTAGAGGAACTCACAAGAAAATGCACACTAAAGGAATAAAGCTAGGAAGAGGACTCAAGTCAAATTAAACGACGGTATGGGTTAATCAATATCTTTATACTCCATCTAGCCAACTCGATCTATAAGTTCTTGAAGTAGAAGAAAGTTTGCTTACAAGCAAATGAAAAAAAAAAAAAAAAAGAACTCAAGACAACTGACGGGAGCTCTCGGGTTGCTGAGTTGAGATTTTAGTTTCTACGTGGAAGGGGAAACAAACGAGTTATGTGAATAAAATATGAGGGAATAATGAGCAAAGACTGCAGTACAATATACGTTTTAAAAAAATTAATGACCAAGTAGGGTATTGGAAGCCAAAAACGCAATAAGTTCACATTTCTTTAACGATGAACGTATCAATGACAAGATGACCTCGATATGGCCCGTCAAGTAGATTTTATTTGGTGGCTTGAGATGGTAGTGGCGAAGAGGAAGCAGGTTGGGAAGAGCCATTCAAAGGTTTGGTTGCGGATGAGGAGATAATGGGGCTGGGAGAATTGGCAGTCTCTGGAGATGTCGTGTTGCTGACACTCTCCTTCTTGGGCCATGTCAAGTAGCCAAGAACGCGAGATGTCCAACGGGGCTCTTCGATTGCTTCCTCCTCTTCATCAACATCCCAAACATCTCTTGGTAAAATGCGCTTTATGCTTCTCGGCGACTGTTTCTCTAGCTTTGCTTTCAGCTGTACAACCTCCCGCTCTAGCGCAACGAGACCGCGACGTGCTGCCCGTTCAGACTCTTCCAATTCAGCAAGACGTTCTGCCACATCCTCTCTTCTCGATGATTCTTTCCTTCGTGATCTGAACGATTCGAATACGATCAAACCACCAGCAACCAGAAACAGAAATGTCTCACTGATAAATGTTGCTCCAGAATCAATGGCTTTCGCTTCTGAAAGTGGTCGAATCCGGATCGGCGGAGGCGGCTTGGGAGGCTCTTGGGCTTTTTCCTTTTGCTTTGCAGCGAAGGAGTCTTCAAGTTTGGTTTGCGCTTCCGTTTTCACGGTAGTGATATTATGTTTTTGTTTTTTCGCTTGGGCCTCAGCAGCAGCCTCGCGTGCAGCCTGTTTTTCTATTGCCGCTGAGCTCTGGAGGAGCCCCAGTCGTAGGCGCATATCCACCCGGTGGAGGGACTGGGCAAAGGAAATGCATAGCCGTCGGAATCGCTCATGTTCACGCGCTTGTGCTTTGATTTGGTTCTTTGGATTGCAGCAGCCAGTTAGCTTTCAAGGTTGACGTTGACAGGGACAGTGTAGCTGTGTGTGTGCTGACTCCAGCTTACAGCAATTGGTTTGGACAGTGTTCGGATGATCAACGAGGATATTTTTAGAGTTACAGACATCCTTGGGCGAGAGGACGTTGTAGCTCTGCAGGTTTGGAGAAAGACAGTTCCAGGATGTGTGGAACCATGCCAGCGGAGGCCCAGGTATTTGGCTGGAAACTGGTGCCTCCACGCCGTCCAGCGTCCGATTGATGAGCGGGATGTCGGAGTGTTTTAGCCTCCAGGGCTCGAGTCAAAGTTCCCCAAAAGGTTCCACTAATGCAATCCAAGTCGTTGCTGATTGGCTCCTTGTCAAAAACGGCGGATTATGTAATGCTGTTCCTAAATGGACTTAGTCTTGTTTTAACCTTTTCCGTTTCCGGGGCAATGTTTTGAATATTCCACTTTGAGAAATGATACATCGTGACTCCATGTGGCAAGGCAAGGCAGTGAATTGCTCTCACAACACTCCACCCAAGCATAAAATAGCACGACGGGATATGATATCTCGTATAACACATCTTGGGTGCCCTCAATGCTATTGTTCTCTTCATGCTATTATTGTGGATATCGCATCGTTCCATATTTGATTACTAGTTCTGTCGAGTCTGCTCCTCAATCGAAACTCGAATCTCAGATCAGAGGGATAACCAAACCCTCCGTTATTCGACCACCGTCGAGCCCATCGCAAACTCCAAAACTCTTTAATCCTGTAATGTTTTATACGTCAATGTTATTTGGGCCACCTAGATATTCCTGATTGTTGCGATCGCATGAGCTCGAAACAGCAAGTGCCCTTGTACAGTCCATAAAACGATGGAGGCATTGTCACCTCGCTCCACCAATATTCTTCCCAAACCCAAGACCGATCCCATGACGAAGGCAGGCGCCGAAGATGCACAACCTCAAAAGGCGCGGTCCGCCAAAAACCACGCTCCACCACCACCCCCGACAGTTCGTGAGCCAGAAGAAGGGGGGGAGGAATACATCACTGGCAAATTTCTTGGAAAAGGGGGATTTGCCGTATGCTATGAGGGAAGGCTTGCGCGAAGCAATAAGGTATATGCGATGAAAGTGGTGAAGTCAGAAATGAACCAGAAGAAAATGGAGGAAAAGGTATGGACAAAAGATACTCTGGTAACCTGTCCTTCCACCTTACAATGTCTAACTTCGGCACGTCCAGTTCCGAACCGAGCTCCAAATACATTCGAAAATGTGTCATCCCAATATCGTGGGTTTCTATAGGGCATTTTCCTTCGAACAAAACACTTATGTCATTTTGGAACTGTGCCCTCACGGCTCCGTTATGGACATGGTGAGGAAAAGGAAATGCCTAAGCTTGCCTGAGGTCAGGAGATTTATGGTTCAGCTTTGTGGCGCTGTCAAATACATGCATAAAAGAAACGTGGCTCACCGGGACCTGAAAATGGGAAATCTATTTCTCGATAGAAATATGGATATCAAAGTTGGAGATTTTGGTCTCGCTGCTATTATCCTCTCGGAGAAGGACGAAAAGAGACGGAGAACGTTGTGTGGGACTCCAAATTATATCGCGCCTGAAGTTTTGGATAAAAGCAAAGGAGGCCATAATCAAAAAGTCGATATATGGTCCCTTGGTGTAATCTTGTAAGTAGAACTTGTTGCTGCTTCCAATTATATCAGTTTTGTGAATTAACAAATAACCAGTTTTGCCATGCTCACCGGATACCCCCCATTTCAATCGAAAACGCAGGACGAAATCTACAAGAAAGTCAAAAACCTTACATATGTGTGGCCCAAGGAGTCCGAGGGTGCTAATTATATTCCAGTGGAGGCAAAGCACTTGGTTAGCTCCTGTCTAAATTTGAATGAGGAAGAACGACCGGAACCCGACCAGATTGTTGATCATGCATTTTTTAATATGTATAATGGCTGTATACCACGTCAATTGGACCCGGCCACACGGGTTTCTCCGCCTACCTGGCTGACGACTCAAGACCCTCGAGGGGATCGTATGAGTTACGGATATAGCCTTGACCATGACTCGAAGTATCTAGGGAAAATTTCCTATACGAAAAACTCTGACGAGCGGTATCTTATTTGCAAAAACCAGTTTTACACAGAATGTGGGGTTGGTAGGACTTCAACCGGATCAATCAGGAGACCGGCAGGGAAACGATGTTCCAAATCTGCTTTCGCTGAATGTGCTGCTGAAGAAGAGAGAGGAATGCAGCCCATCGTACCAATACCACAGGATCGAGTTTACAGCTGCTACACTGGACCAAATGGGGATTGGAGTCATGCAACCGAAGAGGACGCTGCTCAACCTGACCCCGATAGCCCCATTGATGACGAGCCGCTTCCTAGATCACGTACCTCATCCCTTAAACAACAAGCTGCGGCGGCTGCCCGCACAACATCTGCTTTGGTTGCACAAATTCGCCGCAAAGAGACTCAAACCCAAAGCCATGCAGCACTCCTACGGCAGCAGGCTGTGTCACAACGACAGTCAAGGAACCCCTCATCCTCCCAGCACCGTCAAGCTGATCTCAGAGAAGCCGCAGAAAATGACACCTTGGGCGACAACATTCCTCCCCAGCGGCTGCTAAATGAGAGACCAATCCGGACGCGGAGGGTGGCATCTGGCTATTCTGCATCCGTCCGCGACACGAACGTATTGTCCACTTCCGCATTGACTAAATCCACTTCAGAACCAATAAATTTGACAATTGGGAAAACGAGGTCTCAATCGAGGCAGCAAATCGCAGCGTTAACACAGGGGAAAAACCAGTTAGCACCGGAAACCAAACTTGAAGTCAAAATGCTAGATATCAATAATAAAGATAATGGCATACATAGCTCGGTTCGCGGTATGCCTATGAGGACCGTGAGAATCGATCCTCGCGAGACAGAAAGACAGCGACCGCGGGAACATCCAGAAAGCACTCAAAAACAAGAATCCCGTGAGACGAAGTGGGACGAAAAATCCAGGAACACAAACAGCAATGGCAGTTATGGCAGCAAATCTACCAACTCTAACAAATCACGATCCACACTCGGACTAAGTCCTCTAATACATCCCGACGAACATCCAGAGCTCATGCCAGGGACGACCGCGCGTGAAGTTCTAGGCGATTTGAAAAGCTACCTTCGACACTTCGATCGATTGGAATCATGGGGAACATCGACTTCAAGGGCATGGAAACGCCAGCAATTTCCATCACTTTCTGACCCACATCCTTACGTCGTCAAGTGGGTGGATTATACGAATAGGTACGGTATCGGATACGTTTTGGATGATGGGAGTGTGGGGTGCGTTTTCAAGGGAGAGCACGGGCGCCCGGCAAGTTGCGTGGTGGTCCGGGATGGAGAACGGCATATCCGCCGGAAAGCATATTCGAAGGAAAACCCCCGCATTGCATATGCCGATGCTAATCAACTTGTTCCGAGAAATGGCCAACCTGTGGAGTTTTATGAGAACGTTGATGTGCAAGACAATTCTAACTCTGAGGGTGGAGTGAGAAGGGTTCTCGTTCGACCGGATGCATTTGAAGTGAGGAACCAAAATGGCCCCGGTGGGCCAGGCATAAAGGTTCGCATGAATTGTGGTGTAGACTCTGCAAGGTGCGATGCGGAGAAAGTCAAACGGGTCAAGCTGGCCGACCAATTCGGCAAATATATGATTGGAACTTTAGGAAGAGGTGTAGATGAGGACTGTCCCCCCGAGGATGAGAGGAGCCGCAACGGGTTTTCCAGCGAAATTAATCAATATGTCAAATTCTATCAGCGCTTAGGAAATGTTGGCATCTGGGGTTTTGGAGACGGAGCATTCCAGGTTCGTACTGCCAGGCCAGAATTGATATCATGGAATTATCTAACTTGTCTATTCAACTCTAGTTCAACTTTCCGGATCATACTAAACTTGTTATCTCGCTCTCTCCTCATGGATCGCAAGGCTCATCGGAGTTACGGCCTTGCCAAGCCGATTTTTATCATCTTTCACCCTCTGCATCACGCTACCTAGCAACCAGGGGTAGAATGCACCCAGCAGGCTTTGATACAAGGGCCGTCATATCTGAAAACCTGGACACCTATCTCGCCGCTCTCTCGGGCCACACGACCCACCCGTCCGGGATTAGTAGCAGCCGGTTTTGCGATATATTGGAGGCAAATGCCTTCCGCGAAAAGCTTGAGTTCATTCAACAGGTTCTGCGGAGCTGGTTTGAGCGCAGAAGATTGGGAAGCAGAGTATTGCTTCGCAAAGGGTTATCTGCTCCTATGGATAGCAACTCCAACAAAACCATTCCCGACGAATTGACGTCCACACGAGAATACCGCGGCGAGATATTTTGGCATGGTACTCAGGAGAAATCGTGGATGACACCGTCAGGGGGTAAATTTGTGTGGGTTACAGTTGGTGCCCATGGTGGCGACGGCGAGTATTTTGCCGTACAACTCAAGGGCAATCCTGAAGGCGGAGCAGTCGAGTGTGTTGGTGCCGAACAGATGAAAGAGCTACAAGACCAATTGATGGCAATGACTGTGCGATCTGCTCAGTAGGTGCTGCCGCTCATAATACCATTTAGTTTTCTTTTATCTAGTTTTGCTTGGAGTTTTGCTTTTTTTTTTTTTCGTTATTTTATTTTATTTTATACGTATTCTCCAACTTATCGCCCGAGTTTTACTTCTCTGCATTCTTTAATTCATCGATTGCCCTGACCATCATGGTACTGTACATTTAACGAAGTTACGCAGCCTGTCACTTTCTCTTGGTTTCTAGCGTGGTTCTAGACCTCTTCATTCGTTTTTTTCATTTTAATTGGCGTGACTGGGCGCTCAGCAATGCTTCTGTGAGTTACCTGCTACCTCTGGCCACGGATTTAGGGAGTCTTTCCTTTTTTTTTTTGTTCATTTACGTCAACCTTCAGCCTCCGATTCTGGTTTTCTTTAGCTAGCGACCTGGGCCTGTCATTGTGGTAATCATTCTGATATTGAAAGGTTTCAATGTTTGGTGATCCTTTTTCGCTAATGCCGCTGAGGCCAGTTGGATATAATTGAGATTGTTTTCTGTTGAGATGAGTAGCATATAGTATTCTCCACGGTAATTGAAATGATGCAATGGGATGTGCGGTACATACAAACCCGAGGGCTTGTCAATCCTCCCGACCTTTTCCTCTTACCGAGCCAACATGACAGGAGTGGCTGCTAGAGTAAAAACAATAATATTCAAGCTAAATACCTCCGTAGTAGACTCTATCATAAAAAAAAAAAAAATGCATCGCCATAATTTATATATATATACTCTGAACGCTAATAGCGCTCAGAGAGAATTTAATACCCCATTTTTCTCCTATATAGATTAACCAACGGCTCACCCTTCTCCAATCGGTCCAGATTCACCTTCAGCACATCCAAAGCCCTCTGCAAATACTCAATTCCCAATGAACTTATATGTGGTGAAATATGCAAATTCGGCGCGTCCCACAGTGGGTGATCAGCTGGCAGTGGCTCTGGTTCAGTTACATCGATGGCTGCCCCGCCTAGCTCGCCAGATTTCAGACTCTCCAACAATGCGTCCTGATCAATCACCATGCCTCTGGAGATGTTTGTCAGGAACGGCCGGCGGGTGGTGCGGGTGCAGGATTTTGAAAGTAGGGCTATTTCTTCGGCGCCAATGAGATATTCCGTTGAAGGCGTCAGGGGAACTGATACCAGGAGATAGTCCAGGTTTTGGGAGAGGAAAGCGTGGAGAGCGGCTTTGTCAGAGCCACTGTGCCAGGAAACCGGTAGGCTCCCATCGGGGTCACCGGTGTTCGGGACTATGTAGCCGTTATCTCGCCGGGATTCAGGAGTCGTGCGGGGAAAGAATGTAAATGCAAGCACTTGCATGCCCATAGCGACAGACACGCGGGCAACTTCAAGCAAGTTATGTCAATACTCGATGTTATTCACGAGGAGGATATTATAACGGCTTTTGAGCGTTGTTGCAATTGAAAAGGAAACTCAAGTGAGGTCAAGAAATCGGAATTGATAGGAATTGTATAGCTAATACCTTGTCGTCCGATACTTCCATATCCCAAAATACCAACTCTTTTGCCCACATTATCCTCCATTTTGTCCATAAGGCTCTGGTTATGTGTCCAAATATGCTTCCTTTGCCATTCGGAAGTTTGGTCATACATTTTGGAAGATACGAGCCAGTTCATAACGACCCACTCTGCGGTTGGTGGGCCGTGAATGCCGGATGTAGTTGTTAAATCAATCTCGGTGTCCGTCAACAGCGGATGGCTCAAGTAGCGGTCCATGCCTGCGGAAACGATATGGACGAATTTCACACTAAATGCAAATTATATTGTCTATCAACAAGGGTTTGTCATGCTCGGCCATTGGAATAGGGTATTGCGTACTTCGGAATATCCTCGAGAATCGGGGCGTAATGTAACATACATAAGATGGTTGCTGAATTAAGGAGGTCTGCGAAAACCAGAAGAATCAGCAAATCACTAAAGGATAATTAATTTGACCCGCCAATCTTGAGTAAGAAGAGACGAGAATGCCAAAGAAAAGAAATCGAAGGCGAAAATAAAAGTGAAAATCATCAATAGATAGGGCTATCAGACCAATGTGCGTAGGCCGTTCACGCTCAAGGTTTTGTATAAATAAAAATAATAAAAGCAAAAGAAAAGGAAAATCAGGTTGCATGGTCATATGCTCAAGCTTGGCTCCGTTCAAACAAATGCAGTGGGAGTGCAAATTTGTATGGGACGTATATTCTCAACTTAGAACCCACCTTTTGGCACAGCACCATGAACCTGCGTTTCACGCTGTTGTCTAAAGTATGAGACTCGAATATGCGGAAAGCTTTCGCGAATATCATTTATCAAGGCGACTGGCTCGTCGAATGGAAGAATCACCACGAGGTGTTCTTGAGGGAGCGGAGCGTCACCCATTTTGCCCAAGCTGAAAGAGTTCCTTTGGTTTGGAGCTTGTGCCTGAGCCTGTCAAGGATGGAGCCGCTTATTTCTCCTGAGAAGATACTTTTTCAGGCAGTCTATTTTATATGCCTACTAAGCGTATGTGTTGCGATGTGTTCAAGCATGCAAGTCAACAATTGGTTCCAGTTGCACACAGATAGAAGAAGAGTGACTTTTCCTGGTGGGAAAAAGTGGAATCTCCGGGGTCACTTATAAATGTTAGCCTTTTCTAACCGCTCTTATATGCAGAGACTTATTAATAGTGTCTAAAATCCACTGGGACCCCTGGCAGAGATACCATGCGGGGTTGCGTTAAGGAAGGCGGTGCGGAATATCAGAATTGTAATTCACAGCTATCGGCTCGAGTGACTTGTGAGCAAGTGTACGCTGTAGACTCAAGGTTTTACACCTAGGAGGAAGCCAAGCAGTTGCTTTTTATCATGTTAAATAATTGCTTGGAAATTCCTGCTTCTGTCAAAAGCCGGGTATTTTGATGCTGCTGACATTAACCTCGGACTGCGGGGCAAGGATGTGATGAATTTCAACACGAATACTGGGAAGACTTTATTGTCGGATGAAAAAGCGCTAAACGCCGCATCTTCGATTTTCATTACTGGTATGCATTCAATTGCAATGATCCCGTCGTTGGGGAGTATGCGATGCTATTTATATAAAGGCGTTAAGCTTTTGTTTCCCCAGTGGATTAGGGATGTGGAATTGGAAAATGGACGTACTTCATGTTATCGATCCCTGTTTTTACGTCCCAGCAGGGTGCCGCAAGAAGAGTGTGAACCAGAATTAGGGGTATGAGAGTGATTGCTGAGCGACAGTTGTATGATCTATATATGGGGTGTTGGAATGTCGGGACAAATGTGAGGGATCATGGTATACAAGCATGAGTCTTCAGTGGCATCGTTGCTAAGATTGAAGCTTAGTGTCATTTTGAGGATCTCATTTAGAGGATCTGATTAGATAGGCAATGGGTAGGATCAATAATTTAAAGCGAAACAAGAGAGTAGGCAGATTAGAGAAAAGAGGAGAAAAAAGAAAAGAAAACCTAGTAGAGGAAGAGAAGCAGGAATGACACTGAAGGACAAATATCCAGCACCCAAACGAGAAAGCTCTATGTATCGTTTCCAGTCCATGGCATATGGTTGAGATCATAACACATGATTGCAAGGTGAGAAAGGCATTTAGTAAATAATAGAAAGGAGTGAATGTCATGAACAAAATGATAATTACCAAAGGCTGGAAGAAAATAGAGGGATGTTATTATTAAATGAGATGGCTAGAAAATAAGAGGGGGGTGGGAAAATAGGGACTATAATAAGAGAAATACTGCTAGATGACCTGTTGATGCTATGTTGTATTTGCCATGTACGAGACTCTTTCTGCTCATGCCCTGTTAATGGATCAGATCGACAGATTTTAGGCAATGCAGTGAAGACAATGTATGTATGTATTTGTTCAACGTCCCTGGGGGGTGTAGGCAACGCCTGCGCCCCCGGAGCCTTCCGAAGGATATGGGGACGTGCTATGCTGAAGAGATCCCTATATACACAGTAGAAAAGAGAATAGGATTCAGATAGCAAATCTTGAAAAGACTCAGTCCCCCAGGACTGCGCATCCACTTCTGCCCAGACGTATGGCCATTCATGGTGAGCGGTGAAGACAAGAGGAATAAAAGGCCGGAAATGAAACTAGGAGATGCGCAATGCGATGTCAATGAATTTTTCCTTCGAGGGCCTTCCTTAGTCCATCACTTGACACTTGGTCACCATGGATCAATCGCTTCTTTTAGTAGTCATTCTCTTTCTCAATTCGCCACCTTCAACGAGCCTTCTCGACAGTTACCAGCTCCTTAAAACCCTCGGAGTATTTGAAGGCCTCCTGTTTTGTCATGCTCGGAAGGGGCTTGCGCCCACACCCACCGTATCCAAAGTAGGATAGCAGGCCGCTTTTCGTACCAACCACGCCTTCTTGAATTGATATCCAATCCCCTTGAGCTACAATCGCTTGTAGCTTTTGGGCTTCAGTGAATTCTCCAGTCTTGTAAAGCTCAATGATCTCATCACAAGCTTGAGCCTCCACCAATCAGAGTCTGCATGGTGAAATCTGCAGAGCCACCCATGCACATAAAACCCGAGCCGCTATCCGATACTGTCCTAGCTTTAGTTGCTGCTGCAATCCGATTCAACTTTTCCTGTATTGCCACAGGTAAGCTTGCAGCCGACTATATTTGGGTGCTTTGACAGTTCGATGATTGTATCGGAATCTATGTCTATATCCGAAGCACCGCCGGGGCAGTTGTAAATTAAGATATGAATCGGGGATGCCGTTGCCACATCTGTAAAGGAAGTCGATTGTGGACTGAGGTTTGTAGAGGCCCTTTTAATAAATATGTAGGTGGAAGGACCAATGCATAGTCCCTCTCCAGACGCTTTTAGCCTCTTGACATACGCTGATGGTCTCTCATGTAGATTGTGCTCCGCATGCCACTAATATAGGCATAAAGGAATATCGCGCCCTATCAGGAGCTTCTCGCGTTGTTTTCGTTGTCAAGTTTCGTCCGTTGTGTGACAGATGCACTGCTTCCCCGTTGGTTGCCAATCCAGAAACTCCAGCCATGGCCATAGAAACCGCATGGCTGGAAATGTACCTAGGTCCAGGTCTTCAGATATTTCTTCGAAGAAAGTTACTGTTGGAACATAGATCCCTGGTTTTAGTGGCCGTGATATATGATTATGGCTAACTTGGAGGGAAGTGTTGGAAAATGCCGTGGCTGTACCCCGATGAGTGAACGCCGTTTGGAGCAGCTCCCCGCCCTGTAAGATGTCCTGCCCGGTTGTAGTTGTGGGCGGGTGAAGAGGCGTCGTTATGAGGAGGCATCTGGCCGCGGTGGTTCGAAGCTCCCGTCAAAGTGATAGTACAAGGGAACAAAAAAATAATAAAATAGGAGAATAAGAGTAACGAAATAAGTAAGTCACCCAGAAAATAAAGTTCCTGGGAAACCTGCCCTGCTTAAGGGAACTTCAACAATGTTGCTCAATCTACCTCCATCCGCCCGTTGGCCTTTGTCCAATTAGCCCTGTTTCCTGAGTTATTGACAACGAGGGAGCCATGCAGCTGTCGCTCACGCAGCCGGAGGAGTCGTGCTGCAGGGAGTCCTGCATCTGGGCATTGGTCAATACCTTGAAGCAACTTGTGGAGAATTGCGTGGTAGAAGCTTTTGGATGTGGGGGTTAAGTTAGGTGACGATGTGGAAAAAGAATCCATGTGTTTTTCTTTGAGCGCTGCGTTCCCAGGGCTGGATCCAGTATTGTTAGCTGGAGTTGTTAAATCGTAATAATAAACCATGACTCTCTCCAACAGGGCTCTTCTCAATGGGGAGATGGAAAATAGTGTCCATGCATTGTAGAACTAATAGACGATTGCCCCGGGGGGAGGAGAGGGAGGGGGCGGGGGAATGGGGTTTATCTATGTATATGGCCAGCCATCATCCGCATTGAGAGTGTTGCGGTTTGATGGGAATATAAGGAGTGAGGCGAAGCGAAGTGCAGGATATCTAATATATATCTATAGATATAGATATATTGAGGAAGGGCTCAACATAAAAAGCAGTCGCAGGGAAAAGCCATACAAGCGAGGGTATCAGACAAGAACATAGAAAAACAGAAAAAAAGAGGAAGGCAAGGCTATAAAAGCGAATATACCACCCGCCCACAGATGACACCAAGCACGAGGGAAAACATCTCATTAAGAGGAATACAAAAAAAAAGGGGAAAGCTTTTTAAAAGAAGGGAAAAAGCGCCATAACTCCCATGGATTAACATCAAGTTCCAGTCAACCGTCCTTGTTCCTGACCTCAGAGCCGCCGATACCACTTCGCCTTCCTCCATGATTTTGTCCTCTTCCTATCCAAGCCCAAGCCCAAGCCTTCTTCAGCGGCCTTTTCTCCCGTCCTTCTCCCCTCCCCCTCCCCCTCCCCATCCGCTTCCTCAACAGGGATCCCCTCAACCATCTTCACCCTCCTCCCCTCCCAAAACGCAACCCCACCAGCAACCATCCCAGTCACGCTGCCGGCCGCAATAAGGAGCCCGACGGCCCAACCGGGCCGCGTGAACCTGTCAAGTCCCCACATAATCCCCGCAAGGCAGGCTTGTAGGGCTGTGTTGAGGACGTACATCCAGACGACAATGTCGAGGAGGAATGGCTTTGTGGGTCGAGCGCGGACGCCTGTTAGAGGTGCTGCCGCGATGGAGGAGAGGGGCAGGGGCAGGGAGGGGTTCTGGAGGAACTGGCCGAGTTGTTCTTCTGTGTAGGTGTCTGCTGTGTTGGTGTTGTTGTTGTTGTTGTTGTTGTTGTTGTTGTGATTGTCGTTGCTGTTGTTACCGTTGCCGCTGTCGCTGCCGCTGTTATTGTTCCTGTGTGAAGGGGACGTAACGGGTGGGGGCCCGATGTTAGCAGGCAGCTGATCGCTGCCGGGCAATCTAAACCAGCTCCTATGGACGCCAGCGAGCTTGCGCAGGGCATCGTGGCGGTTCATCGCACGCCACTGGAGGAGGTAATAAAAGTCCCTGAAGCGCCAAGGGATGAGGCCGAAGCCCGTGACGCAGAATAGGGCGTTGAGGATCTGCGAGTCGATTTCGATCCAGATTTTGCGCGCCGAGTTTGACGCGGAGCAACTCGGGTTGCACAGTGCGGGCGCTGCGTTGAGGAGCAGGAAGAAGATCATGGCGCCCCACGCTACGATGTTGAGGCCGTAGATTGTCACCAACAGGCCGAAAGGGGTGATTACGAAGCGGCCAAAGGCCTTCAGACCAATTATTGTGGCTTGGCTCCATGTGTGTTTTGGTGGGAAGTGGTAGCCGTTGGGATATGTGCCAGTTTCATCGGGGATGCGGGCAGGGGAGGCTGCTTGCGCGGATTTAGTATCTATGGCGCTTTTCACAGACAACGTGGGTGGTCGTTCTGTGGATTGACGTGATATGTAGTCGTCCCCTTGTTTCATGTATTTTCCTCCTGTAATTGTAATTGTATCATTGCCGCTATTCCATGGAGGAGCCGTATTACTCCGCCGTAAGTGAGCCGTTTGCTCCTGTTCCTGGAGAGCATTCGACTTCGTAATGGCAACGCGCGGCACAGAGGTATTTGCTCTGGACAGTTTGAAACGTTGGATCTGGCCTTCCTCCGTCCAGCCATCGGCGCTGAAACAGCCAGCACGGATCTCGTTGAGAGTTGGAGCGCGAGAAGCAATATCTCCAGTTGCCATCCACATGCCCGAGGGCGGGTTTGACTCGAGGAATATCAGGGACGCGCTGCGGAGGCGACTAGAAGCGGCCGGGGAAGTACCGGAGGGTTTAGAAGCTCTGTCTGACCGTGTTGAGGGGGGGGGATGCTTGTTGGTTGGCGGGGCTGGCGGGAGTTGGGCAGCGACGGGGGAAGGGGGAGAGGAGCCATTTCCCTCTTCTACAGAGGGGAGCGGCTCCATTGCGCGGTACTCATGAATCTACACAGAATAACTGAAGTAATTTAGAAGGCCGATTGAGCGTGGGAAGAAAGTTTAGGGTTGAATGGAGTGTGGAGGTTGAGGGACTCGGCCGTGGCGGCCTCGGAGGGAAGGGAACATTGGGACAGGCGGAAGATTCCATAGAGCTGGCAGCAGAGCACCAAGGGTTTGGAGCCGCCCGAGCAGAGCGCTGGCTAAGCGCCCGCCACTCAGACGGCCATCCCGCAGAAAGAGAGTTGTGTGTGTGTACGTGCTCTGGAGTTTGTTCAAAGGAATTGGCTTCAAGCTGGAGGAGTGAGAAATCCACGCGATGAAAGGGAAGTTGATTGGCTGCAGAGCAAAACGCAGGATTAGTCACCAGCCCGCTGTGTGCTAACTAGTTATAGTTAACTAACTACTAGTATACAGTCTATGTGCAGTCCGTATAGTTACAGGTTGGGGATATTGGGATATGGGAAAGCATTCTCGTGTCTTAGGTGGGTGGTCTTGATGATTGCATTATGGAAGGACTGCTCCCCAGTAACTCTATCTGGCTACTACGACTAAGACGAGGCTGATATTTTTGGTTGGGGTTTCAGTCTGATTCTGATCCAAGGATTCAAGGTGAGGACAAACAGTTCGTAGAGATAACAGAACACACAAAGGCTGATGAAACAAACAGAAAAAGAGATGCCCTTGTATACACATACACATACACGAGCACAGCACACCCTGCTCCACGTATTAGTGACAAGCTTTTCTGAATGATAACTCTTGTCCTGTGCTATTTATATGAGGATCAATTCCATCATCACCTGCAAACCGGCTCACCCCACTCCAGAACCTTAAAAATACAATATCACAGCTATTCTTAGTATCTGAGAGTCCTTACTCTTACTGCCTTTATGAAACGAATCAATCAATCAGTAGTTACTCGTATTTACTTGATTATTAAGCTCTTCTCTTCATTCCCCTCGAATTCTATAAAAGAACCCCGAGGGGGGGGGGAACGGAGAAGGGCAAGTAATAATTGCCACTACAAGAGAGTGCATTTCTTTCCCACCAAGTTACTGGATGGATTCGATGATGCCCATAAAAGATACCAGCTGGCAACATGCCAGTGGCGAATGGACACAGCGCAGTGCTTGGTACCGCCCAGGTACTCGCGATGGGCCCACCCAGCCAACGACGTGGGCGCAGGTGACCCGTTGGCTGTTTTCTTTTTTTGCTATCATTTACTGATTATTTTTGTTAGTTAGTTACTTTTATTTTACGGAGTATATTTTCTCACCATTTTTCCTGGGGCATATCTCAGTCTCACAATCTCGCAGTCTCTCAGTCCCACAATCTCCCAGTCCCCCAATCTCCCAGTCCCCCCCCAGTCCTCCCAGTAGATCTGTGATGCACAGTCCAATCCACTAACCTGGCTAGTTGTTCCCCCCTTGGCGTTGGCGCTGCTTGGGGTCCTCGCCTTCTTTGCCAACAACACCAAACCCCTGCTGTGGAAGGATGACCCTAGTCAGGTACACGGCTCTGGCTGGAGTCGGCGCTCTGGCTGGTAGAGACATTAAGAAGAGTAAGGGGAATGATGATATCCTCCGGTTTGCAGTAGCGAATACACCAGATAATATATAGAAGTACAGATTATATAGATAGATATATGCTCTTTTAAATATTTACTATGTGCACACGGATTTCATGACGCAAAATAAAACAAAAAGATCCCTAGTAACTATAAAAAAAAAAGGCAAACGACCAGGGCCTTAACTACCCCGAGTCCAACCCAGGTGCCCGCATCCTGCACGCACATCTTCAGCCAGAACCCATCGTCGCAGCAGACGAGGATCCCCCCTTTTCGATGTTTGATTTGAATAAACTAGTCAACTAATATCTTCTGTCCAGCTGCCGCCCAATCACTAACTAGCTAGCTCACTTATTTTGACATCGGGACCTCCCAGACCAGCCAGTGGGCACTGAGCCCCCCCGCCCCGGACGACTTCCTGTGGCAATAATGGCCTGCTGCGGCACACAAAACGGAATTTGCATTTTCTATTTTTTGTACGGAGTATGCTTGCGGGGAACAGGAGGGAAATGGAGAGCGAAGAGGGTGGATGATGAATGTAGTTATAGAATGTCAGGATAGATAGACAGCTTGCTTGTTATTGTTAGTCTTGTAACAATAAATACAAAACAGCGCCATCTCTCTTCTCATACCTCAGCGTTCCCGCGGCTCGTCGTCGTCTCCAGCGTTTTTATGGTTTGCGGTCCCTTTTCCCTTTTTACTCTGTGTCCAACCCGCAAACCCGCAAAACCTGTAACTGGCTCCGTTTATTTTATTTTGTTTTATTTTGTTTTCCTGCAGTACTTTCTTATCTTCTGTCTTTTCTCCTCCATCCTCGCTTTGCTATCCCTCATCTCCCGCCGGCTCTCTCTCCTCTCCTTGGGCTCTGTTATTTATTTTCCCGGCTGCTGCGATTCGTATTTCCTTCCCGCCCAAGCTGGCCCGGGTCGTTGTTCCACCTCTCTCTGCTTGCCGCCAGGGCTGATCCTCCACGCTCAATTATTGCTTCTTTTGCTGCGAATCCTCTCTCTCCCCATTATTCCTCTCGTCGTTTTTACCTCTTCTACAGATCATTTTTTATTTCTCCTTCCCCTTTCGCTTCCCCTTCTCTGCTTCTCTTCCTCTTCCTCGTCCTTTTGCTCTCCTCTCCAGGTTGACGCCTCACGCTGCGCTCTTTCACGACAAGCTCTCCTTCTGAGACTTGCTGTGGAAGAGTTGAGTTCTTAATTTAAGAGTTGGTCCTGGCTTCTCTCCAAGAATGGCTTCTTTCAAGGTGAGTCCTGGCCCTTTCCCGGACCTTCTCATGATGGATCTGAATCCAATTAATTCCTCATGGGCATGGGATCGAACATAATAACTAACTCCAAGACCCTCCTCTCAAAATAATTTACTCCTCCTCAGGAATCCCTCTCCTCCACGCCCTCAAGACCCATCAGCCATACCACTCCTCCTCTCCGCCAATCCAATGGCCGTCACCATTCCCACTCCGTCTCCCTCGGCGCCGTCAACATCAATCACCGTGTCACCCGCCGAAAAAGCATGACCTCCGCCGCCGCCAGCAGTGCCGCAACTGCCGCCGCCGTCGCAGTGGCTATGGGAGAGTCTCCCAGCTCTGCTGCCCTGTCCACATCCTCCTCCCACCTCCATCACCATCGACGAGCCCTGAACACTCGAAAGGCCGTCGAATCCACCTCCATGGGTGCTTCGTCGGGCTTTACCTCCTACCTCGCCCGCAATGCCGCCCAAGACGCTACCCCGGCACGCAAGAATTCCCCCAACTCCATTGACGAAAATACTGCCGTGGAAGATGTTTCCCCCCTTGCTGGCGGTACTGGTGCGGGGAACAACAGCAGCAGCAGTATCAGCAACGGTAAACCTATTAGTACGAAGCAACGGAGTCGTCGTGCCAGCGAGGGCTCTCACCTCATCCGTAGCGAAGGGAAACGCGTCATGAATGAGCTAAGATGTGATCGGTGTGGAAAGGGATATAAGCATAGCAGCTGCTTGACGAAACATATGTGCGTATATCTATATATTGATATATATATATATTCCTTCTGTTTAGGTGTTGTGAACGGGTTTTTAAAATATCTCTATTTACTTCCCGTGAGAGGTCAAGCGATTGGGCTGTGCTTCATGCGACACTACATGCATGCCATTTTCACCCTCCGCATCTGATAAAGACCATCTACCTCATTTATCTTCGCGATATTTCTCTCTCTCTTTTTTTTATTCTTACCCTTTCTTCTCTTGCCCTTTTTTTTCTTCCTTTTTTTTTCAAATTTGAAGTTTTAAATTGCCCATTGGATCAAAGATCTTACTATGTTTTATTTTTATTATTATTTTTACTTTTGGGAAAAGCCCTATTGACAATTAATGAACAGGTGGGAACACGACCCAGCGTGGGCTTACACATCCAAGCTCCTCATCTCAAAACATCAGCAAGTCCAGCTCCTCGAAGCCGCATCCGTTCTAGTAAATATGAACCCAGACACGCCAGCGTCGTCCGTTGACCACCACCAGCCCACCGGAGAGTCCGACCGCTCCTCCACCTCCCCGACCGCCTCCGGTATCTCAGAGCTTCGCGACGGCAACAGCTCAGCAGAAACCACCCCACCCCCAACCGGCGAAGAAGGTATTTTCGCCATCACACCAGCGAAACTATCAGCAGCACAGACAGGAGTTCACGCCAGACCCCATAATCGCAGCAACAGCCAAAGCCATAGCTTCCGCTTCAGCACAAACAACTTTTCACGCTCCTTCCAATCCATCCCCTCCAGCTCCTTTACGGACAGTGCGCCCACCCTCTCCCCCTCCCACTCTCACTTCCGCCAGTCCAGCACGGATACACGGCCCTCCACCGCAGAAACCGGAGGTCTGTTGGACGACGATGAAGCTGGACTCGCTGCTGCAATTGAACTGTGCCATTTCGGCACTCCCCGAAGCGGGCCTGTCCCCATGTCCCCGGATATCCCACCGGTCCCACCATTGCCCGCAAAGTTTGTCGGCAGCCAGAGTATGGGTGTTGGTATGGGGGTGGGGGCGGGGCTGGCCACCACCCCAAACAACAACAGCCACAACCACAACGGCATCAACGGCATCAATGGCATCAACAACAGCAGCCAGAACAACACGCACAGCTTCGACGTGCTCGCCAACGTCGCGAGGCATGAGGCATCCTCCACGCCTACCATCTACAACCCGCTAAACATGCATCCATCACTGTCTTATCGAGTCTCTGATGTACGGGACGTGAAGATGGATGATGCGCAGCTATTGGATACCCGAGGACCCATCAGCGGCAGCAATGGTAGCAGGGTGATGATGAAGTCCACCAAGACTAATAATAATATTAATAAAAGAAATGCTGATGATATTGTGGGGGCAGCGGGGGCTGAGCTGAATGATGAGGAGGAGGATGGCGATGATTTTGCGCATGATCGGGGAGGGTCTGTGGTGCCAATGGATGATGACGATGATGGCGTTTTTGGGCGGATGGAGGAGTGAATGGACAGGTTGGCGAGAGAGGAGAGGAGAAGGGTGCGGTGGATGAAATGAAACTGAGGGATTGGAATGGGGATGGGAATGTTTCGCTCTATCTCTCTCGCTCTCTCTCCCTTTCTCTCGCTGGTCTGACACACTCTCTTTGGCCCCCCTCTTCTCTTTTTGATATGACGATATTACGGCTGCCAGCTGACAAACCAACCAACCTTCCCTACCCTTCCCACCTACCCTTTTTTGACAATGTTCGCTTTTCGAGTCGTTTCCCCCCGCGGTTTCTCCCACGCCCTCGTTTTCTATATCTTTCTTCTTCCCTCTCTTATTATTTTTATGGACTGTTCGGAATCCCTAACCTCCTCTTTTGTCACTTGTCTATTGTTGGTTTGCCCCTCCTCCCCTTCCCTTTTATTTTTTCTTTATCAGTTATATATATAACATATCATTACTATACTATACTATAACTATACTATACTATAACTATACTATACTATAACTATAACTATATTATACTATACGAAGCTATTAAGTATTGTTAACTAACTAGCTATTCAGATCAGATTAGATAATATTACCAGTTTCATCTAACTAACTTAACTAGAGCATTTATCGTTTCTTCGTCTCGGGAATAACAATAATAGGATTTTTTTTAAATTCTTTATTTGGGTGCGTGGTTCGATATCCTCATTCTGTAATGATTTGTCGACAATTCGTGAGATGAACGAAAAATGCCATTGTCGTGTCGTAGTGGGTAAAGATAAGAAGATAAGATAGATATTCCTTGGAGCAAGTTGCATAGAGTTTTTTTTCTTTCTTTTCATTTTTCTCAAGGGAAAAAAATGAAAATGAAAATGAAAATGAAAATGAAAAATTAATAATTATAATGACGATAATGAATGATAGTTGATGAACATCACTCTGTTCTATCCACATCTCTATCCCCCTATCCATGCCTCGCCTCCCTTATCTGTCTGTCTGTCTATCTCACCTCCATCCCTCCCCCTCCTTAAACAAAACCATCTAGTTACCGCCTGACTCCCTGAAAGAAAGAAAGAAAGAAAGAAAGAAAGAAAAACACTTCTGAATTTCACCAATGAAACAACACGATGAAAAATGGTAGTTGTTGTAATTTCCAAGCTGAGAAGGTAAAGTAAGCCAAGCTTAGATTACATATATTGCATTGAAGGAGAATTTTTTTTTCTTACAGAGACAAGAATGGAGTAGAATGAATGCACTGTGCAAAAATCCGTGGGGAATAAGAAGTATATAGTAAAAGGAAGCGAGAGTATATCAAAAAAAAAAAAAAAAGAAAAGAAAAAAGACAGAGAAAAAGAAGCGAGGAAAAAAGAATAAATATGAAGACAATGAGAATAGAACCAAAGTTTTCCCCCCAACAGATAGCAGAAAGAAAACCACATTAATTAATACTTCATGAATGTGCAAGGTTGCTTCATTAAAACATGTTTCACCCTCCTTCCCCCCCCTTCACTCAATCACTTGTTTCCAATCCTGTACGGAGAGTATATTGACAAAGACAAAAAAAGGGTTGAGCTACCCGCCCGTTCCTCAACAAACAGCAATAAGGAAAAATAACAGGATAATAGCGAAAAAAAAAGAAGAGGGGTGGAAAAACGTGTGTAAATAAATGGAAGAAAGCCATCTCAAAATCGTCAATTTTTTTTTCCCTCCCTTCTCGGCCTGTTTCTCAACCTCTCTCATTCATCGCTAATATCATGCGCTCCGGGTCGTACACTTATTATGGCTTCGGGCGCGTTCAAGAGTTTTTTCTATTATCGTTGCTGGATGGAAGTTCGCAGAGGAGTTGGAGTAAAATTAAAACCGAGAGCATAGTTGTGCCACCCCGGCCCCGTAGTTATTAAACTTTTGTTTCGTCGATCACGGAAGATCGTAGTTATTTACTCATTCGATTCCGGAATAGTGTGAATTTTACTTCTGGAGAATATGCACAAATATATATAGAGAGTGTGTGTATGTGTGAGAGAGAGAGCGCGTGTGCGTGTGTTGATGATGGTGGCTGATCAAGCATCGCTGGGCCGGAGAAGCTGGCATCTATTTGGTTTCGGACTTTGAATGCGCCATTCGCTGGACTGTCGGAACGTGGATATGGGTTGTATATTCATCACGACGTCATGAAACCGACAATCAGGGTAAATAAGATAGTTGTAGAAACTAAGGAATTTGTTTCTGGGAGTGCGCAGCAGCTTTATTCTCTGACGGCCGGAGACATTGATCTGGAGATGGCTTGATCAGACACATGACTTGTTTGAGAGGTAGAAATGCTTATTTATCATACCATGGGGGATGCTGTATGGGGGTATTCATTCATTCAATTGTAGAATCGGGAGCGTCGATTGCAGCGGGGTATAGGAGCTTCGATTGTAGCGGGGTACGGGTCGTGGAGGTATCCGGTCCTCGACCTCTCCCAGGCAAGAGCAATCTATGCATGAATGAGATGGTTTAGAACGTTGAGGACTTTATGTACGTATCCTTTTGAAAGTTGGTATACTAACTTTGTATGTTTTTTCTTCTATGCTTCATCTTCTCGAATCCAATACCCAACGCCAACCGTCTTAGTCTCCCAGCAATACCGCAATTCCCTCAATCCACATCACCGCGTCCATTTCCGAATTGCCACCAGATCGGTCAAGGAGTTCAAAAAAAATCGCTCTCCCACCTGACATCATTCACCTACATCGAACCAATCTGACGAAAGGCCGGAGGAAAGAAATGGTGCAAGTGGGGTGGAGCGGATAATTTCGTCCTCAGCCCAGATCTAGCAAACGAACGGAATGTGAACATGCTCTAGTTTGAAGCTAGAACCGTTGGTGAGGATAGTGGGGATAGCCGTACTGCTGGTACGGCCAAGGAAACGGCGGCATCTGACCTCCTTGCCCTGGAACGGGCGGTTGTCTGGCAACTACCGGGAATTGCCGAAAGGGGGGAGGCGGATGTGGATGAGGTGGGCGGAACCCATTCCCCTGGCCCTGTAGATTCACAGGCATGGCAGGCCGAATTGGTGCCATCGGCGCAACTGTCGACGACGCGGCATGCCCAACAGGCGAGGCTGGTAGAGGAGCTGGAGGAGCTTGTGGTGGTGGATTAGATCCACCATCACTCTCCATTTCCAGGCGATCTATCAGTTCCGCCTGTTGTTTCCGCATCTCGCGCTGGTAAAGTCGACGTCGTTGCCTCTGGCCCATCCTGTTCCTCTTTGGACGCTCCGAGGGTCCTTCTTCCTTGTCGGTGCTGCTCCTGTTTTCCGCAGCCGTTTGCCCATCACCTGCGTTCGCGACGATAACGAACACGAGCCGCAGGAGCACAAAGTGCGAGATGTTCTCCAGCCGGCGGAGCACAAGCGCCGTCAACTGGGGCATACGGACTGAAGCAACTGAGGCAGGCAACAGGGAAGTCGAACCGGGTTCATTGTTGACTCTTTCCACGGGTATGGCATCAGAGTCTGCGGCTATGCAATTCGACCAGTTAACAGGCGTTCCGATCTGCTGTCGCGCCAAACGATTGATTATGACGTCGACAACTGGATGGAACGAATATTCCACCAATTGCGAGCCTGTAACCAATGCAAGACTTGACAACGGAACGTCACACACTGCAACAGAGTCGGTGAAGACAGGACCGTTCTCCCTGTAGTAGATGGGGTTTACACCTGATTGCCCCATGCCCATAGATGACTCGATCATGGCGGTAACGACCTCGTAAGCATCTGATATTGGCACCAGGGCCACATCATTGCTCATGTTGATCGTGACGGTCAGACCGGATGTCATAACGAAGTGTTTAGCCACCTCTGGTGAAGGCACGAAAAGTCTACCGAAGGAGAGGGCCAGATCCTCCCGTGTGTAAGCAATACTGATGAGTTTCAGACTCAGCCAACAGACGAAGATTATTGCCAGGGACCCGACAGCTAGCTCCAGAAGAAAACTGGATGATTTGGCTGATTGCGCCGCATCGTCCATCTCGACGCCGCCAATAGCAACGCGAGAGGGCTCCACAGCCTCCACGGCCAAACCGATTTCTGAGGAGCTGCCGGAATACATATCTCGCGAGAAACATGTATTTGGGGACGCTACCGTACCACCACTGGGGATGAATACCCAGGAACTGCTGTTGCAATACATACCATCGAGATATGCATCACTAGGCAATCTGGGGAGTCCTGAGAAGCCCGCGAACGACCCAGGTCTCTCGTGCTGGAAGGCCCCGGCGGCCTTCGAATTGGCGGTTAGCACGAATTCATAGGTGCCTGTTAAAAAAAATGAGGCCCTAATTGCCCCAGTCACCCTTTCCACGAAGGACCCGTGGGGGCGGATATCGGTATATGGCACAGGGAAGAACGTGCCCCACAGAGTCAGGGACGCAACAAGTCCCAAGAACGAAAGCAGAAGCATTCTGCTGCTGGGTATGGTGGTGAGCAATTTAACCAGTACAAATCTGACTAGGGGGAAATAATTGCATCACTAACTTGCAAAACGCGCCAACTTACGTACTTTATTTGGTATAAAACTGAGCTTAAAACTTCGGTTTGCGCTGTAAAGCTGCTAGTGTGATCTGGTTTTTTTTGATGTGGAAACTTGGTTTTTGTGTGTTTGGATAGGCGAGAAGAGCGAGATGGAGAAAGAGAGAGGGAGGGAGAAGTGTTTAGAAAGAAGAAGAGGAGCGTTGTGTTGTGTTGTGTTGTGTTGTGTTGTGTGAGGGGGAACTCATTCACTGGCGCGTCGTGAATAACACGACCAAGATAGCTCAGAGTAAGCGATGTGCCCAGTAGAGATGGCCTTCCACTCAATAGAAGAGGGTCCGATTGTACGGGATATTCACTTTTTGGAGGCAGCGCAAACGGATTCACCTGCTTGGTCGTTCACTGGAAGCGGATTTTGCCGCACTCGCAAAGACCAGAGAGCGAGTCTGCTGCTTCAAGGCCTATAGAGCGAAAGTCCATGTCGCAAGAAACAGCGGAAGAGTGTCCAAAAACATGGGAGAGAAAATGTAGTTCCCAGATACGAGGATATCGCATCTCAGATGAATACCCTAATCTGTAACAGGATATCAAACAACGAAGGGAGCCAGAGATGATGAGAAAAGAGATGTAGATTGCAAACGCCCCCTCTTTTTAGTCTGAACAAAGAAAAGAAAAAGTCTGAGAAGATAGGAATCCCAACGCCGACATATATATCCGCTGTAGAATGGAAAGCCAAAACAAATGTTCGAAGCCAAAATAAGGATGTCGAAAGAAAAATGTCTCCTCCTTCAGTCGATTTCCATCTCGTCCTGGGTGCCGCCATCCACCAAAAGTCTCGTTTTCTTCTTTGTACGTAGTCTCTCCGCGCCAACAACGTGGCTCAGATTCTTGTTTGCTAGTGACTCCAGCGGCAGGTTCTCCTCCTCCATTTCCTTGAGCTCCTTGCGAATAAGATGTTCTCCCTCGGCCACAACCCTTCGGTCTTCCGCTCTCTTCTTCTCCCGTGCCAACTTGCCAGCCAATCTTTTCTTTGTAAACACACGTTCCCGCCTCTGTCTAATCTCCTCCACCCTCTCCATGGCCTTGATCGTGGCCGCGACCAGGTTACGGTCGTACTTGACGGGGATGTTTCGTCTCTTCGCGAATTGTGAAAGGAGCAACGAGGAATCGACAATCATCTCCTTACCGTGGAGAGCACGGTGGGTCTTGGTCCATTTCAGCTTGCGGGGCTGTCGCTTCATCTTGAAGTTCTTATGACACTTCGAGCGGCAGAAGCGGAATGTACGGGCGTCATTGCGCACAAATGTTATGCCTTTGCTCGGATAGCATGGCTGGGAGCAGAAATGGCAGGTCTCGATTCTGTTATTTGACGTTTGTTGTGGTAAGTTCATCGTATTCATGCAGGAAATTTCAGTTTAAGAGAGGCATACCTCATAGCTGCTTATTCGTAGGTGCTTTCAACAGCGAGCCTTGATTGAAACAGAATTGACCGTCGTTTCTGTTGCTCTCACGCTATTTTCTCTTGATCGCATATGAACTTTTTTTTAGTGGACTGTAGATCAGGTGACATAATGAGACTCTAATCCTTATACGGACTAGTGTTTTGACTTTTCTGTTCCTTCACCCAAACTTTAACTTTATCAAGGGAAAATATTCCTGAGAACGGGCGAAACGTCCTCGCAACAATCACCACCGCTGTCCTGTCGTACAGTTCCAAGCCCATTTCCACTCTCTCTACCCTTCCCTCAATTTCTTCCACCCATAAATATGGCCTCCGTCCTCGCCATCGGGTTCGGCGTTGCTACTGCAGCTTTTTTGGTTTGTCATCCAACCTCGTCTTGAATGATGTACCTGGAGCGATGGAAAGCTGACATTTGTTATCTAGGGTCGTGCTGGTCTCGTTGCTTATCGCCGATCTAGAGGAAGTGTAAACAGCATGGGAAAAGCATTTTACAAGGGAGGATTCGAACCGCGCATGAATAGACGCGAGGCGTCGCTCATCTTGGAACTTTCGTACGTTGATACTTATACCGACAGCCAATATGGATATCCTCTGCTCTGCATGCGAATCCTTGGATTTGTAGTTAGAGACATATTAGGAGGGATCTCCTTTACTGACGGGACCATAATCGTCACAGTGAACGAAACTTGAACAAAGACAAAATCCGCACAAACCATCGCAAACTCATGCTGCTCAACCATCCGGACCGTGGAGGAAGCCCGTACCTTGCCTCCAAGATCAACGAAGCGAAAGAACTCCTCGAAAGGAGTTAGTTGTTAGAATCGGACCGTCCGGAATTACTGTCGATCCATTTGACTCGAACAAGCGGCGAGCAGGCGAAGATTTCTTTTGGCAATACTATCTTGCCACGCTTTGCCGGGTGTATAGCTCAATTCCCCGTTGTTTTCTCTTCCCGTTTTCCTTTCTTTTGGTTTCCCCCCTATTTACGAGGGATGCATAGCGAGGCGTTTTTGATTTTGCTGGGTACATATAAACCTCCCAATTTTTGCCGCATTTAGCCATTCGCACATATGGTATATCCACCAAATCCCTCCTCTTATTTGTTGTATAAGAAGCAAAATTTGTATATTACAGATACCGGTACAGAATTCTCTCGTGTCTTTCTTAAATTTCAAGCTGATATCGCAGAATTTACAATGAATGTTGGCAGCCTAGAAATCGAATTATAATGTTGGGGAAACTCTGAGGGTACGAGCGCCTCTTTGGTGATATTTTCTTATGCCTTTGAGCTATATTGCATATCCGAGATTAGATCCTGCAGTGCAATGCTTTAGAAAGACACCGGGATAACGAGAGAGTGCATGTCCTCATCCACAGATACTATCTAATAAATAAATTCTTAATCCCTTCTCAGGACGCCCGCTTCAACGTCATGTGATCTCCGGCTGTAGGAGGGGTCCATTTTGACATCTGCCCCACGGCAAAGCCAGTTTATCGCCAAACTTCATTTCTCGGCCGGCAATACGGTGAATCATCGGCCTGGATATGTATTCATTATACATTCGTATATGTAAATCTGTTGACTCCTTCATTACTACAAGTACTAGTACCTATCCAACACACCTTTGCACCCGTTGCTCGCGCGTGCTAGATCACTATCAACTATCAGTCCTTTGGCAACTGACGAATACCCGTAAAGATGCCTTTGAATGCCTGTGACGTCTTCTCGGCCCCAGAGCCCAAGTTCTGCGCATTCCCCAGTAGACGAAGTGTTGTTCACAGCACGAAAGGCATCATTGCCTGTACACAGCCCCTAGCCGCAGCTGCAGGGCAAAGGATCCTTAGAGATGGAGGAAATGCTGCGGTAAGCGCCATTGATTCTCTTTCTTCTCTCCTCAGGTTTTCCAAATCTCGTTGCTTTCTATCTAATTGCTCTGTGGACTTCGTAACTAAATGATTATTGCAGGATGCCGCTGTGGCGGTTGGTATGTGAGCGATTTATGGTGGCAGAATGCCCCTTTTATTATATATTATTATATATCTACCAGGCTAGTGAGGTCGATGGCTGATGTATACTATTGGCACATGATTAGCTGCGGCTCTCAACATAACAGAACCGTCTTCAACAGGTATTGGAGGTGATATGTTCTGTTTGTTTTATAACGCAAGGACCAAAAAAGTGCATGCCCTCAATGGCTCGGGCCGCGCAGCGGCCAATATTTCTCTGGATTTTGTTCGCAAGGAGTTACGTCTTGCTGCTGGCGAGGAGGGCAAAATTCCGATGACCAGCGTACATGCTGTGACGACGCCAGGTGCAGCTGCCGGATGGATCGACACCGTGGAACGCTTCGGAAGCGGGAAGTTGTCATTGGAACAGATTTTGACACCAGCCATCGAATTGGGAGAGGAGGGATTTCCTGTGTCTGAGCTCGCCGCGTCATTTGTATGTGCATTATCCTCTGTTACGATTGATTTATTGCCCCCCGCGCCCCTTGGCCAACTTGTTCGTTGCTAATGAGCCAACCAACAATATAGTGGGCAGAAAGCGAAAAGCTCATCCGTGACGCATCACCAAACTTTAGAGAGATGCTGAAACCCAGCCCCAGTGGGAAGGATGGAGTGAGATGTCCACAGGCGGGGGAAATATTCAAGAACCCCACTCTTGCCCAAACCTTTCGAACACTGGCAAAGGAAGGCAAAAAGGGCTTCTATCAAGGCCGTATTGGGGAAGCAATTATCAAGGTGGTCCAAGATCTCGGTGGCCGTCTTTCACTTGACGATTTGAAATATCACATGGAAACAGGCAGTCAAGATGTAGACGCAATTTCTTTAAAGCTCAACCCAACCGACATTGGCGGAATCAAGCGTGATGGCAAAGGCGAAATAGAAATCTGGGAGCACCCCCCCAATGGCCAAGGTATCGTTGCTTTAATGGCATTGGGTATCTTGGAAGAACTGTCCAGAACCGGCAAGATCCCCCACTTCGCGGCCGAACAACACAACTCCAGCGTCTACCTCCACGCCGTCATCGAAAGCCTACGAATCGCTTTTGCCGACGCAAGCTGGTGGGTGACGGATCCAGATGTCGAAAACGTCCCGTCCGAGGAATTAATTTCCCGCGCTTACCTCGCCAAACGCGCAGAGCTCTTCGATCCGGATAAGGCTTGTGACGTCATCGACCACGGCAGCCCCGCTCACAACCACTGCGACACGGTCTACTTCGCCGTGACAGACCAGGAAGGCAACGGCATGTCCTTCATCAACAGCAACTACGGCGGCTTCGGCACCTGCATCATCCCGCAAGGCTGTGGCTTCACGCTGCAGAACCGCGGGGCAAACTTCTCGCTGACACCAGGCCATCCCAACGTCCTCGCGCCCCGTAAGCGCCCCTACCATACCATCATCCCAGCCATGGTCACCAATACATCAGATAACTCCCTTCACACAGTGTATGGAGTGATGGGCGGCTTCATGCAGCCGCAGGGCCATGTGCAGGTGCTGATGAACATGCTTGCGTTTGACCAAACCCCGCAGACGGCGCTGGATGCTCCCCGTATCTGCATTGGAGCGGGGATGCCGGAGCGGGGCAAGCCATTGAGACATGTGGTATATTTAGAAGAAGGGATCAAGGAGTCGGTGGTAGAAGAGCTGAAGAAATTGGGACATAATGTCGAAGTGTTGAAAGGGTTCAAGCGTGGGATGTTTGGGCGGGGCCAGGTCATCCGGTGCCATTATGACGAGCAGAAGCGGGTTTATAGCGCTGGAAGTGATATGAGGGGTGATGGGGCGGCGTTTCCTGTTTAAAATGAATGATTTGCCATTTTTCAAGCAATGAAAGTGTTGTTTAGTATCGAGGTCTAGGTGCAATCATCGAAGAATAAATAAAGTTTCGTGTGTTATATGTATTTATTTGAAGCTTAATAGCCAAGAGGTAGCATGCTATTTCACACAATTCCCCCTTGTTTCTTTCAATTGCGAGGCAATTGAACCTCCCTTACTTCCCCCTCCCCCTAATGGCCATCATGATATTTTCTATTGATATATTTTTTGAGCCCACACCTAATGTTCAATAGCCCTTTTGGGCAGGTATTTGTATTGGGTTCTCTGCACAAATCGCTCCTTTAGCCAGCCGTCGTGGTTATCTCTATTGTTAACCGTCACCTCCATTTAATCTTGGGCGCATTCGCAATGTAGTGAAGTATGTAGTCGTTTTTGGACAGAGCGGGAATGAGAATTTTTATGAAGTAGATAAGAGGATCCGTGAGAATAGAATATATAGATGATTAACAAAGTTATTAATACTATTGATACATTTGCGGCCAGCTCATATTCAATCACGAGAACTCAATTTTTTCCGGTTTCATGGATCTGTGCTCAGCAGCACAGCAGCACATATGGCGACTTTTTAGGAGGAACTTAAAAATGTCACCCCGGAACGGAAGGGTAAGAGGGAGAGAGGGACAGGAGGAGAAAGAGGCAATGGTTATAAAAGGGGTAACTGGAATGTGGTGATATAAGAATAAATAATATAAAATAACATAGAAGTCAGAATTGAAAATGCCAAGAATGGGACGAAGATTGTGGGATATAGTTTGATAACAGAAGTAAGCAGAACGCGACAAAACAAAAGTCATGTTATCCAGCAGCGGCAAGGACAGTCCTTAGGTTTACCATGAATCTATCCTTCAATTTGTCCAGAGGACCGTTGTCCCGATATCTGTCAGAGTCGCGTCGCTCCCGTCTTCGTCCTTCGTAATGGCTATCCCTTCTCTGGGGTTTTTCTTCCTCTAGATCCTCAGCCCTTCTCGATCTCCGATGTTCCCGTCGGCGCCTCCCTGCGTCGGCGTCATCCAGCGAGTCCCTTGGCGAGGTATTCTCGCGACTTCTTGGCTCCTTCTCGCCATGATGCCGATGTTTGTGACGAGAATTGGAATGGGGTCTGGAGCTGCTTGAAGAATCTGATGGACGGGAAGTAGATAGCCTTCTCTCGTATTGTTCGGTTACATTAAGCTTGAGTAAGGGCCCGTTGGTTTCGGACTCTCCACTGGCCATAAGCTTCAGTAGCGCGACTGGTTTGGAGGTTATGGTTGACAAGCTAAACGAGGTAGATTCCCTTCTACTTTGAGAAGAACCTGAATGGCGACTTGTATCAAACGAATCCTTTGCCGCGCTGTCCCTCCTAGCTCGTCCTTCACTATGTTTGCGATTGGCCCTTCTGTGACGTTCAGCTCTTTCCTCGTCGGAACTTCTCCTTGGTGATCTCTGTTTCTTCACTTCGCCAAGTACTTCCCACTTTGGATTTGCAAAAGCAGCTCGTTCGCGTTCTTGACGGTGAAGAGCATAACTGTCAGAAGAGCTCTTGGACTCTCGCCTCCCATGCTCCCATTGCGAGCGATGCCGTCGTTTTCTCCGTCTTGTTTTCAATGATGCAGCGCCCTCAGCTGATTCTCCTGCTGGAGAATCGATTATGACATTTTCATGAACGTTATCATTGCCAATTTCATCAATTGATCTATCAGCAGTCGGCTGATCTGGTGGAATGTCCTCAACCGGAATTTGATCAGGGACAGATGTTTCCGGGAGAGGAGACTCTTCACTAACATTTAACTCTGGCATTGGCTGCTCTGGCGAGGCGTCTGGGACTAGAGTATCTTCCACTTGTGCGGCCTCTTCCGCAACTGGCTCCTCCACAATTAATTCTTGTGTAGGTCGATTTTCTAGAATCGGTTCTTCAGGGGCAGGGTCCTCATGAGGGGGATCTTCAGCGTCGGCCCCTTCGACGGAGGGCTCTTCGGCAGGCGGATCAACAACAGGAACGTCTTCAGGGGGATCCTCCGGAGCTGGTTCTTCGAGGACAGGATTTTCTTCTGTTATATCTTCCACCGCTAGTTCTTCTGTAATCGGATCCCCGGTTGACTCTTCTTCCGCAAGACATGTTGTCTCGGCTGGTGCACGTTCGGTTGGCGTTTCTTCTGAAAGTGTAGGTTCTTCATCGCCATGACCATCATCCTTAGGTTCTTCTACGGAAGCCGGAACATCCACGGGATCGTTAGCAGTTGGTTCCTCTGCTGGGGTGTCTTCAAATGGCTGATCTTCGGCTAGCTCTTCAGTAGGAGATTCTTCGGGCAGCGTTTCTGTAGGTGGTTCTGCAGGAGACAGTTCCTCCGCAGCTTGCTCTTCCACAACTTGCTCTTCCACAAGCTCTTCCGCAGGATATTCTTCAAGTTTATCTTGTGCCTCTGGCTCTGGAGATACAACTTCAGTGGGACTTTCCCCTTCAAGAGCTTCAGCATCCTTTTCATCGGCTTGGACGTAATCATCCAACTTGGATGGCTCCGCGTCAGGTGAATCAGGCTCATTGGCAATTGTTTCATCCTCTTTGTAGATTTCATTTACAGGCTCGCTTGTGTTGTCAGGACAGTGGCTCAATGCGATGTTCTCATCATCGTAATCGCCATCGTGATACAGCTCCGCCTCAGCCTCCTTCTCTGCTTTCACCCGGGCAACCTCGGCTTCGGGGTCAACATCTGGGAATCGTAGCTCTTGCACGCTGGTCAGCATTGCACTTCCTACAGAATCGAAGTTTATATCACCTTCATTGTCACAAGCCTCCAGGTTATCTGGAGGCGTTTCGGTCAGAGGATCTGGTTCCTGACTCTCTCCGGGTTCAGACACTTCGGGCTCGACATTTTCTGGAACGTCATCTGCTGGAGGAGTGGCATCCTCACTCGCGACTACCTCCATTTCCGTCTCCCCCTGTTCAATTTGATCTTGTTTGCAACCTTCCCCATCCTCGGTTGAAGGCTCCTCATTTTTTCCCTCCGTTCCATCTTGACTGAATGTCTCCTCACTCGCTTCCTCTTCTGGTTTCTCCACCTCTTCTTTCACTTCCCCCTCCTCCTCTGCAACATCTGGAATAGTGTCAGTTGGGTTTCCGATGGATACCATTTCAAATGGAGGCTGGTCTTCTCCTGTGGCATCTTTACATATCAAACATTAATTTTGAGTGCACAACGAGGCTTTTTAAGACAAAACGTAAGTGGGAAACCAAAGGTACATCATAAATTATGACCGCACAAACGAAAAGGAAAATAATAACAAAAGAAAAAGGAAAATAGGTAGGGCGATTCGAAGATGTGATGGAGGTATAATGCACGTACCATTCGAGGGTTCGGGTACAGGTTCACTCGGGTCAGTCACTGATGGATCATCTGGACCCTTATCCTTGTTCGACTCAATGTCAGCATTGACCTTATCATCGCCGACTGTTCCAACATTCTCATAAATAGGAATGACTGGCACGTCTGAGAACTTGAGAGTTTCAAGGTCGAATGTTTGATATTTAAATTGAGGGAGCTTTGCATACAACAACGGAGGCTTCGACATCTTGTACAGGTATAGCCGACGGGGAAGCACCGTCTCCAGGTGAATTAATATCGATGTCAGACGGCCTTGTGACGCTAGGAGGAGGGTTGTTGTTTTTCTTCTTATTATTCTTTTTCTTTGCCATATTTAGCCGACGAATGATATATCAGAAAACGTAAAGGATCTGGGCGCTGGCGGGGGAATCTGTTGACTTAATAAAGTGTAGCAAGGTGAGGGGTGAGAAAAGCAAATGAGTCGTCAAAGAGAGTGACACAGTCGATGGCCACATAAGATTAAGATATGAGAGGATGGAACTGGCGAGGAACAGCAAAGGGGCGATGTAATAGGAAACAGAAATGCAACGGAGCACATGTTTAACTGCAGTTGCAGATGACGCAGGGGGGGATCTTCTCCTAGAAACCGTAGTGGAAGCCCTGTAAAAACACATCCGCAACCAGCTAGGTAGAAGGCAAATTCATAGACCAATTCGCAGACATGATATGTGACGTTCACCCACCTCCCACAATACGACCAGGAACTGATAAATTCACGGGCATGTACCAACCACACTAGAGTGGGTTGACGATGCAAGCCCGACAGCCGACATCATGCAGATGTTGTAAGCACTGGCGACTTAAAATAACCAGAGGCCCAAAAATATATGGAGAACAAAAGACACAAAAACCTAGAAATGAAAAAAAAAAAAAAAAAAAAAAAAAATCAAGACAAAACACGTCTTGAGGAAAAAATATCAGGCAATTACGACATCAACATCTTCCAATGAGAGCCATGAAATTAATTTAAACATGGGCGGAAATATTTCGCCTAGTAAATGGATTAATTTAACCCACAAGCATCAACCAGAGCGCATATTCCAGGGAGGGCGATGCCTCACGAGTGACATGGTAATTTCCTTGCCTGGGATGACCTGAGGTTTCTGCCCAACGTTTCCGGCAATTGGCTCCGGTGATTGCAGGGCGGATGGGGGTGCAGCTTTCCACTGGGCCGTAATTGGATTGGTCTCAGTCGTTTAGTCCTAAGATGACTGTGTATGCTGAGCGGCCTGCACATATCACACCATAACCACTCATGAAAAATGATGCAGTATTCCCACTGACGGCTTTCCACATAAGCCTGGCGGGGAAGTCTGGCGTACGTGAGCGGAGCGGTTCCTGGATGCTTCTGGACTATTGATCCAGTGCTAGGGTATTGCTGGAGCAACGCGATCGTCAATCTGCAAAGCGAAGGATGCAGCACGATCAAAGCATCAAATCGAGAGTGGCTGGGCGAGGTTAGCCATCGCAGCCCACGGTCAAACCCCCAGGCTAAGGGCCTCACATTCCGAGAAAGTGGAGGTTGCAAACGAACGGAGAGGTTTGAGGTGGTTGAGCGAAGGTGAGATATCCATCCTCGGAATGGGGTCGAAGCCTCGACCCCGTGACCTGGACCCCCGATTGGCCAGCATTCCTTGGCGCCACTCGCGATTGGATGCCCCGTGGCTGCAGTTTGGGGCCTGATCTTGGGAGCAAAGCTGCAGGCTTAGGCTGGTAAACAGTCAACGTATCAAAGAACATCGGACAGACAAATCACCTACTCAGACACTTCCCCATCATATTATCTTCTCTCAACCTCTGTTTTTAATCTTCTATATAAAAAAAATCTATTACTTTCAAATCATATTTTCAATACTATCAAATAATTTTTGATTTGAGAAGAATATATTAATCTATTGAATAAAATGAGCTATCTCTATATTTAAATTTTATTATCATCTTCAGCGTTTTAATTGTGTAATTGTATAGTTAATTGTATTTTTCACTTTGAGTTAATTTTATATTACTGAATTTCTTTTAAAGGATTTTAAAATATAAAATTCAATCATTGACTCGAATCTTCTCTTCTGATTAGAAACACAAATAGTTATCTTTTTTTATTGTTGACATTTTGATTACATCTTAAAGTGGAGAAGCGTCCAAGTAGGTGATTGGTGATTTGCCCAACAGAAACTGTGGGATGGTTAATCTTCTCATTGTGCGATCGCTAGCTAACTATATAGGGCTAATCACGTGCGGTGGAGGGCCACCTGGGCAACTAGTGCCCAACAGAAACTAGGTGATAGATTACGTTACTCTGCTTCATCTTTTTCAGTGGACATTGAGACCCCATTCGAATATATGCTGTGGCGGATTTTCTTTTCGATACAGTTTGCCACTCAGAGATTACAGTGGGAGAAATCAAGGGTTGCCAATTCTCCTTTCTATAAATAAATAATTCCTGCCTTGGGCTCTTAGAATCGGATACGCCCTAGGAACACTGCGACTAATCTGCGCAGAGAAGACAGGATTCAAATTATTAGAAACAGATCAATTTGAAATCTGTAGCACAGAGCCTCCACCATTATGTTGGAATAAACCATGGCTAGGCCTAGGCTTTCACGTTTTCAAGATGATGTTCCCAGCAAAGCTTATGTCAAGGTCTTTAGAATCAAAATATCGTCTGGTTATTTATGATTAAGGCTGTACCAGTTTAAACCAGCTTAAACCGGTTATCTCAGCCTCGCTCGCAACGGGATACCTTTCACATCGAGGGCTTTGTCATTTCTGTCATAACAATTCACACTTTCCAGCCACCTCCAACCTAGGGCTGCCCAAGGCGACAGGCAACAAGACAAGATATCGAAAGTTGGGCATAACAGCCCACGGACATACGTGTGCCAGCAAGTTCCAGCTCAGCAGTTACTCATGAACAATCAATTCCCCTTCCAATTGGCAATGAGCCAACGTGGGTAGGGCTCAACTGAAAAAAACTGCGTACCCACGGATGCCATTTGCATAAATCTCTCAGACAAGCATACCGCCCAAGTGTCCAGTGTCCATCCCAAGGAATTCATGGAGTCACGAAACGACGCGGACGCCATCTTCCGCGATAGCCGTTTCTGAAACAGACGTCCATCGTTTTCAAATCCGCCCACACCCCCCCATTTTTCCGCATACATAGCTCTCTAAATAACCCCCATCCAAACGTCAGGAAATAAATAGATCATGACTGCTGAAAGCATACCTTACGCATTACGTTCAACCCATCGCTCCATTGGAAACGGAAACTACAAGAGCACAACATAAGAAACAGCGACCCTGGAGATTCTCTCATACCATGGGCCCACACAGCGCCATGCTCAATAACTCAGTAAAACAGTCTGCATGTCGGGTTTTCCATGGCCGGCGAAGATTTCCTGACTTGGCCTCGTACAGCTTTGCTTAGTGCGACCAGGCTCCTGTCCGCCTCACCAGTACAAGATATGATTTAATCAACGTGGCAAATGATATTTGTTGTCTTCTATGCCACTCTTCGTGCGGAAAGTTTGAATACTAGTATCACTGGGTTATGATCATCATTGTCCTTCATTGTGTGTATCCACTAGCTGCCACACTCTGGAAGGCATTGGCCAAGCAAACAATGAGGCTGGACGGATTAATATTTATCCTGTCGATTCTGTGGACTTATCCATATGCAATGGCCTGCGGGCTATTGTCATTTTATCAAACATTAACCATAGAAGCGAACTCCCACTCCTGGTATTGGAGCCTGCAATGCAGGCAAATTTTTAGTATTAAAATAACTTATCCACTGCTCACTATCTCATCTCTCCCTACCCCGCCTTTTCTTTCATTCAGTTCATCTCTCAATGACGAAATGATATTTCCTTAACAAGACAGTGAGCTAATTGAAACTTGCCCCACCATTGGTGTGATGGCAACGCTGTTACATCCGCTTTCCCCGTTCTGACAGAATTTTCGGTGAATTATCTTTCCCTGGTGATAATTCACTGCCTGAGGCATGATTGGAGACCATGATCCCCCCATATCAAAAATTGTAATGCATCCCCAGAAATCCCATCACGGAAAGTCCGCTTTAGCGTGAGGTGGGCGCAAGAAATTGCGTTACGCCAAATCGCAGGTTAACAGAAGCAATGAATATCCAAAATGCAGCATAATTCCATACCTCTGTGGTCCGATCACCCATCGTTACATATCGCGAATTCGTTGTCAGGTCTCATCCACCCCCCTTCTCTCAAACCTATCATAACAAATCGATGGCATCGATCATGGGGAAAAGGGGAAATTGCATGCAAGTTGGACAAACCCTTCCCTACCCCTCAAGTTCCTCTCCCCGGCAGCCGAACACATTCGATCTGACGTGCATGGGCTCTTACTTTGTATTCGCAAGAGCTATCGGGATGTCCCCTACAATCATTGTTGCACGTCCCCTTTAAGGCGTACTCCCGTTTCCCCGACCCTGGCTGTTATGGAATTCCATTGTAGGGTCCTCCTATTAGCTGACTCGAACACCGAAGCCTGCTGAAAATGCCTGCAGTGTGTAAGAACGCTTCCGGATAGAACTCTTGCCATTTCTTTTCTTTCTTTCTTTCTTTCCTTTTTTTTTCCCCCCCATCTAAGGGTTGGGGGAACATAATATTCAGTATATGGTTGATAGCAGAAGTTCTTAGTATTTAGGCCAGGTTTTATAACAGGTACAAGATTTTTGGGCTTAAACCTCTCACTCCAATATGTTGATAACTGCGCTTACTCATTGCCTCCTGGGGTTAGATCGCTTCCTACCACGATCGTTTATATTTAGCAGCCAGTCTGGTATGGATTCATGACTGAGAAGTGGTTTGGTATACAATTAAGGGAGTATTGTTCAAAGTGCCTATTATGAATGTCACTTATTATCAATTTTATATCATCGTGGCCTGAGAGTTTCCTATCATAAAATTATGGCTTTAATCGAGAAAAAAAAGTATGTCCTACGCCGCAGCTGGCATAATTACTGCTAACTGATAGGGTCGAGTTGGGCGAGGGTCCTCTAAATCAACTTGATAGTGAGAGGATTGAAATGAAACTTAATTCATTCGTCGCGATTAACTAGTTATAGATAGTAGACGAAAATAAATCCCGCTAGATTTGACATTGATGCTTATAAATGCCTCTAAAGCTGAATACGTTACCCAGTTTTTTTTTTTATATTTGTTACGGAAAATGGGTCGAGAAACGTAGCTGGTCTAGCATTAAGCACAAGCACACACGAGCTAGTTAAGGGAAAATGTATGTACTCCTTTCTACTTTGTTGCATTTGGAAAAGAGAACAACACTAATCCTTTAGCCAGGGGCTGCTTTATCCATTCTTTCATTTTTCCAGATCATGGCTGCTGGATAAATGGACGCCCCAAGCCAAGCATTTTCTCCCATTCTGTCTTCGGGACGATATATGTACATTCCGCTCTCATCCACTTTATTTGCTTTCTTCCCTTCGCGCTGCATTATAGAGTCCATCCGCACGTCATCGAGGACACTGGAGACTATATAACCCACCGAATGAGGGGTATATAGCAATCCGAGGATAAGTACAGAGAAGTTGTACGGCGGCTGGCTGAAAGTGGTCTGGAACTTATGTTAAGCACATATAATGATGTTGAGGTGATGCTGCTATAGAGCACTGTCAAAAACACAGCGGGGAAGCGTAGATAAAACAAGATGCTAAGTAGATCAATGAGAATCATCTTTCAAAATTTTCAGCCATTTGGCCGTGCTCTGCGTAATCTGGCGAGAAGACACCCAGCTGAGTGTGCAACATTTGGTTCTACCTCCGCGACTGGCTTTTTTGGCGAAGCCAACGTCTCTGGAATCCCAAAGCGGAGAATTAGTAGTGACACTCCTCCGTAAATAGTCAAAAACCATTGAGTGCTCCTCCAGCCCCAAGCATACGCAATTGCCCCTCCAATTATTGGAGCCAGCAGGGGCCACACAACGGCCCCAGGAAGAGTGTGCCCATTGCTTTGCCTCTTTCTCATGGATCCCAGATGTCTGCAATCGTTCCAGCCCCAATTACCTGGACCGAAGCTGCTGCTCCTCCGCTCAGCAGCCGCAACACAATAAGCATTTCTATAGAAGACCCGACTCAAGTACTTTCCGTCGCGCTATACATGTCGAGTATGGGAGCATTCCCGCTAGGGTGGTCCGCGTTAAGCGAAACCTTTTGTCGCCGTTCGATATATCTCATATCGTTCACTCTTTTTAACGTTTTCAATATCCTTTCCGCCATCGCAACTGATTGATCGTGACATTCCGGCCATCCTCATATCACAATGATGGGATGAAATATGACGATGGTTGGAGGTTCAGATCGTTGCTAATGTTCAACACTGTGAAGCAGTAAGCTCGGATAAGCGTTGAAGGGCATCCCTCCAAGATATGATGATGATTCTGACAATTGATAGTACTTTCAGTGATATTCTGTACAGAAATCGCTCACTGAAAGCAATCATCATTATAAGTTGTTAAGAGGAGGCGGGCTCATCCGCATGAAGCTGATGATAGCAACTACTTGCTCACAATTCCTCCCAAGGGAAATGAAGCTGACATCAGCAATACTGCTGATCAGGGAGTTCCGCTGAAAGACCTCGATCTTAGCTATTGCGGATGTCACAAAGAAGTCATCTGAGACCAGTTGAGATGGTTGGGGGGGGGGGGGGGGGGGGAAGAAAGGGAGAGAAAAGAAGCAAGAATAAATAGTCACTCAATATTAACACATTCACATTATGGTTCATCAGATCCCATCCTGCCAATTTCCCGATTAGAAGTTAGAGAAGCTTAGATACCCTACCAAAGCAAACAGATCCAACTAGAATAGCTTATAAGTCCGGTTGGAGCCGAGCAATGCTAAAGAATGAGGTAATGAGCCGTTTTCTTTGACCCGAAAACATCTACTGTTCCCGCTCACCACTACCGCTTTTTACTACGAGCTCCGGAGCTGATAGCAGAATGTGCACCATGTCGAAACCATCAGTTTACCAACCCAAATTAAGCGAGCATTTCTCCAAATTCCCACTAGAAAAGCAGGTTGAAGGGTGGGATGAGCTGTGGAAGAATGAGACCACTCCATGGGATCGTGGGGAACATAACCCCGCACTAGAAGACACCCTTGTCCAGCGCGGCGGATTCCTGGGAACAGCGCTTCAAGATGACAATGACACAACAAATAGGACTGGCAACAAGAGGAAAAAGGCGCTTGTTCCCGGGTGTGGGCGGGGATTCGATGTTTTTCTGCTAGCAGAGTTTGGATACGATGCGTATGGGTTGGAATACAGCGATACCGCGGTGGAGATTTGTTGTCGGAATGCTGCTAGGGTTGCGGATAATATTCCGGTTCGGGATGATCGCATAGGGAAGGGGAAAGTTACCTTTGTCCGAGGGGACTTTTTCAAGAATGACTGGTTGAAGACGATTGGGGTTGGAGAGGGAGGGTTTGATCTTATATATGATTATACGGTAAGATTGTCTTTGTGCGATAATCTGCTGGCGCCATTTTTTAGGAGGTTATGTTCCCTACAAGTACATGCTAGGACACCGGAAGTTTGGATTTGATACGAAACCCTGTCTAACATATCGGAAATGATATTGTCCCCATTGTACTTTAGTTCTTCTGCGCATTGAACCCGCTTCTTCGCCCACAATGGGCCGCCCGAATGACCCAATTACTAGCACCATCACCGCGCGGAAACCTCATCTGTCTAGAGTTTCCTACCGCGAAGGACCCAACCACAGGTGGTCCTCCATTTGCATCTCCTCCCGCAGCTTACATGGAACATCTCAGCCATCCAGGGGAGGAGATCCCGTATGAGAACGGCCATATTATAACGGATCCGCTGAAAGAAGTGGGCCCTAATGGACTAGAGCGCGTCGCGCATTGGCAACCAGAGAGGACACATGAAGTTGGTAAAGATGATGACGGGAATGTCCAGGACTGGGTAGCAATTTGGCGTCACCGCAGTTGATTCTGAAAAGGGACGGGTGGAGGTTGAGAAAATATCGTCGTTCATTTAATGGCGATATTCGAAACAATTCCCTTGTATATAATTTCAAATCAGACATATTGCTTCTCAAGAAGCTTTTGTTAAGGCGTTGTAATGTTCTCCCAACCCGTAAGTATGTCTATAGTAGGCGAGCCATATCGTCTTGACGTCCTCCTCGTTGCTATTTTGGGGTTCGAATTTCTCAATTCGCCCATCTCCTTGGACAACATTAACATGAACATTGTATGCTCGAGCAATGGCTTGTAGTTCCAGATGCCCTCCCCATTCTGCAGTGGCTCTTATTTTGCGGACGTACTCAGGTAAAGTTTCTTCGACAAAAGGTGCAAAATCGTCTGCGTGGTTCGTGATATAACTAGCTGTCACATCCCTAACAATATGATATCCAGCTGCGCCACCCGGCTTGGGATCTGTAAACCCAGTAGTTGGAGGCATCGCGCTCAAGGGAATACCATTGTTCACAAGTTGAGTAGCAACAGCTGAGTAGAGGCAATGTCCGTCGGGACTGATTTCCTCCTCTTTTAGCCCAAGACGAGAAAAAGTTGCATCCATGTTCTTCCTCTCATTGCCCCGATGATCAGTCTGATGGGTCGCTTCCTCTGCGGCTCTCGCAGCTTCGGCCTCTTGTTCAGCTGCGCGCCGCGCTAGACGTGCTTTTTGACGATTTGGTTTCTTCTTAGGTGTCTCCTTTAGTACATCAGATGATGTGATCTGAGCATCGGAGCTGTAAATATGAGAGGTTAAGTGAACCAAGCTTATGTCATCGTCTGCTGTTGGTTGTATTGAGTGCCCCGCACCATTTTCCAGGTCGAGGTTGTCACGGTCATCAGCTTGTGGCTCCGCTTCACCAAGGAGGGCAGATATCTCAGCATGTTGCTTGTCAAGCAATTCACGTTGGAGACGCTCGCACTCGTCATTAATGCCCTTGCGTGTCTTCTTCGTAGCAGACTTCTTCTTTTGAGTAATGCGTCCCTGCAAATCCTTCAATTCTTTCCGATGTCTAGCTTGCAATTCCTCCATCTCGAATAACGGAGCCCCGAGCAGGTAGGGATGCAGCTTGGGAGGTATAGAATTATCTGCGATGGCTCCAGGCACTGTCAATAGGATAGTTCCTGGTATAACGAGGCCAGTTTGGTTCCTGAGTTCCAACTTAACCAAGGCATTAGCTCATTGTGAAAATCTCATCGGATTAATTGTTTCACCGAGTCCGACAGGCCTCGGCTTTTCTCCATGGCTTCTTAGGAAGTCGGCAAACCGTTCTGTCAAGGATGAGCTTCGGCTATGCTGTTCACTCTGGCTATGCCGTTCACTCTCACTTTCTTCCAAGCAACATAGAAGGGGATTCTGTACTATTGACATATTCTGACAGGGCCCCCAACAATGGATTCCTCAAATCTCTTCGATGTCAAGGTAAGCCTGAATTTGCACCTCAGCTCGGATCGTAGCGGCAATCTGAGCTCCATGCTAACAACAACATGTATTTATAGGGCAAAATTGTCCTCATTACTGGTGGTGCGAAAGGTGTTGGCCGTATGATATCTGAGGGGTTCGTCACCAACGGTGCTACTGTTTATATCACCGGTCGTGATGCTCCTGCGTGCGACAAAGCGGTCAAGGAGCTGAATGCTTTAGCAAAGGGAAAAGCTGTTAGCTTACCGGCGAATCTATACAATGAGGAGGAGTGCAAAAAGCTGTTTGACGAGTTTTCTAAGAGAGAAAACAGTATGTCGTCCTTACAATTCGTCAAATATTAATCTGATATTGCATATCCATCCTATCAAGCCTTATCGCAGAAAAGGTATGTCATGTTGCTTCGTTGGTAACTAAGTTATGGGTTCATAGAATTGCACTGCTTGGTTAACAATGCGGGTTCCAATTGGGGCGCGGTAAGAATACGCTTTTACTCTCCCGTTCCAGTTGCCTCTGCCATGCCGCAGCTTCCGAATATGTTTATCGAAGCTGCGAGTACAAATTGCCAAAATTCAGTGCTTATCGGAAGTTGTGTAGCCCTACGACAAATACCCGTCCTCTGCGTGGACAAGGGTGTTAACCCTGAATTTGCAGCGTGTTTTCGAAGTCACGCAATTATTCACTCCACTCCTCGAAAAAGCCGCGAGTGACGGCGACCCTGGAAGAATCATAAACATTGGCAGCATAGATGGACTAAGGGTCCCTGCTCTTGAAACATTCGCATATAGCGCTAGCAAGGCCGGCCTACACCATCTCAGCCGTGTCCTAGCAAACCACCTTGGAAGACGGAATATAACGTGAGGCCCTTGCGATCAACCCAGGACTCACATGGAGCTGTTTCCTGATTTGCTAACTTCTACATATAGGTCTAACACGCTGGCCTGCGGGCCGTTCGAAAGTAAGATGATGGCTGCGACACTAAAGAAGTACAAGAATGTGATCGAATCTGGCGTTCCATTGGGTCGCATTGGAACTCCAGAGGATGTTGCCGGAGCATGTCTTTTCCTCAGCAGTAGAGCTGGATCATATGTTAATGGCGCCACGATTACGCTTGATGGAGGCAGTATCATCAATGCAAAGATGTAGCTGAATCGAATTCATGAAACGATAGACACTCTCTGAGTTATTTACTTGGTTACCGCTTTGAAATTTTCAATGGAAGATATGTAAATTAATTAGTTATCATTACGATCTAAATATTTGCGCTTATTTCCAGCTCTTTTTTTTCCTCCTAATGGTGTAGTACTAGTATTTACCTGATATTGCTATGGCGGAACTGATCCCCACCAAGATGGCAATTGCCAGCAAGGCCTGCTGATATGTCATCGAATTCCACATGTACGGTTGATATGTGGCATACTTCAACGGATGTGAAATTCCTTGTTGATCCATGTTCAGTACACGAAAGTTGGTTGGATTTGGTGGACCTTGTGAGCTTAATTACATCACCACGCCCTTCTCATATAGGGTTTGTTGGCCACAAAGAAGCTTCCCCATATTTATGATCTCATTAACTTCCCTGGGAATTTTGGAATATCATCTCCAAATTCCACAGCTACTGTCCCGTTGTCTAGGTCATTCATTGTGTGAAGATTCTTCTGAAACACTTGCATCCCTCCGAAAAAGGAACACATAGCACCAGCGGACGCAGTTGGTGGCGTCTTTTTGCTGCGTTTTCTATGCCGAACATCGTATCATGAGCGTGCCGGTAGATGAACATTCTCTGTGTGCACACCGACGGCGTTCCTCGCGATCTTCCGATGCAGACCCCTTCTCTGAGCCTGATATATATTACGGCCAGGAGGAACACCTAAAGCAACATGCTCAGGCCCATCGAAGGACGTTGTCATCTGTTAGTAACATTTGTTCCCGTTATCTCTGGCAGAGAATAATACCCTCTCCTTTTCATTTTGTGTAAAATCTAACGATTCTCCCAGAGCCTGAAACGATTCGATCTTACTGATCTCCGTGATTTTATCGGCAATGTTCCGTCAAGACGGACAAGCCATGGTAAGCACTTGCTTGCTGATTCTGCTTGTGCTTGTTTTGCTATCATGACGCTGATGGCGGTAACTCAATATAGATGAACGAGTGCAAAGCCGTAAATTCCTCATCGATGTCGACGCAACGTTGGAGACATTGCTGGAACGTGAGGATACAGACCACAACGTACAAATAACAATAGATGATCAGGGACCAAAAGTAAGGGAATAACAGCTATCTCTCCTGGGTGGGATTACCGCTTACCAATTTCCTTAGGTATTTGCAGTAGGCACTGCGGCATCGAATGGCTACAATCGATTCGATTTGCGAGGAACATATATGATTTCGAACCTCCTTCAGGAACTCACACTAGCAAAGGATTATGGCCGGAAACACATTATACTCGACGAGCAGCGCCTGAATGAGAACCCTGTCGCCAGACTCTCCCGCCTTATCAAAAAGTGCTACTGGAATGCACTTACGCGCCGAATTGACGGATCCAATATTGTAGCCGTTGCAGAAGATCCTAAAGACTGGACTGCGGACCCAGTTCCCCGTATATATGTTCCTCCGGGAGCGCCCGAGCAGTACGAATATTATAAGAGAATTGCCGACGCTCAACCTGAATTACGCCTCGATGTTCAGTACCTCCCGGAAGGAGGCCCTACTGCCGAGTACGTGAAGGACCTGAATGAGAAACCTGGACTCCTCGCTTTGGCTATGGAGGAATACATCGACACAAACACCGGAATGAAGGATCTCAGGGGCGTTCCGTTCGTCGTACCGGGTGGTCGTTTCAACGAGTTCTATGGATGGGATAGCTATATGGAGTCTCTGGGGCTGTTTGTGAGTGATCGAGTGGATCTCGCAAAGAGTATGGTCATAAATTTTTGTTTCTGCATTCGGCATTATGGAAAGATCCTTAACGCCAACCGCTCTTACTATCTCTGCCGCTCCCAGCCACCATTCCTGACTGACATGGCTCTTCGAGTTTATGATCGCATTAAAGCGGACCCGAGCGCCAAGGATTTCCTTCGCACGGCCATTTTGTCCGCTATCAAAGAATACTATTCAGTGTGGATGGCGGAGCCAAGATATGACCCCATTACGGGCTTGTCCAGGTACCGGCCAACTGGGTTTGGAGTGCCGCCTGAAACCGAATCCTCTCATTTCTATCATCTATTAATGCCGCATGCTAAAAAGTTGGGAATCTCTTTCGAGGAATTCGTCAAGGGCTACAACAGCGGAAAGATCAAGGATCCTGAGCTAGATGACTACTTCCTCCATGACCGTGCTGTAAGGGAATCCGGGCACGACACCAGCTACCGCCTTGAGAAGGTCTGCGCGAACCTTGCCACGGTCGATCTGAATTCTCTCCTTTATAAATATGAAGTCGACATCGCCAGGACGATACGGGATTTCTTCGGAGATAAACTTTCCATCCCGACCGAGTTTAGGACCCCGCAAAATGCCGAACATGGATTCGAGTCATCGGCGGTGTGGGATCGCCGGGCTAGACGTAGGAAGGCGGCGATGGACAAGTATTTATGGGATGAAGGAAAGGGGACGTATTTTGACTACAACACAGTGGAGCAAGTGAGAACGGACTATGAGAGTGCCACCACGTTTTGGACTATGTGGGCTGGAGTGGCGAGTCCCTATCAGGCTTCAAGGCTAGTCAATGAAGCGCTTCCTAAATTCGAGGTATACGGTGGGCTGGTCTCAGGGACTGAGAAGTCTAGAGGCCCCATCGGGCTCGACAGACCCAACCGACAGTGGGATTATCCGTACGGGTGGGCGCCTCAGCAGATGTTGGCCTGGTCAGGGCTGATTCGCTATGGATACCAAGACGAAGCGGAGAGACTCGCATACAAATGGCTCTATATGATCATCAAAGCGTTTGTAGATTTCAATGGTGCCGTTGTGGAAAAGTATGATGTGACACGGCCCATTGATCCCCATAAGGTGGAAGCTGAGTATGGGAATCAAGGCGGGGATTTTAAAGGCGTGTCTCGAGAAGGGTGAGTGATGGACAACCCATATTGCCTTTTCAAGCTCTCTTTCCCTTTTTCACGCAGATTTTATAATTTTCTAACGAGTTGTGCTGCTGTTCTTCGTCAGATTTGGCTGGGTTAATGCAAGTTTCGTCTACGGTCTTGAGTTCCTCAACGCTCATATGAGACGCGCACTGGGCGCTTGCACTCCTTATGAGACTTTCAGCAAAGCTACAGCGGTGCAATATTAGCTACGTGGGTTAATTTTATAATCATTCGACTTTTTTTAAGCTAGATGCACCATTTTGGAAAACTTTCTTGCGACCTGAGTGACCACTCCCACGATTACATACATGATAAACCATGTTAATTGGTACATATAACTATCCTTTTGGAAATTGGCATTATTCAGCATACACTTTCATCCTTGCTCAAATTATGTACTTGACTAAATTAATTGCGTTGTTAAGATACCGTTGATGTCCTGCAACTCAATAGCTATCAAAAATTCGAGATTGATATCCGTGCATATTTTATTCGAGACTCTCTACCTTGAGTTTTAATATTAATTGCCTATTGTCCTTCTCGCGGTGTTTAGGCTTACCGAGTACCTCTTGGATAATAGTACCATCAAACATACGCGGTCCATCAATATGGGATCTAAATGCCGCTCCTTGCCTAGTTATGTCTTTGCTCTTTGCGGATTAGCTGCTACGTTTTCCTATTTGGATAGGAGCAGGCAGGATCCGTGAGCGAACGACATGGAAGGCCCTTACTTTGCATACAAGTAGCGAATTATCTCAAACCATTGATCGTAGCGTGCCGTAGAATATATGGGGGAGCTTCTACGCCCATCAGCTCACGTATCAGAGGGCGATTCTCTAACCATCCATGAACGTGATAATTATACGTCGTACGGCGCCAGAGCGAAGACCACCAAGCGGAACGTGCACAAGACATCGGCGACCTTAATTCAGCAACATCGACTGCGATGGACAGCCAGCGAGCTTATGTCAATGCTCCGCGTACGCGATATCCTTTCAGGGGTTCATTCGACGCTGGATAGACGACGCGGTTGAGAGACGAAAGGCGGTTGAGAGAAGGGGCGTTCAACACAACTTTGAACTTCCCGACGATTTCGCATCTGGTGAGAGCCAGTGGAGGAGTTGAGGATTCGGTTCAAGGGTTCATCCATATATGTTCATCCGCTGAAGGATATGAAACTTCATTTCACCGATTTTGCTTAGTGGCCATTATTAACAATATCAGACCCATAGAGCATCCATGGAATAACCTCCTTCGCCGCTCAATATAATGTTCATTAGACGGAACCTTGGTGTTGATACAAATGGTCTTGCTCCCGCTCTGATTCGCGTGGACCAGCCACCGCGGGAATTCAGTGTTGTAGGATCGATCGGTTGCTGTTGGTGAGCACTAACTAACTGTAAATGCGAATGTTGATCAATCAATCAAGAAGTCTCCTCTTCACAGCAATCCGTCCTTTCATCCGTGGAAGGGAAAAGGACGATGCTAGGCCCTCGCCCCGAACACTGATCACACGCCATGTGGAGGCTGTTTGTTTGGAGGTGAGAAGCCACTGAAAAGCACATGCTGATGCCGGTTGTTTTTCACGTGAAAGCCCGGATCGATGATCGGCTATCCTAGGCCGTATGATAATTACCGTAATTTTACCCGGTGATACTGGTGATACTCTCCTCAACGACGACGACGACGACAACGAGGACAACGATGAGGACAGTGAGGAGGAGGAACTTGCACAAGGACTCGGTCAGAACTACTCGCAGGACACTCCCCTGCCAACTCGACAATGGGCGGGGGACTGTGCCACTACTCGATGATGGGCTCAAGTTTGGCGGAATATAACCCCAGCTCCATTTGGCCGAGGGCGATGTTCTCCATAACAGAGAGATCCCTGGGCTCGCCGGGACCGGGACGAAAACGCTCTTTTGTCTCGGGACCAGCGCCGCGCCCACTCTTTGCCTCGGAGCAAGACCCCTCCTGGCCTCAGCGCTGACTCACGATCGAACAGGAATCAAGTCCTTCGCGTGTTTCGTTGATAAACGGCTGCCACCTTCAGTCTTCTTCTTTGCTTTCCTCTACCTTAGCTCGCTGCTCGCTGCCACGGAATCGCTGCCGCCGCAAGGCTAATGACTACCTGGAGCTTCGAGTCGAAGCTGGAGACTGAACGCTTCTGATATTTATTCTGATATTTATCCGGGACCATCGCCAAGACCTTGCCTTTGGGGCAGCCGTTTTGGTGCGCTGCCATTGGCTGCAGCCTTCCCGTGACGTCGGAGGTGAAACCGATTTTAAATACTGAGGAACTCCCCCGCCATCGGGATTTTTATTTTTGTTTTTATTTTTATATGTTTTTAATGCATACAATATTTGCTGGTTTTTGGATCCTAAATCTGGTTCATAAGATTAACACCCATCATGGCTTCAATTGAGCAGGAAGAGCAGCAATACCTGGCTGATGTCCAGGCCGTCAAAACATGGTGGCGGGATTCGAGATGGCGTTACACCACAAGGCCGTTCACTGCCGAACAAATTGTGGCTAAGAGGGGGAATTTGAAGATTGAATATCCGTCAAATGTTCAGAGTAAAAAGCTATGGAAACTCCTGGAGGAACACTTCGCGGTATTTTGGTTTTTTTAATTTTTTATTTTTCATTTCAATGCTTTGATATGAATGGGAGTGCTCATCCAGTTGGCAATTGTCTCATAGAACAAAACAGCCAGTTTCACCTACGGTTGTTTGGAACCTACAATGCTTACCCAGATGGTGAAATACCTCGACACTGTCTACGTCTCCGGCTGGCAGAGTTCTTCCACCGCGTCGTCGACCGATGAACCTTCCCCCGATCTTGCGGATTACCCAATGGTGAGCTGCCGCTGACCATGAATGATTTTTTTTTTTTTTTTTGCGAATTCGTTCCGTGCTAATGACTATGTAGAACACTGTACCCAACAAGGTTAATCAACTATGGATGGCTCAGCTTTTCCATGACCGCAAACAGCGCGAGGAAAGATTAAGGGCACCCAAGTCCCAACGCGCCTCCCTTCCTCACATTGACTATCTGAGACCCATCATTGCGGATGCTGATACCGGCCATGGAGGCTTAACCGCTATCATGAAGCTGACCAAGCTTTTCATCGAACGCGGAGCTGCGGGTATCCATATCGAGGATCAAGCTCCTGGGACCAAAAAGTGTGGCCACATGGCGGGCAAGGTCTTAGTTCCCATTAGCGAGCATATCAACAGACTTGTGGCCATCCGAGCCCAGGCAGACATTATGGGTGGGTTATCCTCGCCTAGCAGTGATTCTGGAAGGTAGGAAAGATATTAATGTCACAGTAGGAACCGATCTCCTGGCTGTTGCTAGAACGGATTCAGAAGCCGCAACCCTCATCACATCCACTATCGACCCCCGGGATCACGCCTTCGTTGTCGGTTCCACAAATCCAAATATCAAGCCACTCAACGACCTGATGATCGCTGCCGAACAAGCCGGCAAGTCCGGGGCCCAGCTTCAGGAAATTGAGGACAAATGGAACGCCGAGGCCGGCCTCAAGCTTTTCTCGGAGGCCGTGATCGACCACATAAAAGCCGGCTCTGCCTCCAACAAGCAGGCCCTAATCGACAAATTCTTGCGTGATGCACGGGGCAAGAGCAATGCGGAGGCTCGCGCTATCGCCAAGGCGCTTACTGGCTCAGAAATCTACTTCAACTGGGATTCGGCCAGAACCCGGGAGGGTTACTACCGCTACCGTGGCGGCACCCAGTGCGCTGTCAACCGTGCTGTGGCCTTTGCGCCTTTCGCTGATCTGATTTGGATGGAGAGCAAGCTTCCCGACTACGCCCAGGCCAAGGAGTTTGCCGACGGAGTCCACGCCGTCTGGCCCGAGCAGAAGTAAGTTGCGCCTGCATAGCTCAGACCCAAACTCGCTACACCTTTCCTTGTCCTTTGCTCATGCTCACAATCCCGTCTTTTAGACTCGCCTACAACCTTTCACCCTCTTTCAACTGGAAGGCCGCTATGCCACGCGACGAGCAGGAAACCTACATCCGCCGCCTCGGACAGCTTGGGTACTGCTGGCAATTCATTACACTTGCCGGTCTCCATACCACCGCCCTGATCTCCGACCAATTCGCCAGAGCGTATGCCCAGAATGGTATGCGCGCATACGGCGAGCTTGTCCAGGAGCCGGAGATGGAGCTTGGCGTCGACGTTGTTACTCACCAGAAATGGAGTGGTGCCAACTATGTCGACGAGCTACTGAAGATGGTCACCGGTGGTATCAGCAGCACAAGCGCCATGGGCAAAGGTGTGACGGAAGATCAATTCAAATAGATTCAAGCCATAATTGCCCGTAGCCTAATCCAGGGGCATTTTTCTCTTTTCTCTTGTTAACTATATTGACTAGTATATCCTTATCCTTGTCTCTGATTTGAAGTGTATAAATAAGAATTTTTCTGAGGGGTTTCATGCATTATTTTCTGTTTTCCCCGTTGGAGAAAGAGGGGGCATGATTGAGAATTTTCAAAAGCTAAAGGATGAATGTATATCGATCAAATGGGGTTTAGTATTTGCTCTAGCTATCATATATTTTGTTTTAACGAAGCTGTTAATTAACTACTCGATCTGGTTAGTTAAGATAGTTGTGCCTTTTTGGGTTTGGCGCCCCAATGTGATAAAACACCCCCCTTCAACTCCTTTATCTTGCACGCATCCCCGGCCCTTTCTTCTACTCTAGCTCTCACAGACCACTGCGGCTATTCACTGGAGACGCCTCTCGATCCGATGCCCAGCTCGTTCTGGCTCCTTGAGCTGGAATGGCCGTCGCACAGGGGCAGAACCGCTAGGAAACCCTCCCCAAATCAGGGAAGCTTCCAAACATTGAAACCCTAATTGAACAGTCAAGCCTTTCTAGGTAGTGAGCAGATCCAAGCAACAGACGTCATCACCGGTATTCCACCATGGCCAGATAGATATGGCCCTCGGAGGCTGTTGCCTTCATGGCCTACGGCTTTGAAACGGGTGTGTTGAAACGGTGTGACGTTTCAGCAAGATATCCAAAGCAGCTTTCAACGGTGCGTTGATAGTCAAAACTTGATCTCTAGGAAGGGAATCTCTATGGAGCCGCCCGCGTATTCTTGGCTGGCAATGTATTATCGATCTGGCCACAGGTTGACTACTGTCGGTCTTTTCACTTCTTTCCACCAACGTTGAGCGTGGATGGCTTGCGCCGATGTGTACCCCGCCTTCCAGAGTCAGGATCAACCCTTCTAATGCAAATGACGATTAGAGCAAGCCCATTTCTCTGAACCGAAAAAGAAAAACGAAAAAAAAAAGGTTCCTTGCTCATTGTTCCAAGAGACTGGCCGCCATCGAACTAGCGCCAGATCCATCCCCTCGCGGACCTATGACTTTTTATTTTCCCTTGCGAACAGCGGTTGACCCTGGAATAGTCCTCGTACATGCCACGATACTGCTCTGTGTACAGTACATGTAGCACAGACACGCACGTATGTATATGCAGATATATCCCGAGACTGCTCAACTGCAATGATTTTCCAGCACGCGGTGTTGGTGCAACAGAGCAAACGTAGACATATACCTCTCTATCCTCCAGTGAAATCGTCACCACGATCATTAAAAAATCATGCTCATACCTTGCTTGATTGGTCGGTATTCTATCCAAGTGCTAGATTGGCTGTGCTAACCCTCAGAGAGAGATCTCAAGCAGCACCAGAATCAGGAAGTACTACTACTAAATGCAAACGAGGATGCTTGATCGTTTCACCAGTTCTAAATTTAGGTTTTCGTTGTTCTGGTTTTTGCTAATTTTAGAGATGAAACCCCACAGGCCCCACACCACAGTTTAGAGTTTTTTCTTTTCTTTTTCTTTTCTTTTTTCTCATGGAATTTCAATCTGCGTTGCTGTGTGGCCGTTGGGCGGGACCGTGCGCCGAGGTGGCTGCCAACGAGATGCGCACCAACCAGATCGCCGATGACGACATCCAGTCGCGCTGCCGCAGGAAACACATCCCTCACCATTGTTACCAGCTCTTTCTGTGAATTCTTGACGATGGCTTGTTACTTAACCTGGCTCCAACATGGGCCCCTACCGACACCAGTCCTCACTGGAAGCTATTCTTGATTTCTCAGCCTGTCAGCACTTCACGCCGGATCAGCGCACGCGAGCTCGAACCAAACTCTACTCCATCATTGACCACTGTAACACGCCACACGATCGAAGTCTCGTCAAATACAACCGCCCTCTCCTTCTCCGTTATACCTATGAATATGCGCGCTCCGACTTATCCCAGGACATGGTCCTATCGGCCATTGTTAACTGGTTGGGTTTCTCAGTCGACGGGGAAGCGATTGACTTCAGTGATGAAGATGTGGCAGACAATTTACGCGAGCGCCTGATGGAATTTGCCGACTTTCTTTTGGACAACTTTTTCACACCTTGTTTGTTATCCTGTTCAATCGTGTCCTGCTTCATTTGTCGAATCTTTGAACTAACCCTATGACAGTGAAAGCAGCCGGCCTACATACTTCTCAGCCCTCCCCTGCACCACTTCCAGCCGTCCAGGGAGCAATAGACGGTGAGCAAATATATGTTGAAACCCCAGACCGACTGAGCATGCTTCGGGGAGCCTGTCTGATCCGAGACCATTATCGTTGTGTTATATCACACAAGTTCGACTTGACAGAAGCCTTGAAACGGTTCAAAAACCATGGCACTGACGCTCAAGATGAAGAAGGAAATCCTCTTCATGGACAGCCATTTGACAGTTTACAAGTAGCTCATATCCTTCCTCACGCCTTGATGAAATCAGGTCATGATTCCCAACTGGTAAATATATTTCTTGAGAGATTTTTTTACACTCGGTGCTTTTCTAATTGATGCATTTAGAGTGAATCCAAAAGAGCCACTCTCAATATTCTTGATATGTTTGACCACGGTGTCGTACGGCTCATTGAAGGGATTGATATTGATCGACCCTTCAATGCTATCACTCTTTCCCCCTCTCTCCACACCTTATTTGGCGGCTTTGAGATTTTCTTCGAACCTGTCCCATCCCAGTTGCACACATATCAAGTGAAACCATTTCTTCCTGAGATTTTTCCCGATCTTTCTGTTACTCGCACGCTCTATCCTTCAGTGGACTGTACAATTGATGCACCCCTGCCTCGGTTCTTTGCAATTCGCAGTGCCATTGCCCATATCCTACACCTCTCTGGAGCTGGCGAATACATTGAGAAAATTCTTCGGGATCTGGAGAATATCGGCGGGCATGGAGATGGTTCAACTGAACTGGGTCGTTTGGTGATGCTTCGGCTGGGTGATTGGGCAGATGTGAAATGCTGACACCTATTCTTAAGCCTTATTTGTTTTCCTCAAGTTGGCTGAAGCTCTGTGTATTATTGACTGTGATTTATTGAGTTTTCGCCTGAAACGTAGCTTTATTGACTCCTATTTGGCAATACTCTCAATAGAAGGTTGAGTTGGCCAAAGAGCCTAATTCTAAATTGGTCATTTGTATCTGCTCATCCCCAGGAGGTGGCAGGGACGAACGCCATATCCTTCCAGTGGTATCGCGGCATGGAAACAAATGAAATTTCCAGATATCAGCAACACAGAACGTAGGCAGCCAGAGAACAAACGGAGTGCATGGCTGTTCATAGATTGCAAATATACATCCGAATCTATATAATCCATGATCTATTCTGAAATATATATATAAAAGGGATCATGGTGTATCTTGACATAACATATCATGGAATGTGAGAACAAAGAACGCTGAAAAGGTATCCTGTAGCAGTATAGTGCAATTTCGCAGCCATAACTTGGAGACAAAATATACAGAGAAGTAGCCGGGTCTTTATGTCAAGATTGCGCTGTTGCGCTGCTGCGCCAATTACACAGCGGGAGTGCAAAGTGAAACAGAGAACCATATATGAGTTCAATAATCTAAATGCCAAGTTGGAAAATAAATCTCATACCGAAAGACTCATATGAACGATAAATAAATTGAAAATGTTTCAATATAAGACTTCTGCAGGAGATATTCATAAGAAATCCATGACAATTGATTGTTGCGAAACGAGACCATATCTTTTTCGTACATGAATAAGATGAGAAAACAACAAGAATAGAATGGGATAACAAAGGCGAAAAGTTCAGAAATGAAAATTTCGTGCAAAACCAAGAGTGTAGAGAAAAGAAAGCCTTCCTAGAAGGACGAAAGAAACAAAAGATCTTACCCGTCCCGGCGAGCGAATAGCATAAAAGAAAATATCATTACAATAGAAGCCACTGCAAGACGAGAGTCCTCCCAGGCGGTATTGCTGAATTCAAAATTCCCAGGCCTTGTCTTCGTTTCGGTGGTGATTCTCGCTGAGACGTTGTAGAACTCTTGCTCCTTCGTTCAGAAGCCCACCCATGCTGTCGGGTTGGAGCCACCTAGTACGTACGTATTTAAGCAATTCACTGGTATCACGCCTCATGTGATCAGGAATAGAGTTGCGAGAAATCTGAGGCCATGAAGGAGCAAGCAACATCAATGTAGATACATATGTTCTTGGGCAAGCAGGAGGGCGAAACAGAGGGTCATCAGTTGTTGTTGTCGTTGGAGTTTTTGCACCATAGGCCCAGCATATGAGGGCGCAAATATATAGTGCCCAGTTAGCGTGCAATGCGGTGACAGCGTCCGATCGGTTAAGGTGGGGTAGTGTTGCAGATCCCTCAACGAGATACTCAGGGGTGGTAACCGCGTTTTTGGTCGTGTGTATATTGCCTCTGTATTGCGTAAAAGCGTCTAGTGGAGTTAGACAGCCGTTGCCATCGCTGAACAGATCCGAAACACGAGACAGGTTCGGATTGGCGTTAATCAGCACCGGAGTATCTCCCAATTCTAGATGATCGATGGCATCGATGGCGTATTGCAACGCCCGTAACGAATGCCAAACCGCCTTTTTCAGTTCATCAGTGCCAGAAACCCACATGCGCAAGGTGTTCTTGGCTTGCTGATATTCTTCTTGGTCTGCGAGCTTCTGATTAAACAACCAGGATTCCCCACTAACTGCTAGAAGGGCTTTGAGCGGAGCACGGTATGCTGCCAGGAGGAAATGATATGTGAAAAGTGTATGACTTGGATGTGTTGAAGAGATGGAATATCCAGGACCTTGCATGGATTCTCTTTCCGTTTTTTCCTGCTTCACCCTCTCGATAAAAGGTTCTAGCGCCAGCTCCAGATCCATAGATCGCATGTTGGTTAGCAAAGCATAAGACAGGATCAGGTTCGATTGAAACGGATCAAGTTTCAATGTGTCGTCGTTTTGGTGGATAATTCGCCTTGCAACAGAGGAGAGGGTTAATGTCTCTTGTGACTTAGCATATGCCCTAGCATACTGAGCCCATTCTTCAATTCCTTCAATCTCCCATAATTCTGTTTGGCAAGGGAATGGTAAGTCAATAGGTTCTACGTTTCCTACATTCGATCGGGGAGTGCGGAGATTTGCTTGGAGGAACACCAAAGGCTGCTGAAACAGGGTCGATTGCTGAACATCAAGGAGAAAAGAGGCTTGTAATATGCGTCGTCTGGTTTCGTTTTCCACCCAAAAGCTATACGCTTTCTCCAGACCCGCCAATTTGTCGTCCTCTGAAAGTGTATTGAAAACAGCGAGTGGGTTTTTCGATGTCCAGTGGCGGTTTTGAATAAACTGTTTCCGGAAATGAGCCAATGATCGATCAACATATAATGCATATGTCGAAACACTCACAGTTCCGTATAGAGATTTAAATCGGGGAGATATGGTAACATCGGCCTTCCTAGATCGGTGTTTTGAGAGATATTCGAGTAGAAATACAGCTTGGATGTCAGAAATCCGAGATCGTATTGTTATTGGGCTTCTCTGCATTAATGTTAGAATGCCTTTTCAAACGAGTTTACTAACAAGTGCAACTTACTTTCGCGAGAAGCTTGAGGCACGCTTCTAAAAGAAATAAAGAGTACTCTTTTGCATTTGGTCGTGTATCGTACTGTGATCCTATTGCCACCATGGCGCCGGATATTAATGGAAATGGTTTTACGGTGCTAAAAGTTGGGCGATGGACGATCGGGAAGAGTGGGTGAAAACACTTCCAATAACACTCAAGGCAATCCTGCCACTGGGTGGTGTCGATTACCTCCATGCCATCATTTCGGAAAGCGACACTGGGGGAGGAATCAAGTTCGTGTTGCAAGGCATGCCACTCATTCCCATCCAGTCGGGTGAAGGGTATTGGTACGGGTAGGGCTAACAGAACGTTAATCCTAGTTCCCCAATAGCGCCAATGAAGGGAAGGTTCACCTACTGTCTGAAGGGCATCACCTTCAAGGGAGATAGGCAGCATCTGTACGGAAGAGATCCTTTCCTGGGGAGGTGTCCAATCGGAAGCCGTAGAGGTCATTTTATAGGGCGATCCATGGGTCTGTGGATGGTAGAACGATTCCGAGTAAGATTGGTCCATAATGGGCGTGCGTTGCGGGAATCGAAAAGGATTTACATCAGAAGCAGGGGACTGACAACTATCCGGTGAAGAATATACCATGGTGTCATCAGTATTGACTTGGGGCGAATCAGAAAATAAATCTCCTCTGACTAAGTCCCTTTCCGGCTCACACCATACTGGCATAGAATAATCATTCGCGAAAGGATGCTCTGTACCAGGTTGCACAAGGGAGCCTATTGACATTAAATTCGCTTCTTGAGAAACGGTCGGCATAGACGTGTGTTGTTGGTTTAATGGTATAGAGGGCAATAAACCCTGTGGTTCTGAAGCGATTGTCACTGGGCTAGATCGAATGTGAGCATCAATGCGGGCGTTTTCTGAATATGCGTCTACTTTATCACCGCTAGAATTTCAAATTCAGCTAGGCCACGACTCTGAATGACACAAACGAGACATACTGTTTTTTTTCCATGTGACGCAAACATAGGTCTTTGCGTTTGAACGTCTTGCCACATCCTTCCACACTGCATCGAATAATAGCCCCCGGGTTATGGTTTGGCGCATGTCGTCTAGAGAGTGTTGGTAGCCGTGCATGAAAGCAGGAGCACAGGATATGAAAGCTTACCGCACATGTTCAGCTCTTGAGAAGCGCTAATAGTATTCAGGTCAACAAGTCAGGTACGTAAAGAATTATGTGTGTATCCCAAAGTATATCCCATACCTTTCCACATCCCGGGAATTGACAGAAATGGACTCTTTTCCCTTTCAGCCCTCGGCTCGGTTTTCCTGTTTTTGGGGTGTAGGTAATTGGCCCGGTGTCTGAAACAGCCCTTTGGTGCTGTCTTGGGTTGAAGGACATATTGGCTGGGCTGGCAGTTGGCGAACCAAGTTGCGCTGTCAAAGAATTGGATGACGGGGGTGGGCTTTGAGAATGTACAATTGCTGGAAGAGGCCCACTACTTATATTTGTGAAGGCGGAAGAGGGGCTGAAGCCTGGGAAGCGGGATGGAGAAGTCCTTATCACAATTCCTCTCCGATCTTCAAAAGCTTGGCGCTGCTTGGGCGACATCCTGGCCATTATTGATTTCGAGCAGCGGAATCGAGGAGGATGATAAAGACACTCAAGCGTAGGGATGGCTCAGATCTGAGGACGGGGAGAATTGGCACGAATGCTGAGGACGGGTTGAAACAAACGATGCACAGCTGATGCAATTGGATTATCCACGGTACATAGTAGTGGTCGACAGGGGGAGGTGGGGTTGGGGGTTGAAGTACTACTAGTAGTAAGGGGGCCGCAAGAGAAAAAAAAATAGAAATAGAATAGTTATACGTTAGCGGCGAAGACAAGGTTTGGATAGCCGACTAAGTTGCTGCTAAGTTGCTAACTTGCGCAGAGAGACTACGGACAATCCCGATTCCTGACCTGAAGCAGGTGAATGCGCAGGAGGATATATAGTTATCAGCCTGGCCATGAATCGACTTTGTTTGGAAGGGATTGTCCCATCTGATGCAGGAACTAGCCGGCGTGGTGTCCATTGGTGGGTGTGCCTGGATCACGATTCACAGCGCTAGACCACGCTAAACCACCAGCATCCTGCACTGGTTCCAACTTCCAAACAGCGCCCAATGAATCTGCGGCTGAGGCGCTGAAGACTAGCCGCTTTGGATTGAGACGATCTGTGCTCGGCCCATGGGCCAATAATGGGAACCAACGGGAGCAGCGTGTGTCCCGTGAGGGGTTGAAGATGTTCGACGTTTGGGGTTGAAACGTCAGGGCAAAGTGCCAAGTTTAGCGTGGTTTCGCCAAAATTAACCATAAATTTGGAGGGGAATCGTTGGTTAACTCTAAAACTATAAAAAGATCATTCCACATCAAGGCTCATGTTGCTATTATTATATCTCCACCTTGCTCGATGCGGTATGGTCACCACCAGCCACGATGCAGGCCAAGGACGAACTGCAGGCGGCCATCCCTTGAAGGCTCCCGATTTAGCTGCGAAGGACCTCAGGAGGCATGGACCACGAAGGATGGTTCCTATGGAGTACCACATTCTTCCGCAACGTGGATTAATCGATCACTACCAGGAGTTAGCGGAACCGTTCACGAAAACCTGCATGCAAACTGCGGGACTGCATCTCTTGACATCTGGGGAGCCTGCGCGGAAGTTTATCGTAGCCCTGGAGAGAATAATCTCGAAGCGCATGAGACTGCTCTGTCTAGTCCTATCCGGAGGGGTCTCGCGCTGCCCTAGCTAATGCCCCAGGCCTGTGCTTCTTACCAAGGCCTGAGGATTTCAGCTGGTCCCACGTTTAACAATAGAGGAGACTTGGGAGTTCCCGTCCTCCCTTGGACGAGTGTCGTGAGAGCAACCAACTAGCCTATGGGGACGATGTTGTTGTTCTTGCTTTCCTTGAAGTCGGAGTTAGGTTTCCAAAAAACAAGGAAAGGTGAGGGAAGTGCTAAATCGGGAACAGGCCTGGGTGGGACCTTCCCGAAGAAGCCACACCCTAAAGCAGCTAGCGTCCTCATTGGCTGAAGCTTTCCACACTAGCGTTCTTTCGGCCAGCAGTCTAAGAATAGACTTCGCTAGTCCTATTTGGGGTTGACTGGTGAGTTCTAAAAACGGTTGCCGCCAGTGTCCGGATTCGGCATCCGTCTCAGACCGCATCGGCCAATGCATGTGTTCATGCATGTATATGCATGCAACATATAGATAGATATAAAAATATATATCCCACTATATTGTTCTCCATGTTCTGGAGCGTATATAGCTGGCTCATACTGCATCTATCTCCATTCGCAGCTTATTCGCTCGCATCTCGTGAGAGGAGACAGCGTTATTTCTGTCGACAAACTGAATGGCTTTCCGATTGAGTACTAGTACTAGTATCAATGGTATACCGCGGCACTGTGTGTAAAGGGCCCAAGTTTTTTACTTTGGATATCTGGGTCAAAGGTGGAGAAAACACAAACAGATCTCCTTGTCTGGGCCAAAGTTTATCATCTACGAGTGTAGTCTTCACTACATTACTTACTAGTCTCTTCAATCGTTCATTCTTCAGGATATCCAACCGACTGAAAACATACAACGTTTCTCCTGAGCACCCATAGGCTTGCTTGCAGAACCTTTCCATAGAGAAAAATATTATTGTCTCTCCCATTGACAGATTCTGGGCAACTATAACAGCAGGCATGGCTTAAGGTATTACACCATGTCCAAATCTGCCACCCAAATTCCCTACAGCTGGACGCATGTGACAAGGAACTTATGTTCCTTCGCCGCGCCGGGACCGAGATAAAACCTCACCACCCTCTTGAAACCTTTTTTTTTTTTTTTCATCCGACCAAACATTCCAATGTGGCTTCGGCTTCCTGCCTCCCTTGCCATTTGTGTTAATAGCTCATACTTGTAGGCGATTTCGCTGTAGAAACGTGGCGTTATTTACTCCAGTCCTCAGGGTTGAAAATTTATGTGAAGAGGGCGTCCAGCCAGGGAGAAACATTGCACACTCCTTCATTCATCCTGGAATGGGCTGTAGGGTCAACCCATGCCCTGATCGGCTTTGAAAACCAAAAACAGCCATAATTGTCAATGGAGGTTTCTTCCTCCCAGATCTAGATAACCCTATGGTCCATTCTATTGAAAATTGTCGTTACTGGAACGACCCAAGAATGTGAGAAATGGTCTCTGGTAAGGCTTTAAATCTTAGATGGGTGGATACTAAAGCATATTAACTTCAGATATCGGACATAAACTCAATGCTCATTAGCTTGTAACGAGAAACGTACTGTAGTTCGTCACAAACTGAAGGAAACACCCCTCAGTGATTATTATTACTGCAATCAAGATTGATAGTTGCCGACTTACACTCGACTGCCCGTTTCTCACGTCTTCAAAAAAACCAGTCCCCATTTACAGCCGAGCTAATTTAGTTACTGAGAAAGTAAGAGGTGACTTTCGCCAAGGAGTTCTTCTTAATGACTACTCGTAGGTCTGGGGTCTGCACACATTATTTGATCGACCGCAAACCCTGGCTTTCCTAGTTCTTCAAACTTTGTGAAGGGCTTTATTGGGAAAAGCATTCTATTTACCATGCTGTCAGAGATAATGTCAGAGATAATATCTCATATCAAGGATTCTGTAACATCTTGCTCTTTGAAACCAGAGCATTGCCCCCCTGGATCTCAGCACTGCCCTTCTCATATGTTCAAGCATTCTCTTCCTTATAAATACTGCCTAGTTATCATGTAATTATCAGAGTTAGAATAGACAATTCAATTTATCTATCAATATTCAATATTTAAGTCAATATTCAGACTTTATCCAGTTCCGACACATGCACTACCTCAGTAGATGGCAAAGTCGCTCGCTTCCAAAGATATTAAACAGAGATTCTTGAGATCTCCAAGATTCAGTTAAGAAGTACTGCCGAACTCTGCCCACTAAAATGACTTCTGTACACCTAAAAAGGATGGATGTATATGTGTATATATGGAGCCATACACTACTACCGAAATTGCTCGAAATACCCTAGACTGAAGGGTAGAGATCCAGGGGCCCATGTCAACTACGATAGAGCCGTGGGAAAGACCTGGGAAGACAAAATCGGCGCAGAAACATTTTGCCCTTGCCCAAGATTCATCTCTACGGTTCAACCCAATACTTGTAACTGTACTTAGGGTAGTAGTTTTCCAGCGTATACATCCTGACGCTGGTACTGAGGCCTGAGGCCTGTACGGCCACCATTTTTGTCTCCTTCTTTATCAAAATAGCCCGTACCATGTCTGTCGCGTAGTTGGAAACTTTCCCCTCTGATGGACGCCGCCACTGTGAACCAGTACTAAGTAAGAGTGATAGAACGACAGAGGTTGGCCGTGTCTTTGCAAGAGAAAGAGATGGGGGGAGGTGCGTGTCATTCTCCTCTGATCAACTCGATTCTCTTTTTCACCCTGCATCGTCAGGCTATGCGAAATATACCCACACACATGTGAACATCTCAATTTTCATGAGTGATTATTATTATTATTATTTTTTTCCAGCCCTTGTAGTTAATCCAGTGGACTTCATTGGCTTTTCAGGATCTTGCCTGTACCCACCCGGCCCCTCTGATTTGGCTTCTATCCCGCTCTTCCAAATACCACACCCGCTTGCGTGTGACACTCTGTCAGACAGTCACCGGGCAGAGAAATGGTCAACTCTCCCTTCCCCTATTTTTTTTCTTTTTCAAATTTATTGGCTCAAGTCTCACAAAGCTAGGCGAAAGAGATAAAGGATGGAAATGGAATCCCAAAAACAGATGTGTGGAGTGAGCATGGCATGAAAAGAGCACATCGTATGCGTATCTTGATGAAAGCCAACAAGATGATGCCCAAAATATTTGCCATTCTCACATTCACTAACTTACCCTGAAGAGGTTCAATATGATACGCTAATCCAATATATATATACCAGTGACACAGGACTAATTGTGATAACTGAGGCTCATTTGGCTCGCAAGGCTGCCGATGCTATATATCAAGTATCGAATCACAGGCAAACACGAAGCATAGGATCAAGTGTCATCTAGTCTAATCACACAACATAAGTAGATTTCTACATCAGCAGAGGGAACAACCCAGGAACTCCTCACAGAGACAAGTAAATGAGGGCAGGGATTCTTGAGTGACATCAATTACTCCAGATGCTCTCTCTCCTTGTGGCACGGCACAACCCTCTGACACCATCCACACCAACTCCTCACATCCCCCAAGTACTCTCTCTTCAAATACGACGCCGTTTCCCTCTCATCTTCATGCTCCTCCACACACGCACCCACCTTTAACCTCTTCTTAACCTTCTGCTTCACCACCCCGCCCACGCCTTCGATTTCCTGTCTCAGATAGCCGGGTTCTTCATCACCATGTCCGTCGTCGTTTTGTCGCGAAGCGGCATGGTTATCGCTACCACCATTATTACCGTGACGATTATTATGAGCATGGGAGATGGAATTGTTATGGTCTGCATCATCAGACATCCAATCATCTACCTCACAGTCAACCTCCATCTCAAGCTCCTCTGCAGCGAGACATCGTTCCCCACGTCCGCATTTGACGCCCTGCCAGCCTTCACCAATGCCCGTGCCTAGCCCACAACCTAGATATGCACTATAACGGGTCCTCCAAGTCCACACACGTTTGTATGTGGTGTCATCTGATCTGAGAATATGGCCGCACGGTCTGCAGAGCCAGAATGACTCGTCACAATGGCAGAGGTTGAGATCAAGTACGTCGCCAGTGAACACCTGTGTTTTCGTTTGCGCTGGTAACGGTGGGTGGTTCCAGTTGGAGTCATGGCTATCATTTCCTGAAGAAATGTAATCTAAGAAGTGATCGGACAAAGGGGCAGCAAGGCATGTGGGACAAAGGCGACGAAATCTGCTTTTCAACAATGACGCTCCAATGGGTTTCATGGTACAGTTCTGATGAAGAATATATCAGCCGAAATTTTACGAGCACAGGGATAGAATGCTACTTACCCTACAGTAAACGTACATGCATCTCTGGCATTCCGCAACCATGTCTCGAGCGCATCGTCCCACTTTCCTCGTGGTGAATCTACGAATGCTCGAGGATCTACCAATACTGGAAGCGGCGGTAGTAGGCTGGGGGAAGCCCTGGAAGACGTCAGGTGAATCCTCCGCTGCAACAAAACCCAGCACAGTGCTGTTGTCACCGTCGCCATTTCTATCCGATAACGTATTATCCAGAGGCTCGTTCCGGCACCGTAAGGTTTCCCTGACGAGCTGCGAGCGGAAGGGCAACAGGTTCGCGCGGAACTGACGACATGTCATGGATAACGAATCCAGCGTGTTCAGGTCGACAGACCTGGCAATCTGAACGACAACACTATAGGTAAACGAGAATGGTTTCTTATCCTTAGTATATGAACACCCTCTGTACAAACGCAGGGAGGAAAACGAAGCAAATATTCTTGCAGAGTAAAATAGTGGCAAGAACATAGCTCGTATTTCAAGAGTTCATTTTCGCATACGGGTAGCAACTCAGGGCAGCCGAAAATCCATTGCGGTTTGGATTTGACCACTGTCCACAATCAACATCATTGCCGTTCCCGACCGCAGGAGATTCTTCCAGCACCAGCTTCGTATCAGCGCGCTTATCGTCGCTATTATCGCGGCTAATACCATTACCACCACTCCCGTGCGAACCTGCGAACATCGGATAGCCAGGATGCTTCAGAAATATAGCTTTCTGGTGGTGAGAGTGAAGACTCGAGGTCGTAGAATTAGCGTCTTGCTGGTCATAGTCGACGAACACAACCATGATGCCATACGTATGTTATCATGGCAATACACTGCTGATTTATGGGAGTATGGACTCATGAGAGCCGAGAAAACAGAAAGGAGAGGCAATAAAAGGAAAAGGAAAGGAGAGGAGAGGAAAGATCAGGAAGGTTGGGAAGATATGCATTGCGACAGGGAAGGAAAACCCGAGGCGTCAAGGAAAGGCCGCATGCACGTGACTTGTACCAAGGACAATACGTCATTTGTTGTAGGGAACTAGGGTGGAGTCAAAAGGTCTTCTTGAATTTGGACATAGTGTAGCAAAACGGCCTTTGTGTGATGATATACAAATATGGGTATCCTCGGACAAGCCCCTACATTGATCAATCGGAAATCAAGCGAGAGGATGACGGATTCAGGCATCAAAAGAACACTTATCCGAAACAACTGACAAATCAGTAATAGCAGTCTTTATATTTCATGTCGTCTCCCAAGAACAACTCGGATGAATATCCTATATATGGTTGACTGCTTGATAGAACTTAACTCGCAAAAGGAAGTTGAAAAGAACATCCCATTCATTCTCTTCCTAGATGACCCAATCTATCAATTCAATCCGTTCGGGTTTTGGGGCACAACAACGTATTTCATCCAGTGTATCAAATATTTTTTTTTGTCTTAAAATTTGCAAAAGCATTCGAATAAAGGAGAAAAGCAAAAACCTGATAATCCCGTTTTGAGTGCTGGAAATCACGAACTTCGCAATACGAAGAAAGCAAGCGAACGAAGGCAAAAAATACAATCAAAGTACAGCCTTCCCAAGAAGGTCACTGGTTAAAAGAAAGAGAAACCATACATAGGATAAGGTGTCAAATGGAGGAACAAAAAGTGAGCAGCGTATGTGAAATTCTTCGAAGAAAAAAGTGTTCCAGTGGCAATTGCGTGTATCAGGTGTATTGGTAAATCTTTTATTCTTGTTCATTGCTTTTCTTCCCGTCTAGATAGTATACTTATCTAACAACATCCATTCCCCTTTGGAGTGATGCCTCCAAGTCATTGGGATTTCGGGAGCTATCATATATAGCCTCTTGGGGCCGGGGATCTTCCTGTTTCCAGGGGCCAGAGTGGTCTTCCGGAATCGGGACATTCTGCTGTGCCTGCTGCTGTGCCTGCTGCCCTGCCACGGTTGGTGTCTGAGTGCCCTGTCTCACATGCTGCCGGAATCGGAGGACCTCTTCAAGGATCATTTTCCTCATTTCTGGTACATCCTCGACGACCTCAAAATGGAAGTCGAATGTAGTGGGGCATGAGGGTTCATCCGAGGCGTCGTGCCAGATGTGCAAGTAGCGATGCTCAAGAGCTTCTTCAACAGATATACGAGAAGAAGGGTCGAAGGCCAGCATTCTGTCCAGTAGATCAAGCGCGTCTGGGTTCGCATTCGGGAAGAGGCGCTGGAAAGGGATCTTGTGCATGTACGGGAGGTTTCTGACGTACTCTTGTGCACGGGGAGAGCCGATGCGTGAGAGGGTTTCCTCATTGGGTGTTCCAAGGTAGTGGAGAATTTGGTTGAGTTGGTCAACGTAATCACGGCCCTTGAAAAATGGTCGACCACCAAGCAGCTCGGCCAAGATGCAGCCAACAGACCAAACATCAACTGGAAATATTATCATTAGTCGATATCGACTAAAGTGGAATAAATGCGGAAGTCCAAGGAAGCTTACTGGCTTTTGTATAGCTGGGGAAGCTTAACATGATTTCAGGAGCGCGGTACCATCGGGTAGCAACATATTCAGTCATATAGCCGGCGTTCTCATCGGGATCAATGGAGAAGCCACGGGCAAGGCCGAAGTCGCAAATTTTAAGCTCGCAGTCAGCATTAACCAACAGATTGCCTGGTTTAAGGTCTCGATGCAGGACATTGGCAGAATGTATATATTTCAAGCCACAGAGTATTTGGTAAATAAAGGATTGGAAGTGAGCGTCGGTTAAAGGCTGCCCAGATCGGATGATCGCAGCCAAGTCACACTCCATCAATTCTGACGCGCAGAAGTCAGCAACCTGAACCACTACGGTAGCACAAAACAAATCTACATACCTTCATACAAGTAAGTTTCATTAAAATTGTCTGGTCTCGGGATATCCATGTCATACAAGCACGTGATCTATCTTCAAGTCAGCCCTATCACCCTTAAACCAGGGGGAGCAATGCTAGGGTTAAGTTAAGGCTGTTAAGGCTAAGGCGTACATTGCGATGGCCGCGGAAATGCTGGAGAAGTTTGATCTCACGCAGGGCACGTTTGGCCAAGATTTTCTTGCTGAATACATTTGTAACCTTCTTGATTGCAACACCCTCCCCAGTCTGAACATTCGTGGCAGCACTACAAAAAAATAGTGGATTAGCCGGATTCAATGCAGTGGATATGGCAGATAGCAGCCAAATTTAAGTATTCCCCATGTCATTGGCATGTAGGTGTACGACATCAAATAAAAAGCCTGGAGAGGAAATGAATCGAGAGAGAGGCCAGGACAAGGGAAAAATAAATATAACCAACCAGACAATGCCATATGCGCCCTGTCCTAACTCCTTAGTCACATTGTATCGCTCGTCAACGATAAAATCCTGATTGAACACCTTGAAGACCTTACGTCCTTGCAAATCCGCCATATTTAGTTGTTAACCGATTGCACTTTCAAGAAGTACTAGAAGTTCTGTGGATTGCTGGAGGAAAATTAGCAAACGAGATACTTGTTCTGGTTCCCGCAGTTTATCTGTTCGGTTGATTTGGCGATAATGACAAATATGCAAGCTAGTTAATTGCCAGCCAGTCGGATATTATATTGCTATCTCTCAACTAAGAAAATAGTAAGAAAGAAGTTGAGTGTGTAGGGTGGTCGTGAGGTATGAGCTGGGGTTAGGATCCGCTCTTCGGTACCGGGACGAGTGGAATTTCGAGTACTGCGTCGGATATTGTTCGACGATGGTTCGAACGATATCTATCTGATTGCCCACAGCGTAATGGTTAGTATTTTCTGACCGAGTGATGTCTTGTGGTGGGAAAGGAAAGGATAGGATATATGGCTTTGACGCCTAAAAGAGGGGTAGTCTGCGGGGCAAGGACTGACTGAATAAGCCACACAGCGACGCAGCAGATTATGGCTGGGACAAGCGGGCGGAGAAGCGAGATCCCTGGAAATGTGAAGAAGAAGAAAAAAGAAAAAAGGAGGAGACGGATTGGAGGGGTGAAGGGTGTGATAGAGAGAGCTGACGAAGGGGGGAAGCAATAAGTTAGTGGAGTGAGGGATGGATGGATGGATACGGCTGATCGTCAAACTAGGCAAAAAGGAAACATTTCCCATTAGGTTGATGTATTTGGACGGAGTACGTGCTTCCGAAACTGCATACATGTATATTTTTACCCCTATTTTTCAGTAATGTCTGTAATCTCTTGGCTTCTTTTTATTAATTTTTAATCCATCACATATTTTTCTCATGCTTAAAATATTCTTCATATAACGCGGTGCTGGGGGTTCAAAGAGGCGTACAAACATGAACCGCATGTCAAATTAAAGTTTATCAGCAACCTCCATTGTTCAGGTGAATTAACTAAGTAAGAGTTATAATTTTAGCTAAGGTTCAAATCGCCGCAGTAGTAATTTAAAACATGTGAGATCCCATAGCTTCTGTAATATTGAAACGCTCAACATAATGCTTTCTACACGTGCAGCACCTTTGAAATTCGCAGATTTTTTCTTAACTATCAATTCTATTTATCCGTTTTCATATTGCGTTTATGAATTTATAATGCAGTATACGACAGTTTGTGTAAGTTGTTTTATTTTAAATGTTGAGTTTTCTAGAGTTTTTTATTGACAATATTCAAGTTATTTTATATTTTTTTCCCACTGTACTTTTAAACGCCTACATAGAGCAAATCTCTGACTAATAAGAAACTTCTGTTTTTGAAGAATGAAGTTCTTAGTTGTAGATGAAATATTGATACATGCTGTGATAAGTTATCGTGTGACTTCTCTATAGAGTCCTCTCTGCTTGAAAATTGATCATTATTCAGAGATCAAATCAAGTCTTTAAATGAAGCCTTTCTTTCCAAAAAAAGAACAAAAAAAAATTAATGGCTTTGTTTTGTTGATATTTCTAATTTGTAAGGCAAGCGACTGAATTGATGCTTTGGCTTGCTTGATGATGAATTCAAGTTTATGTTGATATAAAATCAAAAGGTTACGCTTGGACATTATTAGCTTTAAAATGTGGATATCTAACTTTTAGCTAACAACTTCAACTCTCATCCGGCCATCTCTTTGAAGAGAAATCAAAGTGGAATATGGTCTTTAAATCTCATCTTGAACCCTTGAAAGATCTAAAAGGTTTCTATTTCTTAATTACAAAATCTCTCATCTAGTTAGTTAGTCAAACCTCGGTATAGTTGTTGAGCCAAAAGAGCGGCTGGTGGTGTCATTACTAACCAACCAACCTTGTAGTTACCCTTGATTCTAATGAGTTAATTTATCTAGCTCGTCAAGATAGCAAACGTCCCACTCTCAAAACCCTCGAATCTGAATCACAACTTCAAGAACCAGGCATTCAGATACGTATTAATATTGCATTCTTGCAGCGTTTTAGATGAGCGCCCTGTGGTCGAGGCATTATCATTGGAATCTTTGAAAGAAGTCGATAACTTCAACCTAAACATGTATATTTAATTAAAAGTGGAAGCTGTATGTTATAACTGGAAGCGAAATTTTAGCCGTCGAATCTTCATATAGAGGATAATTCTGTGGGAAAAAAAAAAAAAAAAATCATTTGCTTCCGACTTCAAAATAAGTGATTTTCTCTCGGGGAGGCGATCATTGTATGTCAGCCCTAGCTATTCTTAATACTTCATATTTCATTATATAGATGTGGTATAAATTTGATACTCAGCGCAACAGCTCTGTGATGCCACACAAATCGCTCAAAATAGTTTCGGATCTCGAGAATATTTACTAATTGGATCTTCCACTTTTGTCTATAGTGAGTTTTAGTTGAAAAAAAAGACCTATTCATGATTTGCAGTTCACCAAAATTGAAAGCCTGAGCCGAAATAAGAATCACAGCCCAATGTAACTATGACCTATGAATTATAAAAATTCGATCTAGGAATCCGAGGAGTAGATGTCCTGGGTGTTCCAATCATAAAATCAAATTCCGGATCAAGACACAAGTCCCCATCAGTGACGCCACTCCAATCAGTCGAGAAATTCAATGGCATGGTGATGCCATGGGGATCCCAGCCAACAGCATTCCCGTTGGGCGTCATCTGGATGTGCGGTTGGGTTGCCGTTTCAGGGGGGGCCATTCCCGACTCACCACCAACGCCCAACGTATCCGCTTGGACACCCGTCTCGGTCATCGTATCAGAGCTACTATTGGCTAGCGGCGGGTAGTCATCCGTATCCCGGATGCGACGAATGATTTTCGTAAAAAGGAGGAAAATCCAGCCGCTCACGGGCCAGGTGCTTTGCAGTTCTCGGAGTGCGATCATCGATAGCCGGATTTTCACAGACCCTAGTTGTTCACGGACTGGGTCTCCAGAACAAATGTGTTGCGCGTGCATGGACATGGCCGCGAACAAAGCAGGAATAACGTGTATAGGGCACTGGTTTATGGCGGATGAAGATAGCACTTCTTCGATGATCCGTACCATTCGATTTGCTGCGTTCATGGCAACCTGGTGAGAGGTGGAGCGGGAGGGTGATGAAGGGTTTTCGGGTGTTCTTGATCGGTGGGTCAAGATGCGAAACCAGCTGGCAATTCCAGAATAAGCAATAGTTTTTTATTAGGGCAACAGTAAGACAGGTAGTACACGAAATAATAAAAGTCTTGGGCTCACCAGTGAGCAATGTGGAGCATACCAGTCCATACACATTCTCCGCTCCGCGATAGGTGAAGCTCAGGTGGTAGCCGCCGCTCCCAGTCTAGAAGCCACTCTTCGCATAATTGGAGCGTATCGGCCTGCGCGGCGAGAGTCTTATCATGCGCATTAAACGATTTATCTATTATCCTTTCGACGATTTTCGAGAGGTCACTAAGAAATAGAACATATAAGACATCCACTCTCTCTTGGACACCAAATATCTCCGGGTCCCGTGCGGGTTCCTCCTCAAAATCTGACTCGCAGAGCTGTTCTACATCGCAATCACGAAGGCGGATGTGGACAGGCCTCCCCAACGCTGCAGCTGCGTGTTTGTCTTCAGTAAAAAGCGACCACCAGATCTTCTTCCACAGGCGCTGGTCCCTTAAACTCATGTCAGAATTGTGCGTATCTCTATGCATCCCAATTGTCAATGCCAGGCTGATGGAGTTTCCAAGCCAGTGCCATGTATCTTTCTGGTCAGTAGGACTATTCCACCAAAAACTCATTAAGAAAAGGGACTGGCAGATTGTAAGTTTATCTGATTCGTAGTCCAAATCATATAGAGCCTTTGTTCGTTTGAACAGCGCCAATCTCGCATCATATCTGGACTTAAAACCCGCATCCTTGAGCACTGATACATCACAATGGCCAGAGCCCATGAACAAGACGGCCTGAAGCAACAGAAATGATGGAGGGTTGGTCGGGTCGGCGTAGCGGCAAGCGAAATCGCGACGATCCAGAATTGGGTAATGTTTATGGACATATTTAAAGTAAACCCGAAATAACTCTCTGCATATCTTGACGCTGGGGATGGAGAAAGCATCCTGTCGCTGTAACAAATCCATTGTCACGGAATCACAATTGCGGCCTTGGTAGGAGGGATTCATCCTGGGGTGGAGTGGAAGCAGAACGTGTCGCTTGGGGACTGGCTGACTTTTCTTGCTTGTTTCCTGGAGCAAGTACGTGAGATTGAAAGTCTCGCCCAAATAAACTACCTGCCCGCCAGGCTTCACCAAACTGGGCCGTTCGGGTGAGCCTCCAGCATTCTCTAAGACCTGGGCATAGAGCGTCTCTGGACCCTCACCGGCAGATGGGGCCCGGTCGTGTGGGGCTACAAGTTGCAAGCTGGGCCTTTGGGGGAGGGAGTTGTCTCTAGTAAGACAACTCCTGCTGGATGACCCATGGCTGAAGGGAGGGGGTTTGGAATGTATATTGTTAATCCCAGTAGGCGTATCCGAAACAGAGGGAGGAAGATTAGATGCCACTCGTTTCCTGCCCCGCTTGGACTCGATGAGTCGACATGAGGATCGCGCCTGCTCACAGTTGGTACAGGGAATACCCGAGTCTGCCGCATTACATTTGACCCGCCGGGAATGACACCGTTGACAGGCAATAGCACTTCGTTGCCGAGGCTTGCCACTGCGAGTGACACCGTTGCGAGGGGAGCTCCTGACTTCCATGTCGGATACAGTTCGGGATACCGTCGAAACCGACTGAGGGGACGGGAGCGTTGTTCTATTAGGCTTTAGGTTGGTGGGCAGATCGCCAGCTCGACGCAAGCCGCCTTGGATGGTAATAGGCTTTCATCGCTCATTGCCGTGACCCCAATCATGCATTGTCGTCTTGTCAGCACATATCCATGCCTTAACGAGTTAACACCTGTAGTTCCAGATTAATAATCACCGGCTCGAGCGCTAACCTTTTCAGAGTTTCTCGTCTCGATATGAATCAATTGCTACAAAATACAAGATCTGTGATGATCCTGAAAAATCAACGGCGAATTATTAAGTTAACTGGATTTGGCAAACTTTTGTAAACAGTTTCTGAGTGATGGCTCCAGGGATGGAGGGCGCTTGTTGCTTTCGAGCATAGGCCCATTTTCGCAGACGATGGCAATATTTTGCAGAATGCAAGCTGGTGAATTCTTTTCGTGTGTTAGCTAATCTTGTTTCGTTCTTTGCGTCGCTCATGGTTCTGCTTGTAGTGAGTTCTCTGGACATGGATAACTCGTATGAAACGAGTTTTTCCGCTGGACCAAAAGGATGAATCCTTGAGGCGAGGTATATGTACAGTACATGCATTTTATCCGGCCGACAAAAAAGTACTCGCTTTGAAAAAAGTTGCAATATCTGCACTGAGTGGTAGAAGTAGCGCGCTCAGTGAAAGAGGGCTTGTTTTCACCAAATGTTTGGGTACTTTCCAAGGATTATTATTGTGGCGGACGTAAAGCTTGCGAAAACAGAATTTTCTGCCACCCCCTGAAAAGTAGTAGCAAAACACCGCAAAAATAACCAAAATATCCACGTATCTCTAGAATCATTCAAATATCATCCAATTCATTCAAATACGCACCTTTATCATCAAATACGCACCTTTATCATCAAATCTGCCAATATGCCCCCTCAGCTCAGCGAATTTACCACCAATGAGATCATACACCTTCTAAACGATGGTTATATGCCTGCTCAGATTGCGCGGACCATTGAGTGCTATCTGGCCACTGTATATTGAATCCAATGAAATATTCGCTGCTTTGGAACTGCTAGAAGTCTTTGTTCAACATGGGGTGTAAAGCCAAAGATCACACCGGATATCTTGTCAGATTTGGAGGATTTTTTTGAGGCATATCCAACTGCATATTGTGATGAGGCTGTCTGCTTTGTGAAGGATGAATTTGATGTTGATATCCGAATCTTGATTGATATCTAGATTGTGAAGAACTGATTTGACATGGAAAAAGGTGATTAATTATTGCAATTGTCACTTATAGAACCTGCTAATCTGTCAGTTCTATTTGATATAGGTTGAACCTGTGGCCACTCAACACAACAAAGAACTTTGAGCTGAATGGTGTATTCAAGTTACTCAGTATCAATCTGATCAACTTATATTTTTAGATGAGAGTGCTGTGAATGAATGTACTGCAGATTGATGATATGGATGGTCAAGCAGAGGATTCCCTTGTTGCATTAGAAGGCTCTGTAAATGATCTTGCAGATGGTCAATCTTACCTGTGATAAGTGTCAATGGATATCTTGATTATAATATATATCAGGGGTTCTATAATACAGAGAGGTTCAATGAGTTTGTACATGTCCAAATACTGCTCAAATGCCAATGAGGTTATCACTACCTAGTGATGGATAATTGCTCTTCTCATTGTTCACAAGCACTGTGAGATCTCTGCAGAGAAGCTGGCATTGGACTTTTATTCTTACCCCCATATTCTCCTGATTATAATCCTATAGAGGAGTCATTTCACACATTGAAAGAATGGATTAGAAGATACAGATGTCAGTTAGAGAATCAGTTTGATGGAGATTTTGAAGCCTTCTTGCATCATGCAGTTGAGAACTTCATGGGAGAAGAAGATGCAAGAGGATATTTCAGATCTGCTCATATAGAATAGTATTGTAAAATCTAGAAAGATTCAGATTGCAATTCAATTATGATGATATATAATATCTAAGTTTCAAATTCAGAAGCAGAAGCAGTATGAGATCTGCTGTCATCACTACAAACAGCAGATAAAGACAATTTAATCTCCTTCAACTGTGACTGCCAGATAGAACTCTTTAACCCATCTCTTATTATCGAGAATATACCCATTCCAATATTCAACTGAATCACCTGCTCATTTGTCATTGTCTGTATATGATCCAGTTCAAATCCTTCATTCTGAATAATGCTCTTTGCAGTTAAAAGAGCTTCTGCTCTTTGAGGTCTCTCTGTCATCAACCAGTTGAAGAACTCATCAATAAACAGATCCGCATGTTCACCAAACTGAGAGATTGAACTACTTTGAATAGAAGGCAGGTTTGGATTCGACGGCAGATTTGGATTTGACGGCAGGTTTGGATTCAACAGCAGATTTGGATTTGATAGCAGATTTGAATTTGATGGCAGGTTTGAATTTGATGGCAGGTTTGAATTTGATGGCAAGTTTGAATTCAGTCCTTCCATGCCTCCCATTCCTTCCATCATATATTTCATCACCATCACATTGAATCCACCACATTGGAGCTTCAGCTTAGATGAAGAAGGAGTTGAGGGAGGGAAGATAACTGCTGGCATCTG